TCTTTAAAAATAAGAATTTGGCCTAAAACATACTTTTTACGATGCATTCATGGTGGAGAGGTACATGCAGGGGGTTGTAAGGCAAAGTAGTCCCCAAAGAAAACTTATTTTTTCAGATTTACCATTGTTTCACCATTATCCACATATAAAAACTCACACAACGTGTATGGTCACCAATTGTTCTTTATAGTCAATATAATGGTTGTATACGTGCTGTAGACATCACACCCCCTGGTTCCTATCAGCGTCACTGTGAAGAAAGTCTGAGCTGGTAAATTTTTCTAGGATGCACCATTTTCCCTTTAAATATTCTCAAATAGACTTGCTTATTTTGTTTCTGACACTGTATGACATTCTGTCATCTATAAAATGGACAAACACACAAAAACACAGTAGTAACAGCCATACTGATGCTTGAATTGATGCATGCGCTTTTTCTTTGTAGCTTCAGTGTAAAAGTAAAGAAGAAAGCTGTCCTGGCAGACTGACTACCTTTAGAGAGAAGGGGAAACTGTGTAAATTTGATTTTGGCCTTGACCTGCATGGAGAGGCATCAGCAGGCACTGTAAGGAATGGACAAAGAAGTCACTATACTTCACTATACTTCTTTTCCTTTTTTTGGCTTCTCCTTCTGGCCAGTTTTGCCGTCCTAATGAGACCATGGCTGAAGTGTAAAGGCGATGAATGGACTTAGGATGTGTGGATCAGAGGACTTGAAAGAAAATCCAGCAGAAAGCACACGCTTTTGGCTTCATTTATGTCTGGCTGATTAGAAACAGCAGTCAAGTATCGTCAGGATTCGAGAAAAGCAAAGCTGTTGGGGGTCCTCCACCACGTCACTCAGTAATATTGACTCCCATAGAGCTCAATAGCTCTATTGTGCATTCACTGGCACACAGTGCCCCCTTGTGGTTAGCATGAAAACAGCCTTCAGAAATAGAAGCGCAGGCTCAAACCTGATGGAACAGAATGTAAATCTAATGTCATTCATTACATAATTGTAATTACATGCCTGTGTATAAATAAGTATGTATGCAATAGTGAATCAAATGTATCTAAAAATGTCAATAATAACTCTACATAGACTACTAAGTGTTTTAATCAGTAATACTGGATGTTTAAGTCTGGCGTGTTTGCTCGTTTTCCCCTGACCTACGTGAACAACAGACACCACAGAAGAACGGCCTTACAAACTGGAATTTAAGGTTGTCTTGATTCAATCTGATCCAATCACCTTAATAATGAATATCAGCTCATTACAATCCTGGTGTTTTCCTAGAAAAGTACGACACAAATTTAGAAAGATATGAAAATCTGATTGTAAACTGAGCGTACGCAAATTTCACTGACAGTTTTGTTATTCATCAGTTTCATATTTGGTGTATCTGTATGCAATCAAACTTGCGTCTAGTAGGAGTGTGTGTAAATTTGAGTGTAATATTTTAACCTCAAAAAATGTTTGCTTTGCAGTGAACCAACAAAAACTATTATCAGCGTCATATATAATACAATAATAAAAATAAAAATAACAATAATACTAATAATCTGTGCAGTACATAATCCAGTACAAAAGTGGATGCACTTATTTTACATGCACGTTGGCACAAACAAATGCAGCAACTATTTAAAGACCTACTACCGTAATTTTGTTTACACTACTGACATCGCCCAAACAATAAACAATACAAAACACAGCTAGTGCAAAATCATCTCATACACTTCAATAATACACCTTTTAAATATGTTATGTTAGGGAAATAATCACACTACACACATCACTCTACCATCTTAAAAAACTGAGACATTTTGTTCACATTTTCTTCCTAATTTTAACACTAAAAGGTTTGGTCAGTAGATGGAGCACTGCTACACCTCAAACTCCACCTACGAGCACAGCCTGCTGTCATTTTATTGGTTCCCTACTGATATAGCCGCATCACTTAGGGTGTGCTTCATGAAAATGATATGTAAATGATGTACTGGTAGACGGGCACTTGATTTCACGCACTGAAGCTGATTTACCATTTGCAGTAAAATCTCTGATTTCCATGTAGTACGAAAGTTTCAAGATTCAGGTACAGAGCGGTTTGAACGTCATTAAAACTCTTTTTTGCATAAGTCTGATTAACCTCTTATGCTCGTGGGTATATTTTGTTTTTTCCATCTGAATTTACATGAGCAAATCGTAAGGCAAATTATTCAGTAACTGCATGAAATAAATGTAAATTTTTATTTTATTTATTTATTTTCTGTAAAAGTTCCCCTCAAATGAACAGAAAATGTGTTTTATGATCATACACATATTGCTATATGCTTACAATTTACTGCTTGAAGCTCTTTGTATTATTATTTTTACAGAGCAGATCACTGAAGAGACGCCATCTGTTTATAGTTTATAACCCAGATTTGTGGAAAAATGGGTCGACTTTCAGTAGACAAAAAAAAATTGAGTTCAGCTCCTTTTGTTATAAAGTTAAAAATTACACTACCCATCTATTTGACTGGAAAGAAGACAGTCACAGCTCTCATACGACACCCACCTTTTGAATGTAGCTTATGAAATATGAAAGTTATGAAGAATATGACGAAGTGCGTTTTGGAACCACCAGTGGTTCTGAGGAGTTAAGGTCCACTGTGACATTCTGGACAGATGTTTTTTTTGGCGTACTTGTTTAATGACCATTTTACAAAGTGTTTAATACTGATTATCATCAGAGACATCCGCACAGGAAGAGGAGACAGTTGTCTCATTGAAAAATGAATGGGACAGCTCAATACTCATATGGTGGCTACGTCACAAAAAGTGCTGCGGTTGAAAAAAGGAATCAATCGTCTTGTTGCTCTAGGATGTATATTTTACCAGTGGTTTTAAACACGTGTTTGAAATGTTAATGTGGGTTTTAGTTTTGGGCTTATAAGTATCTTCCTATGCACGCTTTGGAAAAAACAGCGTATTGACATATCCACCCATTCAGCCTACAGCAGTTTAGCCCTGGCCATTGACACTGAAGTTATAGGAGGAGTCAGAGCCAGGTGCCCCAGTTGCTTGCCCCAGTTAATTTCAAACAAAATTCAAATTAATTTGTCACAGAAATGCCAAATCTGATTTGTGAACACCATGAGGGCTGCTGGCTCAGGTGGGCTGCTGCCAGGAAAACTGTCCAGCTTGACTGCTCTCCTCACCTGACCACAACAAGCTACTCTTGCTGACCACCAAGGAGAAGCGCAGTTCCCGAAATCCACTTCAAAATAGCTTCATAATCCCGACATTCAATCTCTGTTAACTTCTGAAAATGCTTATCACTGCTGTAGGTTGAGGATTATTTCCATATATGGATCCTCTATAACAGGGAAGTAAACTGAAGGCAAAAAAAAAAGATTGGAAGTGGATCAGGCTTAATATAGCCGACCCTAATGGCATAAAACTAGTGAGATGTTAAGTTCATATTCTGAAGCGTTCTCTATAGTCTTTTGCTTGCAGCTCGAAGACTGTATAGTTTCACCATATTTTTTTTCCAGGATGTGATTCAGCACACATTCCGCAGTAATATCAATCCTGATTCTTGCAGGTTCTCACTCTGTTTTGCTGCACAATTTTTGTCTGATATTGGGAGTCACTTCTCTGGCTGTTTCTTTAGCCAAATCAACTGGCTCTGTTAACACTTTGAATAGTGCTTCCTTGAGGAATATGGGCTCATTCTGCTTTCTATTTCAGATACACTTATAGGAACCTTTTGTTTGTACAAAAGCTGCATGAACTACTCTTAGAAAACAAAGAGAAGCAAATCCTCAGAGCCTCATTACTAAGTCTACATACACTCAGCCAGCACTTTATTAAGAACACCTGTACATCTACACATTTATGAAATTATCTACTATTATCTTGCCAATCATGTGGCAACCATGTAATGCATAAAATCATGCATATTCAGGTCAGCAGCTTCAAGTAACGTTCACATCAACCATCAGACTAGGGAAAAGTGTGATCTAAGTAATTTTGACCACGGCATGATTGTTGGTGCCAGGCTGGTTTGAGTATTTCTATAACTGCTCATCTCCTGGGATTTTCATGTAAAATAGTCTCTAGACTTTACTCAGACGGGTGCAGTAAAATAAAAAAAAAAAAGGTCAACAGTCAAGGCTGGTGGAGGTGGTGTAACGGTGTGGGGAATGTTTTCTTGGCGCACTTTCAGCCCATTAATTTCAATCTGTCGTCGCTTGAATGCCACAGTCTATTCGAGTACTGTTCCTGACCATGTGTATCCCTTCATAGCCACAATTTACCCATCTTCTAATGGCTACTTCCAACATGATAACTTTTGTGGGCGTTATCTCAAACAAGTTTCATGAACATGACAATGTGCTCAATGTTCTTCAGTGGTCTTCCCAGTCACTGGATATGAATCCAATGGAACACATTTGGGATGTGGTAGAACAGGAGATTCGCAGCATGAAAGTGGACCTGAAAAATCCACTTGATGCAATCGTGTCCAGAACCTCAAAGGAACGTTTCCAACATTAGCCACCAAAAACTGTTTTGAGAGTAAAGGGAGGCCACACCCAGTATTAGTATAGTGTTCCTAATAAAGTGCTTGGTGAGAGTATATTTGTGTGTTTATATGCTGAATGAAAATGCTAATAACCAAACGGTGTTAAAAGGCTGTGTTTAAACAGTTAATCAGATTTGTATTCTTATGCTGGTCCAGGTGATCACTGGGGCCACCTTTAGTACTTTATCAATGTTTAATGTCAGTATCAAAAAGAAAATTCTGTTTCATTCCTCAAATCACCCTCAGTGCAGACGGTTAAGGGTTTTCTCTTTGGTCAGAATTGGATGATAAGACTCATGAAAACTACAGCAGGTCTAGAAATACATACACATCTTCCTATGGGCACGAACTTAACATTTACTAATCACCCACCTAACCGTCTCTAACAAAATCACATCAGAAATCAATCCTGTAATTAATCCTGTGGAATTTGTGGCCTATATAGCATTGTATGTGGAACATGCCTGCTTTTTTCTTTTTACTCAGTGTTCTATCCAAATTAGTTATGGCCAACTGCACTCGCTAGTCAGGTATCCCTCCATCACACCATGCTACCAAGCTGGGAGGGTGAAGGGTAGCATAAGCTTCCTCAAACATGTGAAGCACCACCAATCTTGAGCTCAAGATGCTTTGAGGAGCTGTGTAATTTCAGTAAATTTAGGTAATAAAGAATAGGTCATTTTACTGAAATGTAGGCCATATTCTGCATTGCCTAATCTAATGTTCAGTAAACTTCCACTTAGTTCAGTTTTAAACCCTCCTGATAACTCTCACCATGTTCTTTAAGCCTTCTGTTTATTTTCTTAAAACAAAAAGTCTGTTAGTCTGTTTTTATGTACATAAATAACACAATATTACATACAAAAAAAATATACATTCACACTCACACCTTGGAAACAGGAAAAGAAACCTGCCCTGTTCAAGCTAAATTCATTATAATCACTCGAATCACTCCAAACTCAAAGTCCAATTCTTAGTGGCATTCACCCCAAACCTGTACCCCTTCATAGCTCTTGTTCATCTTAAATCCGTGTATAAGCTTTTGGAAATGTGTCACATAAGCAAAAACACCACAAGGTGGGAAAACTTGGCTGCTTTGAACAATTCTATGAAAGGGAATCTCGCAGGACAGGCTGTGTACTCATTCAAATCAGATGAAATCAATGTTCTTAGAAAATATTCCAACTAAGAAATCAATGTGATGCGAAAGATATAGTGCTCAATGTTTACAGTGTCCTTTCATAGGTTGGATCATATGTAGCATTGTGTTCACTGGTAAGTCTTTTCTGAGCCAACTCTTGATTGATCTTAAAGGAATACGCCAGTGTTTTTCAAACTAATCTCTATTTGCTGCATCTGCAGCACAATCATTAAACACAAACAAAAGTTTTTACATTTTTCTGCACTTACAAAAGAACAGAGAACCTATAAAACACACTTATAACAGAAGCCAATGAGCAGCTGCTGAAGTTCAAGATGGAAATCTGTAATTACATAACATAAATTGGAAACAACAACCCGTTACACTCCAACTATACTGGTGTTAAGATGAGACAGACATGAGACAATGTCTTATTAAGGCTGTTTTTCTGAGATGTTTGATTTTCCAGCATTTCAACACAGCAACATTCATTTAGCAGCTTCCCACTGACTTTTATTATAAGTGTGTTCAATGCGTTTTCTGTTCTTTTCTAAGCACAGAGAAACACATCAGCATTAATCTGTGGTCACCTGAACACTGCAGACATAGCTAAAAGAGATTAGGCTGAAAAAGGCTCGAGAACATTTTTAAACATCCATCATACTGGTTGAACCTGACTGGTGGATGCTTAGTTAGCTTTTAGTCGTTTAGAGGCCATTTCCTGGTTAGGCTCCTCCTGTTCTCTTTTAGCTCCACCTCCTGCCTCACCGTTAGACTCCATCCCTACAGTCTTCCCCGCCCTCAGCTCCCTTCTTCCTCTTCTCTCCTCCATCTCCTCGATTTCCTCTGCGAACAGTGCTTTCAGAGGAGCCAGGAGCCGAGGAAGGATCTGGAAATCTCCCGGCCGGATCTGGAACACATATAACAAACACAATTTGAATTTATTAAATATTTAAAAGCTTACTCTAGAGGCAGCAGACTTGGCCAATAAACTTGAAATATCAACAGGTTAACCTTTAAGGCCCTGTTACACTAACTTTTTGTAATCGAAATTTTCAAGCAAAAGTGCTTTTAGTCCTCAACCAAGAGCATTACTGCTTTGGTTGTGTTGACCCCTAAATGGGTGGGCTTCACATCAGCAGCACTGCCCCTCCAAAATGGAGGAAACACTAATTTTAGCAGCGTCTAAGCACAACCTTTAGATATTTATTCCCCACTGGCTATAAATAAACACATTAAAGAGAAACTGTATGATGTGCAGTCAGTCAGGAGACTTTATTAGATAGTATAACTTTCTATAACTTTAAAGTCACTTTGTGACTTTACTGTTTTTTTTTTCTTGTTTATGGTAGGCAATTTAGCCAGCTTGCTAACAGCTGCCATCTACACTTTTGTTTTGCAACAACTCAGTACAGCCATATAATTCTGCTTCCTTTTGTGTTTTTATTGTTTATGGTGGGTGAGATTGCTAGCTTGCTAACTCCTACATTAGCTCCTTCGATAAACGCAGCTACAAAGCAGTCACATCACTGATTTTTTACTGCAGGTCGGTGTGCAGCATTACGTTCTCTCAAATATGTTATCAGATATAACTTAGGCTATGTGCAGATTGACAGCCTAAATCTGATTTGTGGCATAACCAGATTTCAAGATGATGCACCTCCATCTCTCCTGCATCTGTTTGAAATTTGCGTCACTAGCGTAGCTACATAGTTACTGACGCCTATGTTCTTTCCAGAGCAACCTGTGCAGATCGCTTGGTGAAGTCTGGACACACAAAACTGAACACTTGCAAATGGCAGCATGAACAGTCATCTCAAAAGATGTGATTTGAGAAACAAATCCAATTTGCTGGCAGTCTCAACATGGCCTTACAGTCATGATGTCTTGGTCACGCCTATTTTGGAAGGCAATGCAAACTGCAACTGTCTAGAGTTACTGCGGCTTTTAAAATCAGCATTATTGGCAGTGATAACAAAAGCATACTCTAATTTTATATTCATCATTTCTCATTTCTAACGTATTGGAACAATTCTTATTAAAATGAGGCTTTCAATTCACCCATGTCTGTGTTTGTAAGTAGAAAAGGAGATATTTCATTATGATGTGAATTTGATGAAAGCTACTGTTGTATGTACAGTCTTACTTTGCAGAATCGAAAGACATTTTACTTTTCTGCCGTGTTTTGGAATTTTATGGCATAAATCAAACTTAAGAGGTTAGTGCAGATGCAAACCAGCTCCAATACAAAAGGTAATTAAAATGTCATTCACTGTGTAACTATGTATTTAACTGTGTAATTAATTTTAAATAATTGTGTAACATAAACCTACAGCAAAACAGTAATAATCTCAGTGATCTGGTAAATTGCTCACCCTCATGTGGTCGAAGGAGATTCCCACGCGCTGATTGAAGTCGTCGCTAAAGAGTGGAATCTTGGCGTACCTTTGGCTGAAGTGGTTCAGCATAATGAACTCCGCATTCATCTTCATCCCGATGTCGATGGCCTGTGAGGTTGTGCTGCTCAAACAGACAGAAAAACAATGTTAGTACAAACAGCAGGCACACTCTGCAGTAGCACTGCATCAGAGCCACTACAGAAAACGGTGTTCTCCCAACATGCAGAGGAACACAGGAGAAAATCCACACTAGCAAATACAGGCAGCATCATTCACCTGCCGAACACATCATCACTGTCAGAACAAAACCTTGTATCTCCAAAAACCATCATGACTTCTAATGTATGATCATGTAAAGTAAACCCCCAAATAATTCCAGACCATCTACACTGGTTCAAGTCAATATAAATAATGTTATACATCCTTAATTTCAAGTTAAAAGGACCATTAAGAATAAGTTATTAATTTTTCATGAGATATTTCTGTGGAGATTAGATGTAAGATAATCCACTCGCACAACAAAGATAAAAGTCAACAGAAAACAAATAAAAAAAACTGGGGTCTTCTGAGAACAATGGACTGACCACCCCAGAGTCCAGACCTCAACATCACTGAATGCGTTTGGGATTTGTAGAAAAAGTAGAGAATGCAACCAACTTCTATGGCTACATTCACATTACCATGTTGAAGTGGCACAAATCTGATTTTTTGCCCTAATGTGACCAGATCTGATGTTTTCAGGGCTGTGTGGACATGCAAATCTGATCTTTTCAAATCCAACCTGAGCCACTTTCATATGTGGTCCTAGATCAGATACGTAATCAATTTGTGGCCACGCAACCTTACTGTGAGTGATTGGAGATCATGTGCTTTTTTCCACTGTGCGTGCCCCATCATCCAGCGTTACCATAGCAGCAGCGCCAAACAGGAGTTAAAGCCTGTAAACAGTGAAAAAGCAACACATCTCACCTTTGAGAGCTGTTCATACTTAATTATCTTCACAGCGAAGCTCGTTCTGCTTGTCAGTTTGTTTGCTGATGATGCACGTGATTCATTCACGTGACATTACTAAGTAGGATGTGCGCATGCGGGTCATTTCAGGATGCCGGTTCGTTCACATTATAGATTTGAATCAATTACCTAAACGAGTGTGAACCAACGTGTCAGAGAGATCAGATTTGAGCAAAAACTGGGATCTGAGCAATGAGACTTGTAATGCGAACGTAGCCTAAGACTGAACTTCTTGAGGTGTGGAAAAATCTCCTTGCAGATTTCTCTGAAGAACTGAACCCAAGTCCCCTGAAAAGAATGGAAGCTGAAAAATGTGATAATTGTTCAGGCTTCTGAATAATTTCCTGTTAAATATACATTTTCTGCTTTTTTCCTGATGCTGAAAAATGAATAACCTACATACTCAATGACAGCTGTGACTATAAATTAAAAGGGTAAAAATTTAAAGGGTTAAAATATAACTTTTGCACATCAGAAAGTTAGATTTCAGTGAATTGTTCTAGTGTGTAGCCCTTACTCGCAATGATAAACCAACAGAAAAAAGTAATCAAACTAAAGGACCTTTCTTCCCCGTTCTTCCAACACATCCGCTGCATCTCTTGAGAGCTGAGACAGACCATGATAAATTGATAGTTCTGCTCACCTGGGCTAAAAAGCTGAAATGGTTGGCTGCCTTCCAGGAGCTGCAGCTGACTAATTGGTCATTCTGCCAATTACTATAACAAAACCGGTAGAGTCTGTACACTTTAAACTCCAGTGTTAGAAAAACGTTACAGTGCTGTAGACCCTGGGTTCAGAATACTTCATTCTCACCACTTTCTAAAAAGTGTTACTTGCAGGGCATCTGATCTACACAGACCATCAAAAGTTTCCAGAGCTTTTCAGAAAGTTTTTAATGTAAATGTGCATGTTTTCATGGTCAACAACTCAACATCGTTATTTTGGTAAAACCTGCACTTCATGCCAAGGAGGCATGAAAGAAGTTGATGAACTTGAGTGGTATGGCTAGTTTTACCTAAAGGATTAGCATGTAGCTGTTATGTGCTAACAAAACATTTTATATTTACTTTTTTCTTTACATAGCCCACTCACGTCCAAAAAAAATTAGGATGATAAAGAGATTCACTACAGAGCTTCTAACAGTGACCACTACACATGTGACAATGACCACTTGAATTTCTCTCATCACATCATTTTTATATTTTTATTCAGAATCAAATTCAAATTTTCTATTGTATTGTTAAAAATCAGTAGTTCCATGTTGAGAAAAGACTGAATTTAATGATAAACAATAACAGCCTCACTTTTAGCCATATACAGGGTTACTGAATTTTTAAAATCAAATTCAGAGCCTTAATATCTTTTTCAAACCTCAACAGATGAAAAATACACTATATAACATATCGATGTTGCTGGAAGAGAACCTCCATTTTTGAAGTTTTTCAGTTTTTGACGTGATTTGAAAATGCCTGTTGCCCTTTACATGTAAATTTCATGATGAATGGACTAAAAGAAATGACCCAAAATGACTTGGTAAAAAGTCTGCTTCCACTGACTTCCATTAAATGTAAAGTAGTTTTTTTTCTTCTCCTGTAAAGTTACCTTTTGGGAGATACAAGGTTTTCTTCCGACAACAGGGATATATAATATAAATATACCACGCCGACAATGGAGACAAACTAAAATTTGGCATGTAGTTATGTCTATTTTTATTCTTTATTTTTATTCAAATAGTCCTGTAGCCCTTTATCAGTAGTCAGTTTTTGATCATAGGACTGGATATTTCTGGTCAACGGACTAATCTGAAGACTTCACAATGAAAATTTCAACCCAGTCTGTAGGCATAATTTTACAATTTAATAAAAAAATAAGATATTTTCAGACATTTTATTACTTTTTTTTTTATCTATTTTAAAACTTGATCTAAAGGAACCCTCAGATTCCTACTGTATTGAAGCTCAGAGAACATAGTGACCAAAGGTAATTAAAAATTTCAGACCTGGAAATTAATGGAGTTGACTGAAAAGTAATCAAATATTATTTCTAAAGTTTCTAAACTCAGGACTATGTGCTCAAACTTTTCACAGGCAGCCAACCTTTACCTGACCATTGGGTTTTTGATGGACTAATTCTTACTGTCCATAAAAAATCTGGTAGGTTAGAGCAGTGGCCGTTTGGATCAATGTAACCTAAAAAAAAAACCCTTCCGAAATAAACGACAGTATGCTTGCTCTTTAAAACCTGCTGCCTTTTTTGAAAAGTCCTACTTTTAAAAGCTCATTATTCTTATGATAAGGTCAAACACTTCTTACTTTCTGTTTCCAACATGATTCTATACCTAAGAACAATCCAAACGTGCTCCAAAACGCAGGACAGAGCAGAGACAAATCGAAGCCAATCTCAGTCGAGAATCCAATAAGATAAAAGCGTCCACTTCAGACATGGCCGTCTAAAGGCAATGTGAGCAGTTAGGAGCAGAACCCATTTATTTCTAGAGTCTTTTCTGTTTCAGCAGCTGAGGATTGGAGAGGTATGTGAGAGAACAGCAGGATACTTTCTGTCACCCAGTATCACACTGACACAAAGATTCTAGCCTTTCCACATATTTGTCTGCTTTTCTATCTTTCTGCACTGTGTTGTTTGTGGGAAATCAAAGGTTTTTAGTGTAACTGCCACTCCGTGTGCTTCTTTGAGATACCAAAGGGTGCAGAGGGTAATTCAAATACTAAATTATTTGGTTATTTATTACACTGCATTACAGGATATTTAGCTCACAGGCAAGACGGTTGCGATTACAGGCTCTTAGGCTTTGTTCGAAATGCAGGACAAACAGGATTTGTTTCTTCCATCTAACTGGACTTATCGTTCAGATTTCAAGTAACAAGTAACCAAATCTGATTTGTATGCTCAGACCGCAGTAACAATGCACGTGTGCATATGCTGACTAGGTATGGGCATATGACAACAACCACTTAGTAGAACGATCATGCTATATTTCACAACTTTTTATTAACTACAGCATGAACAGAACGAGACTGCTACCAAGCTATAGGCTGTAGTAGTAATATTTAGAGACAGGCTTTAAGTTCAAATCTTTTAATGAAGTAGTTGTGTAAAACATACCGAGTAAAAAGACGTTGCCTGAATGGTTGTTAAGTTTTCACTACTAAGTTGTAATATGTGAACACGCACTTCTGACTTTGACACATATAAGCTGTAATGCGTGTAATGCATATTTTGATGGCATGAACTGCAGCGCTCTGAATGATGAAAAAAACACACTTGAAACTCGATCTGTATCTGATTCGAAACCATATACAAATGTGGCTTGAATCCCATTGGAAAAAATCAGACTTGTGGCATTTTGCCATTCAGACTGCTGAAAATCTGTCCTCCACAAATCAAATATGTTGAAAAATTGGATTTAAGCTCCCTGTCTAAAACAAGGCCTTGTAGCTCACTTTGATTTTTGTAAACTCATTCATGACCAACAACTACATTCAAACCGTTAAGGAAAATACTCCACAAAACTTCTGATTGGTCTAAAGCAGCAGGGCACCCTCAGGGTCATCTAGGCTTTCAGAGAAACCGTAATATTTTCTGGTAATGTCTGTACTTTTTAGTTTTTTTTTCTCCCCAAAACAGAATCATGCTTGTGTTTAAACTCTGCATGTATTGCAGTACTACTCCTATTTCATTGTTAAGCTCTGGTTGGTTACAAAAAAGGTTAAATTCTTGAGATACTTGACAGAACAATTTCCAATCAGGGTTTTTATTCTCTCCCTGCTATCTAGGTTAATGTAGCCAAGCTAGCTCTCCCACTGGTTACGCACTCAATGCCTAAAGGCCTAACGTGTCAGATTTACTACTGACAAACAATTTTTGAGAGAAAAAACACCATTCTGGGTCTTCTGGAAGTCCTAGATATGTCACTGACCACAAAAATGAGCCATAGTCTAACCAGGTTTCAATCAGTAGTTAGAAATTGGTGCTATCAGAAATTAGCATTATCACAGAGTTGTTTTTTTTTTGACCGAGTTTTGACATTTATGGTCCGAACTGAAGGCCTAGCTCCATTAGTCATGGGTCATCACTGGTCTAAACTGATGAAGTTTTGTACAGTTCTACTCTGGATAACAGTGCATGTTTGAAAGTTGTTAATTATATGCAATTTCTGTTCTTGTTTTCACAATCAATTTGGATTTTCTAATGTTTCGTTAAAAATCGGTAGACCCTTATTCGTTCATCTCTTTAAATCGATTGATCCAGCTAGGGTTGCGGTAGGGAAAGCAGAGAATCCCAGACGACCCTGCAAATTCCTCCAGCTTATTCAGCAGACCCATGTAACCAAAAGACCAAATTTAATATGATAAATTTAAAGAATAACTCATTTTTTGGCCACGTGGTCTAATAAGTTCGAACATGTTCTTCATATCCGATCAGGCAAGATCAGAGAACATACAGACCAAAGGAAATGTCACATTTCAGATATGGACATTAATGGTTTAAGCTACAGGCCAAACTATGATTTGACATTAACTAAAGTTGAATTTTGTATATAGTGAATAATGTATATCCAATATTTTAATGAATTACTGCTTGTCAAATACAAACATGTGCACAGCCAAGTGGAATGAAGTTTAAAAAGGGGAAAAAAAGGTATTTAATGTGTATATGGTTTCCCCCACTTTAACCAAATATCTACTCATTAACATTTGCCAGTACCAATTTTGATTGTGAGATAAGTGTGTAGGCAGCCTAAAAGTGTGAATGCTTGAACAGTTACCTGTGCCTTTTGTCCATGGCTTCCTCTTCCATTCCATCTTCCAGTGTGGCTTCATGTATCAGCAATGTTGCATTTTTTCCTGCAACACATCACCACATACAGCGATGAAGCACGGCTGGCCACGCACACACACACCTTTATACAATTTGAGGACATGGGGTCATACAGTACTGTGCAAAAGTACAGTGAAACGTTTAAACCTATTTATCATTTATCTTAACAACAAGCAAGGTTTTGCTTGTAGATTTCACCACATTTCATTAAAATAAACACAAATAAATGTAAGTTTTTCCATTTTTTATTTATTTTTAAACAGCAAGAATTTTCTTAACATAACCTGCTTTTACTCTTTCAGATTTAAACCCTACAAAGTCAGGATCATTTTGCTGTTTCTGTTAGGCTTGTTTTACTACAAAGGACATTTTTTTCTAGAAAATTTATAAAGCACACACCCACACACACACATAATCTGAAGTAATCAATCATTGTATTTGTGTTAGATCACTAGTACTGCAGTAATAAAGGCTGTGGGTGAGGAAGTGGAGCTTCAGCCTGGGAGAGATTCAGCCGGCTAATTTGGAGACAGTCGATGGAGCAGCATTCTCTCCTCCTCTCTATCTCTCTCTGTCTCTCTCTCTTTTTCCCGTTCTCTCTCTCTCTGTGGATATTAGAGGAGTTTTGGGCTGTAGGGAAGCCTACAGCGCTGATCGATAACAGAGCGGAGAGAGGAAGCAGAAAACCAAACCGCGGCTTTAAAAACAGGAACATCCCTATTGATCCGAACCCACTCAGGACAGAACAATTACAGAGATACCTACACTCACACGCACCCACACACTGCTCGATTCCACTGCGGTGACTTTTCATAGCCTGCTTTACCCAATACGGATCACCAAATATAGGCTGGAAATTTGAATTGTCACATGATAAATCAGTTCAACCCACATGACTAAAACCAAACAGGGCTTCTAACTCAATTAAAAGGTTTTGTGAAATATCTCATTTTTGTCCATCTTTTTCCACTTTTTCAAATTTAGCGCAGATATGCTCTTACTCTCCAGCTGTCATATTCCAGATGGTAGAAACATTATTATAACATGGGTTTATTGATAAAAAGTCTATCTGAAATAGAGTATGGTTTGTCACCGGGTTACAGCATTATAACCTATTTAACCTAGCTGAACAACAACAAACTCATCCTGTCAACTCTGAGCAACAATAGAGCTGCCAGATGTTTGCAAAGTTGATGTTTGGTAGCTGATGTTGCCATGTTTTCTTTGTCTTTGGCAGCCACCTTGTGTGATATTACTAACAAGCAATGTTGCCTGTGGACACAATTGTTTTATTTCACTCTCACTTTCTAATTAAGTTGGTTGTTAATCTAACGCGGTTCAGCTTCTAGAGCTCTAACCAAGCAGATAACTCACTTAACTATATCTACCTATATACCAAAGGCTCGGACAATTTTCTGTTTGTCATTTCAAGATTTTAACCCTTTCGTGTGGAGCCAATACTTCACCATAAAATAAGAGCATGACCAAAATACATACAGAAACTGAATGCAACAAGCACAATGATTCTATTAAATAAAATGAACTAAAAATTACACACATGTACATGTGTTTTTAAAGTCTGATTCTGGCTATGCTTCAGTCAGCATCAGTCTGCATCTATCCCAATAAAAACAAATGCAAAGAAGCACCCTGGTCCCCAAACAATGCGTACAATGTGATCCCCCTCCTTAGCTAACATTAGCTGGCATGAATATTAACATCAGCAGTTGCAACACAGAGCTTGATTTGTTTTAAGCTTAGGTCCCATGGCTAATGTAAGCTACCTCATCTATTTACCTAGTGTCTGCCCAGCTGTCAATTAGAACGGTGTTCAAATTTTGTTGCTACAACAGTAAGTGTTCCATTAGCATGAACAGTGTGTGCAACACTCACCCATGTGTACAAGGGCGTCACAGGGCATGGTGTCTCCAGAGAACACAATCCGCCAGCCGGACTGATGGGTCAAACTGCAGGCAAACGCATTCTTGCAGTGACGCACAAGACAGGTCTGAAACTGCAACATATACACAGGAAAAACATGTCAGAAACAGTTTTAACCTAGCAGAAATTTATTGTACTATAAAGTTTAATATGTGCTTCAGCATGTCCAACCTTAGTGAGGTCATTTCTCTTCAGGACGGCCTGAATGAAGGATTTGGTTTTAAACTTGGGCACCTCCGCACCTTCACACAGACACTTGGCTGGGATGAAGCTAAAACATGCAGAGAGAAAGACGGTGGATACTAAAGCATCATGATGTTAATGGATCATGGTCGTAATCTTGATTTGTTACAAAGTGTGATTTGATTTAAGAACAGTGTCAATTCTGAACATTACAGTTATTTTTACCAGCTTTTTTAAGTTTAAAAGAGTATTAATGAGATCATAACTAAAGCAAAAACAATAAAAATCCACATGAGCTTGTTCTATAACCAACATTTTACTAATTGTTGACATCTAAAAGGAGTGAAGACCCAAGGCAAAAACTATAACAGGACTGCCATCAATTTGAACCAAAATCTGCTGTATAAAGAGCCAAAATATGAGTTCTGGTCTCTTTATATTGCATCTGCTCATGATTTTTCAGGATTTTCCTTGCCAACACCACAACTGTTCTGAGAAATGTATACAAATCTGGAGCTCTGCCCTGATACAGTATCCCCTAAATACAGTATCTATGTTCCAACCTGAACTCGAAAAATATATATAAATAAATAAACCAGAATGGAGATGGAAAAATGGTGAAAGCACAGGCACTGGGCTTCTTGAGAGGGACATCAGTGCTGAGATAACTCTTCCCACTGCAGTGCTCTATGACAGACTCTATCACTGAGAACTAAGAAATCTCTTCAAAACGCTATAATCCTCATATGGTCCATCCATGTCTGTCTTTGAGATTGCAGGCCTGGACTGCTTCACAAAGTTCTCCAAAAATGCACTTCTGATGTTCAGTTTAGATACTTGGATGTTGAAGCTCTTTTCAGAGAAGTCATGTCTATCACAAAAGTATTTCTTTCATTTCAGGTTCATCATCATTGTCCAGCATTCAACAGGGCTGTACAAAAATACCTTCCAGTTAGGTCTAAGCTATTTGCTAAGCTAAGTCTCAGATATGTCATATGTCCCTTCTCTCCAAAGCATGTCACAATCTATGGAAATAATAGTTTTTTTAGTATTAAACCTTCAGAAGTTATTGTTATTGTTGGACTTACAATATTTTACTGTTTGTTTCAGTGTCAAAAATATGTAATAATGTCAATTTTCTTCTAACACACATCTACTGATATAAGAATAAAATTAGTAACAAAGCAAAGATCAAAAATAATTAAAAGACAAGCACGACAGACCAAACATCAACCAAACTTGACTAGTTTCCAAAAGCTGAAAAAAGGTATAGGTGCATAGCTAAACTGCCCCACAGCTTTGGAGCGGCGACTACAAAAGTACACCAGGGTAGTGCTGCTAAAACATGTGCTAAAAGTGCTAAGCGCTAAAATAACTAACTTTTTTGGAGCAACATATTCTGCTTCAAAGACAACATATTCTTTTTCAAAGACATTCATACTTATTTCAACAGGACAATGGCAAGCCACATTCTGCACAAATTACAATGGCATGTCTGTGTAATCAGAGAATGTCACTCAAATTTTGCTCTCTTAGACAGTTTTTATCATCTAAACCTGTGTCAGCAGAAGCACCAGTAAGTCAAAATCAAACCTGTACTGTGATGTGCGAATCTGTTTTGGCCTGCTCTCTAAGCTAACGTTAAGTTGGTCGATCAGGCTACAGATCCAAACACCACTTACTACTGCTGATCAAACCTGAGTTTGGAGTCAAAGACCACAAAGATTCCTAAAAACTTTGCATGAGATTTGCAAATGGGTAGCAGATGGTGTCGAATCTCCATAAAAGTGCTGGTCAATGACAAAAAAATGGCAAAAATGTAAAGTACATTTTTTCACTGGAAGGTGCTGTGCAGGTGTAGTTAAGACAGTGGCCGTACTTGACATGGCTGAGGATTTCCTGGCAGTGGTCATGATACTGGTTGAGCCACGTCATGATCTGAGTAGGAGCCACCAGATACACTGGAGTGAAAGCTTTCCCCAGACTGTTCTACAGCCACACAGAGAGAGAAAGTATGGTAAAAATATGCAAATTAAAACTGAAATAAAATTTAAATTTAAAAAATTACAAAACATTCATATTCCATTCAAATGAGTATTTTAGCTAAGATTATTAATGTACTATGAAAAGAACATCTGGATTTTGAGCAAAATGAAGAAAGAAATGCGCTTACTAGAGCTCGCTCTCTCTGCAGCAACAAATTAACCAGCCCCTAATGAAACAAGGGAGGAGAAGAAAAGAAAAACATGTTAGTGTGTAAGGTTTTGGGAGCCATACAAGACACAATGAACATATTACAAAGGACTGTAATACCTACATAGTTCACATATAGATGTATGTATTATTCAAAGCTGTCAGTTATTAATCAATTATTTTCCACATACAATATGCTGTGCTACAGAGCCAAACCAAAAGATTATGTCACTGCTCAGTTACTTAGAGACTGTATAGCATTTCCCCAAATAGCCAGTTTTGTCTTTGGGCATAATACAACAAATATATTTCAGTAATCCATAAACACAGGCAATCTAATCCTAGTCAAAGTCTGGTTAAATTTCTTGATCTAAAGTCTGCCCTGGAAACAGTTTAGTTTAGGATCAGGTAGGGCTTATAAAACAACAGCATTAATTATAATCACATACAATATTTATGTAAATATGGAATGACATCAGTTTCCTTAAAGGGGCATTCTGACCTATAGGTGGCATCTAATATATAATATCTATCGTATTATGTACTGTTCTGCAGCACAGCACTGGAATTTGTCATACAACTATTTGGAATCCCCTCCCACAAAAAAGATATCTTGATTGGCAATGTAGCAAATAATGTAGAGGCTAATAAATACAGATGTGATATTCAGCTTCCAAGCAATAACACTACTTATCTGGCTTCCTTCTGCATTAGCCAACTAAAAAAAAAAAAGAAAGAGACTGCCCTCAAGCGTCAACCCCAAAGCAGCTGTTTTCAAAAGCTCCTCCCACCTTCAAAATACATCATCAGAAGATGCTATCCTAGTTTTTACATCAAAAAGTCTTGCTCTAGTAGAGACTACTGCAGCAGTTCTGTAGGAGGTGAGTAAGCATGTTTACAACAGATGAACCAATGGTTACATTTTTCATTTTTGGCCAGTGTCCCATTTATTCAGACCTTTAGACAAATGCCTTCTTAAATGCAAGGATCAGCACGTCTTGTGCTTGAAAAGAAGCACAATGTGCTCTCTAAGGTTTGTGTTAATGCATTTAATTGATACGTGAGTAAACATGACAGCAATTTGAGAGAATGTGAAAGACGCTTATGAGCAATAAACATTTAGAAATGGACATATTACAAGTAAATAGTGTTCTTTATGTTCAGATCCTGGTAATCACTGTGTGGAGTCTTGTACAATGCTGAGTGTTTGAAAATAACCAAAAACAAGCTTTTCCTCAGATGCTGGATGAGTGACTGACTACAGAGATATTGATTGTTTAGCTGTGGATGACATTCGACACACCTACATAGGCGCTTACCACAAAAGGTGACGTTTTCAACTTGAACTCAAAATTTAAAAACACAAAACGTGTCAAGCAGGCAACAGGAGAGCTTTTCAATCATAGTGTGCGCTGCTTCAGATACAAAAATAAAAGAAGGCTGTTGTCTGAACACCTTCTAAATTAACTATAACGCAGAGCACTGTTTGCAACATTTGCTGACGGTATGACGCTACTCAAACGGTCAACATCACCAATATGTAAATGCATATAATAACCATCAATAACATTCTACAATGAATGAGACATTATAGAAAAACATGACAATATTACTGGCCATATCCAGCACTGAGTTTATTTGGTGTGTTTGTTTGGCTTTCTGAGCGCTTGCTGCTTGCACTCACCGTGTGATGATCAGCATGTATGTGAGAGATAAACACGGTGGACAACTTGGTCAACATCTCATCCACATGGTTGCCATAGTGACGGCACATCTGACCAAATGTGCCCTCACCACAGTCCATCAGCAGAGACTGGGAAGAGCTGGGACAGGTAAACAGGGGTTGAGTACTCATGCAGCCACTTAACCCTTATTACTTAACACTTATTATTTTTATTTTACTGTTTAACATAATTACATAATAACAAATTGAATTACATAGTAAGTTACACAACAAAATACATTCAAATTTATTTTACATACTGTATACTTTACATAATGTGACTTTTGTTTGTTTCAATGTCAAAAAAGGTGAAATCATGACAAAATTGTAAAGAATGATTTTCTTTCTGCAACCCAAGAGTTGACACAACAATAACGATTCAATAGAATCATTCCAGCCACAACTGCAGCCTATAAGGGTTAATGATGAGTAAACATTTACTGTACCTACCTGATATTAACCAGAGTGCCGCTGACGTTTCTGATCTTCATCGGCAGAGCTGAGCCCGTCCCCAAAAACACCACCTCAGGGTACCGGTCCACTTTACCTTCAAAACACACAAGCACACAGAGTCAATCTAGCTCCAAACTCATCGAACAACACAACACTACAGCAAAGCTACTCAAACAAGGAAGTAAGGGGTGTCAAGAATCCAGTGTTCTAAAATATCAGATTTAAAATCTGATATGAATAACGTTTCTATTAGGATGGTGAAAAGTGCATAAACAATGGTTAGTGAGGGTCCTGTATGCATTTAGGTTAGTTAGGGGAGACAAAGGTGGGGGTGTGGGTCAGCTATACATTTAATTGATATTGTGGGTTCTATTTTATTTTTGTTTTTGTAATATTTGTATTGCATATTGTGTTTTTTAGTATTAGTCATATGTTTATTTTATTTGCAGATGGAAAACTTAGTAGAAAAGCATCTCTTTTTTTGAGATTAATGCCTGGTCCCTGACTAAATAAACATAAAATACTAGTAAGACAATTTGAACATCTATTTTTTTCTACTTTCTGATAACCCAAATAAACAGATTCACCAAAAAATTGAATTATAGTAAAATAAAAATTGAGCTTGTTCTGCACTTCAGAATCACCTAGACTAAAAACACCAACATCTTCACCTGGAACACAGGCAGAACTGTGTAACATTACCAGAGTGAACTCTTTACAAAGTGATAATTCTGAAAATAATAATCAACAAACCATTCTAGTTAACATTCTGGTGCACACGGGCATTTTTCCACTGCACATTCAAAAACAAGAACTGGCCCACAAGGGAACCAACAAAACATTATCCAAATATAAGCTATGTTAGCATTTTTTTCATATAGGCAGACAAAATCACTTCTTTTTTAAAAACAGGCCCCCAGATTATACCCCTAGCTTGCAAAGCTGGCTTGACCAACCATGTAAGAATGCAACAAATGACAGTTTCTGAACAACACATGGTCTCCAAACCCTGTGGAGGAGCTGCAGAAGTGAAGAAGTGTTTGATTCAGCCGAGAGTGAAAAGGTCAGCAGGCTGCTCAGCTGAGAAAATGAAACGTCACCAAACATCAGTGTTCCTGTCCATCTCTCTCTCTATGCTCTGAGCAATCACTTCAACCCCTCCACCCCACTCTTTTTTTCTACTCTCTATCACTCTCTATTTCGAACTCACCAGACAGGGTGACAGAATCAGTCGTTTGGAACCGTTTGAACTTCTCCACTTCCTGCAGAAAGTTTGGCACCTCTGCGGCCTCCTTAACAAATTCCCCTTCATCGCAGGGAGGGATGGCGTCTCTGCAAACACACACAGGCACACACACACACACAGATCACAATCAAACACTCTCAGTCATCTGAGCAAGTGCTGACAGAAATATAATAGCTTGGAAGCAATTGATGTGAATCCTTCATCAATTTTAAGGGAACATCTTTGAGAAACAGAGAGACGGAATCAGTATCCGGTCACACTAGAGCTCCACTGCAGATAGCTTCTGTCTATAAGTCCTGTGACTGAACTTTAACTTTTAATCTGGAGATAGCAGACATACTGACGCAGCTATTCCGACTTTAGATGTTATCATTATTTAAGACAAAGCAGTGATTTCAAACTGTTTAAGCTTTTCTCTAGACTTAGTGTTAAGCCTAGTCATAAATTCAGTTACAGTGAGAGGGATTCTCTGATCCAAATCATTTTCAGCCTTTATCTGAAAACCTGGCTCTAAAGTATATGATTTTAATTGGAACCAAACGATTAACATAATGTGGACTCGATATTTTCAACCCAATCTCCAGCAAACTGGAGTGGGGACTGTGAATTTTAGATCAGAGTAATCTGACACAGTTCATACAAACTCTAGATTAGTATAATCTGAAGCAGTAATTATGAACCACACATTAGTGCAATCTTGACTGGGGATATATGAATCCTAGTTTAGTGTAATCTAGAGTAGTAAATATATACTGTAGATTAATGTAATCTTGTTTGAGGAATATTAACTTATTGTATTCTAGATCAGGGAACATGAACTCTAAATTAGTGTAATTTGTAGTAGTAAGTATGAACAAGTATGAACAGTAGATTTGTGTAATCTGGATTGGAATATGAACCATGGATTAGTGCAATCTGGAGTAGTAAATATCGTAGAATAGTGTAATCTGTATTGGGGAGTATGAACTGTGTATTAGCATAATCTGGATGGTGGGGTGTGAACCCTAGATTAGCCTCAGGGTTGGCTAATACGAACTCTAGTTTAACGTAATCTGGCTCAGTTAAAGTAAACTCTATTACCACAAACTAGACTGGGGAAAAATACCCCTAGATCAGTATAATCTGGATTGAGGAATATGAACTCTAATCTGTAACAGGGTCTCACCGCTGCCACTCTGCTTTGGGTCTTAGCTGGAACTTAAGCAGACACTCCGCTCTCACGTTGGGCACATGCAGAGCAGCCTGAGACTCCTACAGCAAACAAAGAAGCAGAACAGACAATGCGGATTAATAAACAAAACGTCCCTTTTCTTTTATTGCACTTGCAGGTTTTGAAAGTAACCAGTGGTTTAAACTGCCCTGCTTGGTGATTTAAAGAATGTGCTGCTTTGTTAGATTTGCTTCTTTGTTAAACACTACCAGGCCAATGTGTGAGTACACATGCATTATTCTTCGAATGTATCATCATCACCATCATCACCATCATTAGCATCATCGTTTAAGTTTTCAATTACTGTTTTGATATGTTGCCTGATGTTCTGTTTTGTATATTACATTGCATTTGTCTGTAAAATGCACACCAGCAAATATACAAATACTGCAATTATGAGGGAACAAAAACCAGACACCACCAAGTGTTCTCAGACATCTGAATGGTAGTGTGTGTATGGTGAAGATAAAGCCAACATGGCCATCAGCGCTGGGCTTTTGTAAATGTGGTACCGTGCTTTTGTAGTGCTGGAGTTGAGGGAAGATGTCAGTGTGGATGAGGTTCAGTTGCGTTTGGATCTTTTGGCTCCTGACGTTGTGAATGCAGCACGCCTGCTCATTCATAATCATGTGCTCCGTACTGGAGGGGAACCTGAGAAAGAAAAGGATTCATAAAAACAACACCTAAGTCTGATTTATCGTTCTCACAATAAATTGTCATTATGCCACAAAATGCTTGCCTGAGCAGAACTGACCAACTGCATGTTTTATTACAAAGAAAGCATAATAAGTCCTGTTTAACTGAATTTAGTGCAGTGCTGTATGTAAAATTACAATACTCATATTCTTGATTTTTTTTTTATGGTGCTCTTTTGCCCGATCCAACTTATCACACTTCAAAAAGCACAACTGTGTCCACAGACACAATCTTTTCTGAATTAGATTCATATTCACAGTGATTCTTTTCAGACAAGTCTTTAGTAATCAGCTTTGAATAAAGCAATTGTACAGGACTGAAATCACACTGAACACACTATTATTAATTGTAACACTGTGTAGTGGGAGCACTGTGTACCTCTCCATCCACCGCTGATACTCCTCTGTTTTCAGCACTGATTCTGGGGTCATGTGCACCACCAGAGTGGCTCCATCTTCCCCACTCTGATATCTGACACACACACATACACACACACACATTATGAAAATGATGTGATCATGGTAATGTGTCCCATAGACATTACTTTAATGGACAGTAAACCGGACAGTAACTGAGTCCAGGCTGACGGTACCTTTGGAGGATCTCGTTAGTGCAGAGCGGTTGAATAAACTGTTTGGAAGGGCAGTCAATCACAAGGAACACTAGCCCTGGGTCAGTGGGAGTACACACTTCCTCTGGTTGGATCTGAAACACACGGTAAGGCAAAATGTGAAGCTACATCCCAAACCTCCTGTCATTCCGGACTCCAGCACAACCTTCTGTCCAGGTGGGAGAATAAAACTAAAATTAGGGCTGGACAATATGACAATATTTACAGTGATACATTACATCACAATATGCTTTTCTGAGCATATCGTCTGTACCTCCAGAAAACATAACAACGGCATGTTTCATTAAACAGAGATCACAATTAATGCTGTTTAACTGGAATTAGTGCAGTGCAATATGTTAAATGTTGAATAAAAAAATCCCTGTAATCATATTTTTAACAGTACTTTTAAACACAGCAGCACTGGTCCTTTTTTGTTTGTTGCAACTTATTGGATGCCAGGAAAAAAGTATTATGATATTGTGTATCATGAAAATTTCTTGAAATACTGTGATGTTGTGTTTTTGTCATACTGCCCAGCCCTAACTCTGACAGCATAAGAGCAGGAGAGGCTAACAGATGCAGATCCTCTAAAATCTCTACTTTACAAAAGCCCATTCTGTAACTATAAAGGCAAAAAACTGTATCAGGATCAGATATATGACTCTGGCAACCTTTGATCAAAACACTGCAGGACTGCAAGTAATTTTATGGGTGGCAAATCTCTGACTTCACAAAGATTCAGTGCATCACTGAAACTATAATTTCACCACAATTTGATTTGATTCGACTATTATTGAATATTTCGGGGCTGTAGCCATAATATTTACAGTTGAGTGGCAAGGTTAGGCCCAGTGATTTTATTAGGGTGGGAAAAAATGAGAAAAAAAGGTTTGTGGACATTAGATGTTAGATGTTATGGCAAAGTCCCTTATTTCAATAAGATTCAAAATTACTTTTATAAATATACTGACTACATAAATGTAAATGCAGGAATTACTTAATAAGTAACACAGTAAGTAGCCTTTTGAAAATAGCCTGAGAATTTTATTTTGGCCAAAATATAGTGCATGCTCCACTGAATATTACTGTTTGTAATTTTAAAAATGCAGTTTAATCACCAGTCAGTTCAATCACTATTAATTAAACATCATCTCTGTGGATCTACCATTGTTAAACAGTACAACTTAACTGATATTGAAATTGAACTTTCAGTTTCTTTTTGAACATGGTTCCATAACATCAATACTAAACAATGCTCATTATACCTGTGAGAAGACAAAGTACAAGTTTATCAGCAAAATATCACCCTCCATACCTCTTTTCCCTCATAGGTCACACTTTTCCCATCTTTTAAGGCAGTTATGATTGGTCCGATAGCAGCTGTCCCCCTACAAATAAACAACAGAAGCATACAGTGTGAGTTTTACCATCATATGAAGACTAGAGAAGTGAATAAACATCCAGGGTCCACTATCACTTATCTCTGAGTAAGAACACTTATCATGAACTGCCTCACACAGCATATGCATTTCAGTCAGGGTTCCTGCCTCCATTTCAGCTTCACAAAACCTAACAAACGCAACTGCAGTCATTTTTCAATGGTGGTTAATAACATTGTTAACCGATGTTTATACACTCAAGCTATGATCAATCCATGTCGCATACACATGAAAAACACAACAAACAGTCAATCGCATGAAACACGGAGAGGAGTTAAGTGGCTTAGTTTTACGCAAAGGAAAAAAAAAAATCACGCTACAAAAATATGAAGAAAGTAAAGCATTTATGACAAAAAAGCATCACTTTTTGCTGATATAATTACTTTTTATTTTTCATTTTTGTGGTAAGATTTTATGTTCCTCCTCTGAAAAGGAAAGCAACATTTCACATGACTGTGGCAAACATTAGAAGAAAAGCCACTTTATGGTTGATGCGCCATTTTTTCTTTTAGTGTCTTGACTTCATATGTATTATAAAACAAACTAACAGATTATGATTTGCAGCAATTTGCAAAAAAGTGACCAGAGAGTGTCCATCTCAACCAGAGGCTCAGTCCTGATTGGTCAAAGAGCTGTTTATGAGCCATAAATTTCAACTTAAAGTGCTGTGGAGCAGTTAAAGCGTGCAGCATAAATTGCCATGGCGATGTAGCCAGCTAAAATATTATCCACCCTTGTGAGATCAGGGGAAGTCGAGGGAATCCAGAGTTACACTGAACTAAGTTTAAAGTTAGCTGGCTATGTAACAAATCCTGCTTTGTGAGACAGGCTCCCTGGAGTCATCAGTTCATCTAAATCTATTCAGCGTTTTATTAAAGACGTAAACTAATCCCAGATCAGTATTCTTACTCTGAGAATTTTGATAAACGTGGGCCCAGACTAGTGATTAAGTACTAAAAGCCTTAATAATGTCATTATATAACCTGAACAAAGACGATTTTTGTAGTAGAGTCACTGTTTGTTAGAACAAATGTTAAACCACAAAAAAAAATCTACTTACACAGGTAATCCCAGCTCCTTTGCTTTCTGCACAAGAAAGTTTCCTTTTTTCGGATGCAGCTAGAAATGAACAGAGGGAATTCTCATCACAGAAAGCTTTAATGTAGACACAGTTAAACAGGTGTTTGCTGTAGTCAGAGATGACAGTTACCTTACAAACGTAAGCTACGACCAAAGAGGGATCCCGCGTAGTTCTCTCTTTGCCTTCTGAGAAAAAGGGGACAAAAGCCAGAGACTTCACATATAAAATGACCACATCTGCCTGCCATTTGTAGACTTTATACAGACACCTGTTCATTATTACACAGCAAAAAAGCTTAGTAATGATGTTCAAAGACTGGACCTCATAGACACAAGGGGATATATACATTACATACGTAAGGAAAAAGAGTTCGTTCTCAGACTTTCAAAGATTCTGTCTTAGTCAATTCACATTTTTGCTCTATTTCAGTTTCCACTAGTACTAATAGCCACTTACAGTGCTGTGAAAATGTCTTTGCCCCTCACTCAATTTTTCGCATTTGAATGTTTCAGATCATCCAACTAATTACAATATAAGACAAAAACAACACAAGTAAACACAAAATGCAACTTTTAAATGATAATTCCGTTTACTGAGGATTAAGATTTATTCAAAACCTGTATTACCCATGTGAAGTAATTGCCCCCTAAACCTAATAACTGGTTGTGTGACCCTTGGTAATAACAACTGTAATCAAACGTTTACAATGAGTATTTTACATCGCTGAGGAGGAACTTTGCACAACTCTTGGCAGAATTGTTTTAGTTCAGCTACATTGGAGGGTTTTCAAGCATGAACTGTCCGTTTAAGGTCTTGGCACAGCATCTCAATAAGATTTAAGTCATGACTTTGACTCAGCCAAAGTCCCAGAGCTTTAGCAATGCTTTTGTAACCATTTCCAGACCGTTAGATTCAATGACTTTGTCTCATATCTGTATTTGAATTTCTTCAGAATGTGGCATCATGTGCTGCTTTTAAAACCTTTTAGTCTGCTTCACGCTTACAGACAGGATCTATTTAAGTGATGGCAGTAATAACGCCTGGGTGTAGCTAGTGAAACTGAACCCACAGTCAACTGAATTTGGTTAACTGGTTGATTTAGTAGCTAATTACTTTTCCACATAAGGCCAGGTAGGGCTGAACAGTGTTTTTCCTTCAATAAATAAAATCATAATTTAAAAACAGCCTTTTGGGTTATCTTTGTCTAATAATAAAAGCAGTGTGATAATCTGAAATATTTCAGCATGACAAACATGCAAAAAATAGAAGATACTGGGATATCCTATATCAAATACTTTTGCACAGCAGTGTACATCAGAGCTGCAAGCACATTTTTGTGCACTGAAAGGCTGAGAAACAGTAGTCATTTTCTTTTATTAGAGCTACAAAAACAAATAAATACACAGAGGAGTCCAAAAGTCTGAAAACGCTAGTGAAAATGCTCCTATTCTGCATTCTATTCTGACTTAATACAAACTTTTCAATAGCAAATTATATTATCAGCATATCATTTTGAGTAAAAAGTAGAGTCTTTGAAATTATTTTCAGAATTTTTTTAGTATTAGTATTAGGCATCTCCCCCTTTTTGCTTTAGTGACAGTGTCCACTCAAGCTGGTATGGACTCCACAAGTTTGTGCAAAAGCCACTGATCAGTAGATGAAATACACAGAGTCGTCTGAACATGTGTTTCAATGGTAAAGTAATAGAGAACTAAAAAAATGTAAAAAAAAAAATATATATATATATATATATATACAGTAGCCATTACTGCTTCAGTAGCCATTACTGCTTCATACACTTTACATACAACTCTGAGAGCGAGAACAGTCACCACATTTGAAGTATTTTTACAGGCTAGTAGTTCAGGAGTTCAGTAGTTTTTGAGCTGTACATGCGTTTTGTAATTTACGTGCTCTTCCTTTCACAGCATCAAGCTGCTATAATTGTTAGCCTAGAAATAGTCTCATTTTCATTATGTTACTAAGACAATATTGTTTACTTACAAGTAGTAAAAAGGCTTAATATGCTTTAACTGCAGGTGTTCACACAATGTTTAGTAAAGGAGCATCTGCTGCATTGGACGTTTATGTATGGGACTGTTTTTTGTGGTGGTATTGAATACTGATATTTAACGGCACTGCTATTAACTACAGAGATTCTGGTATTGTAACGTCTCTATTATGGGTACCAAACACTTCTGCTGAAAAATAGTGCCCAGATTATTTTAATTATTTGGGAAACTCCTCAGATTTATCCCTGTAAATTGGTGGTTGATTGCTGTACCTGGACTTGACGCTCTGTTGTTGGTTGGGCTTTCCTCGCAGTCATCAGGCCGCCACAGCTCCCTCCGCTGGCTGGATGTGGAACTGCTGTTCGGACTGCTACTGCGCCTCATTCCCTCAGCATTCTGCTCAGCTACACACACACACGTTTAGGTTTAAGCCATAAACTTACTCATGTTAAACACAGCTAAACACTAGATAGCATTTTATTTTACAGTCCACTAAGATCTAGGTATTGACCAGGCAAATGTGAGTACTAGGTAATTATTTTGGGTAACATGATTGTAAGAGAGTTTAACTAAACTACACTGAAAACAGGTTCTTGGAACACAGGAATTAACAGAGTGTGTTCTAAATATTTTGGGTAAAATAATGATAAGTACCAAGACAGTCTAACTGAATTAGATTGAAATGAAATAGAAGTACTACTCAGACGGGATTACCTATTCATCAAAACAGTAAAACATTCAATTTAGTCGTTATTTTGTTTATCCTAACCATCTACCTCGCTGTCTTAACCCTCCTATTATCTCTGGGGTCAATCAGACCGCATTCAGTGTTTAACATCTCTAAATAAATTGACTGACATCATTTATTGCTTCATATTTAATGAAATGTTTTTATTGTCCTGTACATATTTTTATGCATCTGTATTCTTCAGGGTCAATTTGTCCCCAGGTTGTATTAGCCCTATAAAACAAACATCTTAAAGAACATTTTATTGAATGATATATCACGCAATTTTATAATCTCCCTCTGCTTTAGGGCCCTAACCAAACATTACCACTCCTGCAGTAGCATGACAACCACTGATAGTTCACACAACATGTGGGAGAGGAAAACATTATTTCAGCTTTTAATTGCTGTGGTCAAACTGACCCCAAGGATAAAACAAGTTACTGAATTTGAAGATAACAGGCAGGTTAAGTGAATGCACTGTCATTAGCACATCAGCACATCAATGCACGTCAGTTGGCACAGGACTCATATAACCTGAGATTATTTCTATGGCTTGTTTTATAGAATGTAAAATGTTCAGATTTACTGTTTTGCACAAACCCACATTTTTGTGCTAAAAAGTGGCTGTTGTGATTAACTAAATAGGCGCAACAGCCTTTTAGTGTCCATAATAAGACTAAAAGTTGTGGCTGTTGCTCATTTGCACTCTTCATCTGGAGCCTAAAACACAACCAACACTTACCAAATACAGGCACTTGGGTGACGGTCATGGTGTCGTCTTTATATACTGATTCAGTATATGGCCTCACAGCTGTGTTCCAACACAAAGGGAGGAAAAGATTTAATTTAATAGACGGAACTGAATGTGATTCTGTACTCCATAAGCATTACAGTTACTTTTTCAGAAAAGAAATGAAAACCATGCACAAAGAAGCACAAGGCTCAGAGTTCATCTTACATAATTTGATGTCCTCTAATGGTCCAGAAAACACTTTGATAGCATTCAAATACTTCTCCTGCAAAAAAACAACAAAAAAAAATTATTATCAAACTGGCTACTTTCATCGGTTTTCTCCTTTAAACTACAAAGCAAACCAATTCCAAAACAGTTGGGACAGTAGCTAAAATGCAAATCAGAACAGGAAGTAGTGATTTGTGATAGGTCTTTTACATGTATTTAATTGAAAACAGCACAATAAAGAAATATTTAATTTTATTACCATATCAACTTCATTGATTTGTGTACATATAGACTCATTCCAATTGATGCCTTCAACACATCACAAAAAACTGGAGCAGTGGCAATGTAAAATCATGAAGTTTGTAAAATGATCAAAAACAACTGTTTTGGAACTTTCCACAGTTAAACAAGTGAAGACGTAACAGGATGGATCGATGTTAGTCACTTTGCAAAAATACTGCATGAGAAAACAGTTGAACAGTTTATGAATAATGTTTCTCAAAGCATGATAGCAAGGAAATATACGGATTTCATCATCTACAGTCCATAACATTACTAAAAGATTCAGAAAATCCAGAGAACTCTCTGTGCATAAAGGGCAAACCATCCCAAAGATAGAGAGAACGACAAAATGAGAGAAAACAGAGAGAGAGAGAGAGAGAGAGAGAGAGAGAGAGAGAGAGAGAACTATACATCATCAAGCACTTTATAAGGAACACTATATTAATACTGCGTGGGCCCTCTCCATTTTTTATAGCATGGATTCCACAAGATGTTGGAAACATTCCTTTGAAATTCTGGTTCACATTGAAATGATTGCATCATGCAGTTTTCCAGGTGTACTTTCAAGCTGCGAATCTCCTGTTCTACCACATCCCAAAGCTATTCTATTGAATTCGCAACTGTACAGATGTCAATTTGTAATTCTGTAAAATGCTCTATATAATAGTTTTTTACGGCATATTTTATAGTACATGTCTATTGAGACCTGCATACGTACAGACATCCATATCTGCACATGTACAGATGCTCACACACTCACACATTGCTCCTTTCTCATGACTCTTCTTTTCTTTATTCTTTAGTTTTTATTCTATTTTTCTCTTTAAATGTTTAATTCATGTTAACAGTCTGTGTGCTTGTCTGGTCTGTTTAGTATGTTACGTCACACATGTGTGCAGTCACCAAGACAAATTCCTTGTTTGTGCAACATACGTACTTGGCAAAATATGTGATTCTGATTCTGATTGAGCCACTGAAGAAAACTGAGCTCATTTTCATGGTCATGAATCCAATTTGGATGACTTTTGCTTTGTGATGGTGCATTATCATGCTGGAAGTAGACATTAGAATATGAGTAAATTGTGGGGTGCACACGGTCAGCAACAATACTTATACAGGCTGTGGCACTGAAGCGATGATGACTGCTATTAACAGGCCGAAAGTGTGCCAAGAAAACATTCCCCACATCATTACACACCTACTCCAGCCTGAACTGTTGACACAAGGCAAGCTGGGTCCATGTATAGCCTGTGCCCATCTACACATTACACCAACAGGAGCTTTTATGACATTCCATTCTAAATCCATAGGCATTAATATGGAGTTACCCCCCCCCCCTTTGCAGCTATAACAGCTTCCACTCTTATTCTACAAGAGTTTGAAAGGCGTCTGTGGGAATTTTTGCGCATTCATCCAGAAAAGCATTTGTGAGATCAGACCCTGACAGTGGACGAGAGGTCCTGGTTCGCAATCTCCTTTCTAGTTCATCCCAAAGGTGTTTGATGGGGTTAAAGTCAGGGCTCTGTGCGAGCCAGACCCCAAACTATTCCCACAAAGTTGGAAACATACAGTTGTCCAAAATCTCTTGGTCTGCTGAGGCATTAAGATTTCCATTCAGTGGAACTAAGGGGTTTAAGCCAACCCCTGGAAAACAACCCCATTGCATTATCGCTCCTCCACCAAACTTTACAGTTGGCACAATGCAGGCAGGCAGGCAACGTTCTCCTGACATTCGCCAAACTCGTCCATCAGACTGCCAGATAGAGAAGCATGATTCGTCACTCCACAGAATACGTTTCCACTGCCCCGGAGTCCATTAGTGGTTCTTTACACCACTCCATCCGACGCTTGGCATTGTGCTTGGTAATGTAAGGCTTGAATGCAGCTGCTCGTCCATGGAAACTCATGCCATGAAGTTCCTGGCGCACAGTTTTTGTGCTGATGTTAATGCCAGGAGAGGTTTGGAACCCTGCACGTATTGAGTCCCCAGAGTGACTTTTATGCACCATGTGCCTCAGGACGACATGTTATAACGATGGCATCCTATTCCAGTACCATGCTCAAATTCAGTGAGCTCTCTCAAATGTTTGTAAAGGATGACTGCATGGCTAGGTGCTTGATTTTATACACTTGTGGCAATGGGACTGAATGGAGCACCTGAATTCAATGATTAAGATGTGTGTTCCAATACTGTTGTCCATATAATGTACATAAAGAGAGAGAGAGAGATACACACCAGCTGTGGAGGTCCAGAAAGGACACACTCAGGGACTCCTGTGTCTTTCAAGGTGAGAATCATTCCTGCACAAGAATAACCTCAGAATCAGGCACACTGCACTAAACAACACTGAACAACATTCACGCAAATTCACTGATCTACAAATCACAACTTCCCAGAAACACATGTATATGTTCTGTACAGTTCTGTTGCTGTACCATTGCAATTTACATGAGAATTCATAAAAACTACTGTTGACAATATCTAAACAACTGTAGACGCCTGCTCATCCAATGTTTCTTCTGAAATCAAGGGTATTAATAGGGAGATCCCCTCCTTTGTTGCAGTAACAGCCCCCACTCTTCTGGGAAGGCTTTACAATAGATGTTGGAACATTGCTGTAAGGATTTGGTTGCATTCAGCCATTAGAGCATCAGTATTTATAGCATTTCCTGACTAACTCATGCATAACATTATTCAGATATAACTTTGCATGTACTGTTTCATAGCCAAGGTCTGGGCTTCACATATAAAAGCTTAATCAAGATGTAAGTATTTGGTATTGACTTGAGAACATGGTTACCCGTGCTGACTCGTTTCAAAACAGTCACATTGTTGTGTGCCGAACACAGCTTCATATGTAATTGATCACATGTGTTTTTGGAAAATAAACCAAGCATCGATACAGCACTTCATAGTAAAGCACATTCGTTTTATGACACATGCTCCAGAGCTTCAGTAGTACCATCACTACCGTCCACAGAGTTGAGAAGACCAATTTCAAGGAACAGGTTAGAAAGCTGGATAGCCGATACGAATTACCAGGTACTTCGCTTCACGCAAAGCTACTACTACCAGGTCCACTCAGAAGTGGAACTAAATGATTCACAGCATTTCAAGCATTTTGCACTAAGTTCAGACATGTGGTCAAGCATTAGTTTACAGCCATAAATATCTACTACTGCACAGTTCCTTAGCAGTGAAAGAAAATGGGTCAAAATGCCTCAAGACCAGTTGTGTATGTATATAATATATAGCTGCTGCTCTATGAACTTCTGATTGGAAAGTTGCCCTGCATCTCCAGTGGCCGTCAAAAAACTAGACCTGGCCGAGTCTTTTTGAGCACAACATTTTAACCTAGCAGTAAAAAACGTCACAGTGTGTAGCAACACTGGTACCTGACAAGCCTCCGACCGTCTCCCAGCTCATCCTGGTCAGGAAAATGTTGTCCAATCGAGCCGCCTTCAGTCTGAAAGAACGAAAAACATTTTTAGCATGGTCCTGCAAGTTATACGGGTACATCTGTTACTGAAAAGGGTTTTACAAATAAAATTTATTATTAATATTATTACTTGTGCTCTTGCATCAGCCTCTGGGTCCCTTCCCCACAGTTGAACAGATACCTAAAAAGAAAACCAGCAAAGTAAGTTTATTTGTATCTACTTGTTAATGCAGATAACAGCACTCTTAACAGATTATCCATATGTATGACGCATGTATGGTGTGTCATACATGTGTGCAATCACCAACACAGATTCTTTGAATATGTAACACATTCGTCAAGAATCAGAATCACTTTATTTCATTCTGATATTGGCCGATACTTCTAAATGCATTACAAAACAAACCATTCAATCTGGGTGATTTTACTAGGGTCTGCAAAAAAATTGTCAGAGGTTTGCTACCTGACACGATGCCAACAAAATATCAGGTAAACGTTTTTCACATACAACATTAAACTCAGGTTGGACACAATCGCAACCCTGAATGCCCCTATATGAAATGGATGTATGACAAGACGTGTGTACGAACAAACTGGGGTGAATTGTGTGAGACGTTAATGTCATTTATAGGTTCATGGGCTGGTTAAATGTTTGGGTCTAGCCCCAGAAGCACAGGCCAGGTGTAAATTAAAATCCATAAAGCCATAGTAAATTAAAGAGGAATCTGATTCTAGGTCAGCCTCCTGATTTGAGAAGCTTTGTGAATATGAGCCCAGACTGAACAGACGTTTCAACACCAAAGAAAAATAAAGAAGAAACTAAATAACTGATATGAGGTATTTATTAATTGCTCACTGGTGACGACACACAAACGTACAGGGGGATTTATTTTTGTTAAATGTGAGCTAGTAAAGAAAATTATGTTTAAAAAGGTGCCTACAGGCATCAACAAGGTACTAAAGGAAATTCTAACACATTTAATTTGTACTGTATATAAATGAAACAATCATAACAAAAACGTGATCAGTTTTCAGAGATGAAGCATCCTGGATATCGGATTAATTCTGACTTCACTCTCATGTTTTACAGCTCTCATCATTACTGAATCATCATTCTGCACCATCATCCTCCTCCTCCTCCTCACCGGTTGTATTCTGAGAAGACATAAAGCGCGCTCCCGTTCTCTCTGCTCCCAGCGCTCACCGCCTGCGCGTGCACGGTGCTCGGCCCTGGGAGCTCCCGGTGCGCGCGCTTCTCCTTGGAGCGCACGTGCCGCAGCGGCGCGTCCTTTGCAGGCTTCTTCCCCGCGCGTGGCAACATGCTGTCGCTCCACGGCCGCAAACACGCGGCGCGAGACACACCGGCCTTGACGTCACCGTGACCGAGGAGCTCCGGTAACGGCGTCGCGCGCTTCAGAAATCGCCACGCAGTCGCGCGAGAGCGCAGCAGAGCCGCAAGCATGAACACACAGCGCGGATATGAGACTACGGGAAACACCGGAGCGCGCGGTCACGCATGTTTACCGAACAGAGCGCGAGAGCGGCGAAACAGCAGCGGCGCACGAGACTGCATAGGGGAGGTTTGGTGTTTTCCGGCGCCGAGTGATGACGCAGGATAAAAACACTCCAACGTGACACAGGCGTGACCTCAAACCACGAGTAGAGACTGTTTTATATATTTTGTTTTTATATGTTGCCCTTAAAGTATTTTTGACTAACACAGTGAGAGAAGTGTCTTACATGTTAATTTATATATTTGACACCACTAAAAGCTTTATTCAAATAATTAAAAAAAAGACTTTCAAACCAACTGTAGTTTCTGTGAAAGTCCCTCAGAAACAGCCCTTCATTATTTTGGTTCTGCAGCCACACAGAGAAATTCTGCTCTGATCTGCTGAACTCAGTTAAAAGAAGTTTTTCATTTTTCTTCATTTTCAAACATGTATTGTTCGAATTTCATGATTATGAAATGAGTAAAGTTTGTATGTATTATGTATTAAATATATTTTTTCGAGCAAAATATCATTTTCACAAATGAAAATTTAGAAATGTAAAACCTTGTTTCCCCTTAATTATAAATGAGCTAAAGCTGTATAGAAATATAGTGACTTGCTGGAGCTGACATCTTACAACATTTATAAATACTTTTTTGGTTAATGTATCTGTTTTTAATTATTTTTATTTTTTATTATTAATAGTATTTTTATTACTATTATTTTTTACTTTAATTTACTTTATGAGAATATTATTCAGTTGAATTTATATTTAATTTTACCCATATTCATTTACATTTCACTTCCATTTTGTAATTACTACATTTACACTACCATTCGTAAAACTTGGAATCACTCTCTTCTATAATGTGAAACCAATTTTATTTCAGATACACTTATAAAACGATTTCATTATGATGTTAGCACTCTACACTGGTATTATCAATTTTTTTTGAAGCTGTGAAAAATGAAGAAAAGTTAGATGTGTCCAGAATGATAAGCAGAACTGTTGATGATTCTACAACAAGAAAGCTGGATAACATCAAAAATTAAGTTATATTTATATTTGTGAGTGGTAATGAAATCTAGAGATAACTTACAAAAAACAAATGAAACAATAAAAAAAAAAACTGTAAATAAAGTGTTTTATCAATTACACATTCTTGCTGTTCCCAAAAACCAAAATATTGAACAAATCAATATCTTTTGGTTCCTAGCAGTGTTGATATAGTTATAATTAAAAAAATTAAAAAACAGCAGTTACAAATATTAAAGTGATTCCAACCTTTCAAACAGCAGTATATATTTACTTATGCTTTTATATTTACGTTTTATCTGTTTTTTAAAAGTACTTCATTTTTACTTCAACTGGTTTACACATTTACAGTGTAGCACTGACCACCTAAACAAAAAGTATGTAATAAATAAAATAAATTGCAATGACCTTTTTCCCCTTGAGCTGGTTTAAGCAATAAATAAGGAGCAATTCGGAAATCCTCAAGAGAAGTTTTCCCCAGTCTAGCAGTGCTGCACCTGATTCAGCTGCAGGACTTCATCATTAGCTAAATAACAAATGACTAAAACCTATATTCAACAACTCAAAAACAGTAAAAATGGCATTATTATTATAGTATTGTAACGAGCTGTCAACATTCTGAAGTGTAATATACCTTAAATAAATGAAGTAACTGCACACTCGAGCGTCTTGTTTCTGAGTTTGTTTATTTATTTATTTATATATCAGAACGTGGTTCATTGTACAGTGAGGACACAGTCATTGCTAGGCAGAGACCAGGTTATGACAACAATTCCGCCTTCCATCCACAGCCAGTGGTTACCAATCCCCATGCTCTGCACATTTTTTTTTGTTTTGTTTTTGTTTTTCTTGCTCTAACACACCCAGTCCAGCTCATGAAGGGTTGATTAGACTCAGATACGGATGATTTGCTGATTACAGAATGAGAGATGCTACATTAAAGGAAGGGTTTTCTAGCCTAATCATTGTTTGCCGCACCTGTAGCAGACCGTTGTTCACCACTGACAACTGCAAAAGATCAGAAAACTCGTTGACTCAGAATGACTTCATAATAAAACCCGAAGGGGCAGTTGCTTCAGCTTCAGCACTAGTCTCGCAGGGGCAGCCGTGATCTCGTAATGAGAACATCTGTAGACAACCATGAGAAATTTTGAGAAATTTAGGCACAACCATGCAAACACCTCCAGTTAAGCATGAAGATGTGTGTCATGTGGGTAGGGAACACATTATGGTAAAAATAAACATTACCTCCTGCAAGGGAAAAACAGTTAGCCACAACAATGTTTCACTAGCAAGCTCATTTTTGCTTGTGTTATTGATCGTACTCAGGATGTTAGAAGAGCATGGACTAAAAGAGTATGGGGGTGGATTTTAGAGAGGCCGAAATCCTGTTTGCCACACATTTTGCCAGTTTTCCTCCAAACGTGGCCAGAAATTAGGAGATCAGTAAGGAACTGAAGTACGACTACAACACAGCTCTACACCGAATTGACAAACTAAGACTGGTAACCTCACCAAATATCCCACACAAACCAGTAAGCCTTACCACATGTTGTAGTTAAGTTGCTTTGGCAGTTTCTGGCTGCAGTTTATTTAGCTGATGTTAGTATATGTTAGCGTCAAAGGTTAATAGTAGACTTACTTTCATTTAGCGTCATTACAGTGCACAAGAGCATTAGCTTGCTTGTAGCAGACATGTAGCATTACTTGTGTTTTGATTGCTAAGTGACCACCTCACTGACACTTGGCAGGGGAAGTATACAGAACAATGTGTATTGGCTTTGGACCATTTTTGTTAACAACAAGACAAAACCGGCCATTTCTGAAAACAACATTCATTTTTTGTCACAAAGAAAACCAGGATAGACTCTGAGCTCCTAATAAGTGCGTGAGGCCGACTACAGAACCAGGCATGACTTCAGAGGTCTATCCAGCACCAAAAGTACACGTACAACATCACAACTGGCCCCAAAAAACTGCTTCAACACCTGCCCAATAGTTTCTGGTGTCGTTCAAGTCAGTGTGGTTTGTGTTCTTTTCTAAGTATTATTTAAATTATTTAAATTACTGTTCACTATAATCAAGTTTATGCTACAGATTTGGCAAATAGGGATTAGGCTGAAAAATGCTGGAGTATTCCTTTAAGGAAAAGTCATAAAAACATGCAGAGCAAGACTGAGATTAGGACCCAATTCTTAGACACATAGACACAAAAGAGGCAGGCATGGGGCACCATCAGCACAGTTCCAGTATGTTGACTGAACTTTCTTCCAAATCATATACACTCCACAAGTGATTTCAGTAGAAATACAATTCCAGATGTTTATTTTAAATCTTATTTACTTTTTTTGTCTTTTTTTCCCATTTTTTTAAATCACTATACTGCAATCACGGCTGAGAGGAGACGTCCTTGAGATGAGCCGAGAGCGCAGTGGCTTCATTCAATTACTATTATACGTAAGCATCAGTGGGTGGATGTGAATGTGAAGAGGGAGAGAGAGGGAGAGTAAGAGAGAATGAGGGGAGAGAGAGAGAGAGAGAGAGAGAGAGAGAGAGAGAGAGAGAGAGAGAGAGAGAGAGAGAGAAAATGAGAATGTGTTTGGATGAAATTTTACAGACGTGATTGAAAACACCAATCTTATTGCACCTGGTGTTTCTGCGTAACACTGCAATTTTTTTTTCTTTTCTGACGAAGCGAATCTTTATACAATAGCTTGCATTTCTTGTTTTCCCCAGACGGATGTTGGAGAGTGTGTGTTTGTGTGTTTTCGTTCCTTCAGTCCACGTACATGGGGGAACTGGGCGAAGCAGGCATTTGATCAAGGATCCTGCACACATAGCTGGCAACATCTACAGAGCGCTCCTCATACATCAAGATGAAGGGATGTTTCTAAGAAAGAAAGACAACAAAGAAAGAGAGATTTCTTTAAACTTATGTATTAATTTATTTATCACAGGGGTATAACTACGGGGCAGCCCTCACTTGGGATGTCTAGGATTTCTGACTGCTCAAAAGAAGAAAAGTATCCTCTGATGCCAATAAAAATGCAACAAATTTTATTTGATTCATCTTCACTCACAGCGTTCTAAAGTGCGGGCTTAACGCACATTTATTATGCAAGAACCCAAATACAGATTTTTTTCAATAATGCATACCACTGGCCTCAAATGCTACTGTATTCACAGGGCATGATAAGAATTTCCTACTGCCTACTGGTTCATCACGCATGTCAGTAACCTGCACAGCTGTGAAGTCTCAGTGTTTAGTTAAGAACAGCTTGTTTACCACAAGACTTGCGTCTTTTGCCTTTGCTGTGGTGTCACGACAGCGAATTTAAATCTTATGGGTTGAAAAATGTTGAGCAGCATCACAGAAACAGAAACCGAAACCGAGCTCAGCTGTATGTTTGCAGTGTAGTGCCCAGTGTTATTATACAATATGGCACCATCAAATTAAACCCAAGTGTGTTGATTTTACATGCTGGCATTTTAAACAGACTACCCAAACAAATGCTAAACAAAACAACCAGTGCATAATTGGCCCTCTTATACAACTGAACACTCTCTTGAATGGAGCATTTACCATGGCAACCACCTATGTTAATGCCACATTTATTTATTGTACCTAACAGATGAGATTGACGTAGAAACGCAGCTGTTGAGCTGCGCTGGTTCAGCACTCCTACTTTGAGAAGTTTCATGGATACAGGCCCCAAAAGTTTGTTTATGACTATAAAATGACAAAACAGAGGTCTACTGCAAGTATTTTGCCATGAAGAAACCTGTATAACATGTAATAACCAAACAAAATAAACAAAGAAAGAAACAAAGACTTGCAGAAAATAAAGCACTACAGCATTACAAAACAAATCTTACCAGAAGTTCTCGGTACTTTGGCCTTTTAGACTCATCCTTTGTAAGGCTGAAAGATAAGAGGAGAAAAAGGGGTTAAACTTCATAACATATAAAGTGTAAATCACTGAAACCTTCACCACACTAAAGTGATTCACTGGTATACTGAAGTGGCATGTGAATCCTAATAGGTCAGTTACACATCACAACCAGCAGAGGGAGTCATCTCAACACATCTGAGTTATACAGAGGAACCCGTTTTCATACTGTTATTGTTTTGCTATGATGACATAACTAAGCTGGCCAACTAGTGATAAAAATGAAAATTGGAGAACGTTTTCATTAAGCTCTTTCATGAAAGTTAAAATGCTTGAAACTAAGGCTAGCTAGCAAAGTTACTGTCAGCACTTCTCACTGCCCAACTAGGCAAATATATCCAATATTTTGGAGCATTTCACTGCATCTTCTCCTTCTTTTTGCCTCCTTTTTCCAGATTTTTTTGTAACTGCTGTCCATTTTCATATGATTCAGGTATGGAAATTGCTACATTGGTAATCAATGTTGAATATATTTTTATATACTTTTATTTATATAAAATACCTATGGGATATATTGTTACATATATTCTTATGTATTTTATATGAAACTTAGAATTGTTACATTTAGGTAGTTACGAATATATATGTAACATATGGGACATATATATGTAAGTACCTAAATGTAACAATTCTAATTTTGGGACACATGGGACAGTGTTACTGCATATAGGCAGTTACATATATGTAAATAATATGGGACATAATATTATTACATACAGGTACTTACATATATGCAACACAAATGGGATATATGTATGAAAATGTCCTGAAATTGTTTAAAAACATTATTGTGTGAGTGCATGAGTGAGTGAGTGAGTGAGTGAGTGAGTGAGAGGTACCACAGGTTGACGAAGTTGATGAATTTGGGGGAAAACTGTCTCTCCTCTGAGTTGCTGAGTTGGGGAGGGTCTCCTTTCACCACCTGTGTGAGCTGGTCAAACACACTGTTCCATTTGGGGTAGGGAAACCGTCCAGTGGCCAATTCATACTGAAATGCACACACAGACGCACACAATAAAAATCAAAACAGGTGTTACAGCAGCATTGTTCTTCTCCACATGAATATTAGCCCAGAACGGGGTAAATTTATACTGCAGTAGACATTTAAACAATAGAAAGGTAGAGGAAGCACTACAGTGAATATCAATCATCACAGCTGTGATGTGGTTCGAGTCTTTTATTTATAAAGCAATTCCTTCTGCCAAAAAGTAGCTCTAGCAGCTAAGAGTCAAATGATCAGTGTTGTTCCTTAGCAACTGGTGGTCAGCAGAAAGACAGGTATGTTGTGATGTTATCACAGATATAATGGATAGAACACTTTCCAGGTAATCAGACCAGAACTAACTGTTGTATAAACACACATACAGCATATTACTACACCCTCATGACCACAACACTGCCTGCAGCTACTGATGACTTCCTCCACATACCAGTGTGATTCCCAAACTCCAGACATCTGAACGTACGTCATAACCCTGCCTGGAGGCACTGGGGTCTATTCTCTCTGGCTGTGAAAGAGAGAGAGAGATAGTGAGTATGAGACATTAGCACAGTGTATTAGGACTGCATGTGATGAGTGTAAATTGTGGCCACCTGCAATACAGCATGAGCTCATCCACTGAATAATCCAAACCCATTTCCTGCCCAAATACAGCAGGTGTCTCAAAACTCCAGCCTTTTACACTTTTACACTGAGAGCAGGGCAAGTGTAAATATAAAATTAGTACTTCATTTAGTAGTATTTCCTCTTAAGGTAAAGCAGCCCAGGATTCCTGGGGGGCCAAAGAGAAATGTTAGAGGTGGGCAGAGGGCAGCCCTGTCATAGGTACTATATAAACAGAAAGACACTACATAAATAGACTATTATTATTATTTTAAAACATTCCTCTTGACTGTACATAATACCTGCTTTATGGCTTAGCATTTATTTTTACTGATGGAAAGCATCCTAAGGCGCACCCATCCTCCATCCTAGGGCCCATCTTTACAGAAAGGGACTACGTAACTAGATCATTCTCGGGTTTGTAATAACACTACATACGTACAGTGTTGTATAAATGATTATTATTTGTTATGATGATGATGATTAGTAGTAGTAGTAGTAGTAGTAGTAGTACTGCTGCTGCTACTACTAGTAATAATAATAATAATAATAATAATAATACTAGAAGAAGAAGAAGAAGAAAAATAATATATATTTTTATTATAACAACACCATGAGGAACCAGCAGAGAGACTGAACACAGTCCACAGGACAGAAAGACATGGACCTGCTGCTCACCAGTGTTGCACAATCACATCTGTAAATGTTTCATGCATGATCTCATCCTCACACAAACACACACACACACACAGTGACGTGGGTCTTAATGCAGAGGGAGACACGCAGGATGATGTCAGCATGCTAAAATTAGTGAATGACGTCAGCCATCGAGGACTGCAGTGCTACTGCTGAATACAGACAGACAGACACACACACACATACACAAAAGGTAGCAATGAGTTTGATCCCAAAGCAAATTTCCACCAGGCACTACACAAAACCCTGAAAGCCTGAAGTGTAGAATAGTATCAAACCAAACCAGTATGCTTGAATCTATACAAAAGAAACTCTTTTTGTGTGATGAAATATTTAAAGTGAATTCCCATCTTGCCAGCCTAGAACTATGACCTGCCAGCACTTATCTGTGAGGTTTGCTAAAGGGAGTCAAAATGATACATAATTCTGATTTTTTCTCTCATTACCTTACTGAGACACACACACACACACACACACACACACACACACACACACACACACACACACACACACACACCTATCCACCGCAACAAGATGTGGACAGGAGTAAGTGATTCCCTCATCACCTGCTCTCACAAGCATGATCTCAGTGGAGTATATATAGAACCTTACACTCACCATGACATGTAAGATACATAACAGAGACAGAACAGTGTATTTAGAGAAACACTATGAATGAATGAATGAATGAATGAATGAATGAATGAATGGCTTGCTGTTAGAGTCTGATACTTTAGCAGTAGACCGTACTGACACTGAATGAAGGACTGTATGAATGAATGAACGAACAAATGAATGGATGAACAAATTAATGAATGAGTGAGTAAGTTATGGCCTAATACTTTAGCATGTGGAACAGATGGATGGATGGATGGATGGCTCGCTGTTACGAGTGCAACACATAAGCAGTAGGATTTGCTGACACAGAATAAATGAATGAATAAATGATGTGCTTATAGATGCACTGAGATACAGTGAATAAGAAGAGAGTGAGAGTTAGAGAGAGAATGAAGAGAAAGAGAGAGATACACTGAATGAGAAGAGAGAGATACATTGAATGAGTAGAGACACAGATAAACTGAATGAATAAAGAGAAAGAGATGAATGAAAGCTGCCATCATGTGAGTAGGTGTGTGTCAAGGCTGTGTGTCAAGGCTGTGTGTGGTCATGACGCCGTTTCTGAATTTAGAACAGACAGTGGCGTAACAGGAGGGTCTCCTACGCGCACTGCACACACACGCACATATACGTACAGTTGTATACACACAAGCTTTACTTAGTTTACATAGCAGGAGCTCTATAAATACCATCCTCTCTCCTGCACTAGAATACACAGAAAGTATCATTTGCTAATCATGAATGATGATAATTCATGGCTACGTAATTAAAAGTTTGATGTGGGATTTTTGTTGTCTTGACTAACTGAATGAATGAGTGTTAGAGATTGATACTTGCTGACACCCAATGAGTGAATAAAGAAATAGCTGTTAGGGTCCAATACTTTAGAAGTAGGACTTGCTGAAACTGAAGGAATGAATGAATGAACGAACAGTGTGTCTGATTTGGGGTTCACAGTTAGATCTAGTGTCAGTGAGAATGAATGAATGAATAACTTGCCATAATTGTCTGATAATTTAGCAGTAGTATTTGCTGACATGGAATGAATGAATGAATGACTTGCTACTAGGTTCTGATACAGCATGCCAACACTGAAAGAATGAATGAAAGAATGAATGAATGAAAGAAAGAAAGAATGAATGACTTGCAGTTACAGGCGATGTACATTAGCAATAGGACTTACTGCCATGTATGGTCTGCAGCCCGCGTCTCTGGTCTTCGCGATGGAGTCAACAAGTTGCCCACTGATACCGAAATCACACAACTTAATGTTACCATTCCTGTCCAAGAGGATGTTAGAGGGCTTAATGTCTGCAGAGAGAGACAGAGAGCGAGAGAGAAAAAAGAGACAGGAGACAACTTCATCTAGATCTTCGACCTGGAAAGTGAGTTCCACAGACTGCATTTCTCTCCTGACAAATGAGCCATGAAATTACAGTGCTAAATTACAGCTAATTCATTCATTTACATTTCTGCACTCTGGTTTGAGGAGGTAGGGAACACATGTCATATCTTACCTCTGTGAATTATTTTCAAGTTTTCTTTTAAGTGGTTAAGTGCTTTCACAGTCTGTAATTAAAAAAAAAAGCAACATGTTAACAGTCTTGTCATGCTGCTTTCCACCCACACACACCAAGAGAGGGAAAGATGAAGGGCAGTTAGAAAGCATGACTCACAGCTAACGTAATTTTGCCTAAAATCTCCTCTGGGATCACATCCTCCAACGTGGAATACACGTATTTGTAGAATTTGTCTAACGAGGTAGACATGAGTTCCATACATATCCAACAGTCTCCCTGAAACACAGAGAAAAGGGGAAGGAGGGAGAGAGAAAGACCCATTCACATTATAATTGAGGACGATTTTCTTGGACACAGATGACACTTAAAGTCTAGTCCAGGTCTCAAGTACTTTCTATTATGATTTTAGTAGCAGGATGTATGTTTAGAGGTTTGAAGCCCTCTTTAGTGGAAACTAACTGGGCTTTTTATAAATGAATTATAAATTCTATGGGCTGTGTTTTCTGGGGTTTATTTTGTTAGAGCGCAGCACAGCAGGTGCTGAAAAGGTTCTATTGGAGAACTTTTATTTATTCGAGCCAAATTACTATATGCATGAAATCTGTGCACATGGTGTAAGCATTAACATATTAAGATTAACATGTAAGCAATGATGTTTTGAATGTGTTATAAAATATTCTGAGATAATGTTATATAATTACTGATAGCCAGTTTGTCTAGGAACTTAGCAATTGTTTTGAAATTTATGTCAGTGAGATTTCAGTGAGCTGGAATGAACCTGTGTGTTCGTGTGTAAAGCTGTTTAGGCCTTCTCACTGAGGTAACGCTAGCTTCTAGTGCTAACCATGTAACAGGGCAGCCACCAGACCACATTGTTCAACCCTGGTGCCATTGCCGTGGGACCTTACCATGGGGAGGAGAAACAAGTTCTCTCTTTCCTTGTTGCCTCAGGTGCTTGTACTGCCCTTAATGAGAGCTTATGTTAGTTTGTCATTGGCAACACCGGCCCATGTTGCTTCCTGCGTCTGTCACAGGCACATGTGGCTCGGGGGCTGGCCTCAGGCACCTGGCACATCCTCTCATTAGAGTCATATAGTATATTAAACCATGACAGGTTCAAGCTTGTTCATGATGTATCTGCTATACTGTGCCCCACAAAATTGCTTTTTCGTATATAATGAGAAATTCTGTGTTTCAATGGGAAAAAATGTGAACTCTGTAACGTGATACAAATATCAGGCTACAGTACCATAATAAGCCACCCAAGAGGAGTAAATAATTTAAACAACACATTTTTGAGTGCAGGGAGTCTTTAAAGCGAGAGTAAAAGAGTGCAGTATTAAAATGACAGCGTAACGCACCTCTCTGAAGAGTGCTCCATAGAACTGGACGATGTAGGGACAGTCACTGCTCCTCATGACCACATCCAGGTCCATCAGCAACTGCTTCTGCTCCTTCTCATCTACTGTGGATCTGATCCTCTGTCACACACACACACACACACACACAATCAACACAACCACTTAACACTGGACTTAACATTCCAAGAGAACAACAAAAAGGTGGACTAAGAACAGAACTGAGAGGTTTTGGAATCTACATAGCTAAAGGTTTTGTACACTTGAATGCAATTAATTGGGTTTGGTCAAATTTGACACTAAAGATTCAATTTTAAAAGCATTTTGCTATTTCTTCATAAGCAGTCAAAATAAGCTTCTTTAGAATGTATGTATTATTTTCAATAATTCAATAACATTATTTTCATCATGTGAACTCACATGAACCTGAACATGAAAAATCACATGCATTCCATAGAGTGAATGCAGTTTCCATCACCAACATTCTGTCAGAGCAGCAGTGGCTGCATGTTCCAACTAATGAGATATGAAGATAACACACACATTACACAGTCCATTATTTTATATGTCACATATCACCCATACACAGTCAAAGGTTCCAACCTTTGTAGCCTCTCTCTATACTCCAATGACTGGGCTTTTTATAAGTTTATAAGTTTATAAGTAGACTGGCTTGTTAACAGTCTTGCTTATCTAGCTTTTTACTTTGCAGCTAACAAGAGATGATACACTGTACTGTCCTGTGCGTGATGTGTCTACAGGCAACCATCCAAAGCTTACACTGATCTCAAGACTTTAAAAATGTAGCGAAAAGCACTTGTTCTGCAAGCACACATACTAAAATTGGTGTTAGTTATCCTTGCTATCAAATGAACATTGCCTATAAAAAGTGTTAAAACACACAGTTAAAATTTAGAACTCTAAGAAAAAAACTAGAAAAGTCAGAAGAAAGAAGTGATTCCTTTAATTTACATTTATTTGGTTCATGCCAACTAATGAAAAAGCATCACATTATGCTTATAGCAATGCAATATGATTGTGAAATCTAACAACTGTGAAAAAAAGGAACTGAGGTTTATCTTAAAGAACTGCGATCACGCAATTCCGTAATAATAGACACAAATTCAGGCACTCCCCATTTCTACTGTATGGAAGTATTGTATAGTGACACCACTGCATCATATCAAATCGAACTCTGAATTTAGTGCGTCATTACACCCCTAATGCACATAAAATATGACATTTCGGATGGTGAAAAATAAAACAATTTTTATTAGGTCCTGTGCTCTATTATTTCACTGTATCTTTAAAACCCTGTGCTTCACAATCATGCAGTTAGTAGGAAGTCCTATGTGCATTTTGTAGTCCTCTATACATTGTAAGCAAATCTAAAGTTAATGTCAGAAACATCACGTGCACATTTAGTGATCACATCAAGGTACATACTGCGTTGTGTCTGCACTTGTACAAACATCGAGCCCAGAGCATTACCTTTACAGCCATGATCTGTCCGCTGGGTTTGTGGGCCATTTTGTTAACAGAGCCATAGGCCCCCCGCCCAATCTCCCCCAAGTCCTTTAGATCCTCCGCTGTGAAGTCACAGTGCTGCTCTGGAGAAATCTTCAACTTCCCCGACGACTCGATACTGTGTGTACGCAGCCGCTCTCTAAACATACACACACACACGCACACGCACGCACACACACACACACACACACAGTTCTTGACTGCATCTTGAATACTCAGTAATAACTAATAACAAACTACTAACTGGTTCAGACTCTCCAAGGGCAGAATCCATATGTGACGGCTCTAAATAGCTGTATGTTTTTAATCTTTGGATTCTAGTACAGCCAACCTGTGTGCTGAAAGGGTGGCAGGTTATGGACTAACATACAAAATGCACTGATGTAGCAATACATCAAAAATGCACTGATGAGTCAATAATGACATGTAAAGATTAGCCTGCATTATTTTTTTTTGATAAGTCTCCCCCATCACACAATGGTATGAAGCTGGGAAGGTAAGGACCTCCTCTAAGTTACATGAAGCGCCACCGTATCAAACTGCCGCTAAGACAACATTACTGGACAGCTCAACACGCCTGGAGGAGAATGCTAACTGTAACTCTGTTACATTGGCTAGTGTCTTGCTGAGTGATATGGAGAGAAAGACAGTCACAGGGACAGTCAGAGAGGCCAATTATGCTCTCTTGGACTAAGGAAGAGCAATATGACAATGTTTTATCATTATATTGATCACAATATGCTTTTCCGAAGACATAATGGATATCGATCGTACTTAAAGAACACTGAACAACTAAGTTTCATTATAAAGAATGCATAATTAGTCTTGTTTACTAGATTTTGTGCAGCGTAGAATGTAAAATGTTGTTTTCATAGATTTTTTTTTTTTAATCTGGCAGAGCCGGGCCTTTTTTCTGCTCCAACTTACCAAACCTAGGAAGAATGAAATACTGTGAAAAATATCATGCATCATGAAAATGTCTTTATGTACTGTAATATTGTATTCCTGCCATATTGCCCACTTATGTCTTATGGCTACTGTTTTATCACTGGAGCTCGGACTCCCAACAATCGGGTTATGATATTCCAGGTGGCTGTTAAGGTGTTGCTAGGCCATTGCTATGGCATCCCAGGTGGTTGCTAAGGTGTAACAAGCCCATTGCTATGGTATGCCAGCCAGTTCCTAAGGTGTTGCCAGGCCATTTATGTGGTAGCCCAAGTGGATGCTAAGCTGTTGCTAGGCCATTGCTATGGTATCCCAAGTGTAAAGCAAAGTGTATCTTTACTTACATGTGCGGGTTTTGAAAGGGCGGTCCTGCTGTGTTGAGGGTGAACCTTGTGGCCGGTTTGATTGGCGGATTGGCAAAATTTAACTTCAGTGCTTTACGTTTACCTGATAGAGAGAGGGCAGACACATTCAGGTAATACACACACGCGTACACACATACACGCACACATCTTACAAGAACAGAAAGAAAACAAATGCACACACATACAAACACACACTCAATCAGTGACAAAACATGGAGAAGACAGTATGGATACTGTTTTTCCACAGAATGAGGTTTTCACTTCATTAATGAGTAATGTGGAACATTCCAGTGCATCCGCAGATGCTCAGGGAAGCCATGCACACCTGACCAGAGAAAGAGAAGAGAAACACAAACCAGATTTCTTAAAGCTACTCACCCCACAGTTTCAGTGCTCTGCTCCTCGTAGCTAGCATGCTCAGTTATACTGCGCCATGAACATGACCATACTTTGTAATCTGAACATTTCCCATCCTTCAACTGTATTTATGTAGTTTTAAAGGATTTGGTGAAAAAAATTACACAATTTTCCCCAGATGAAAATAGTTCCATCGTTAAAAACAGCAGAAAGCTGAATTGTCAGAACTTTTGTTCATTTTTCATAGATACATTTTAGAGACAATAGTATGTCATACAACGTACTAAACCACATAAGCAAGTCTATTTCATATTACTTAACAACAAAACACATTCTCTGGCAGGTTTGTTTGTTAATTTGTTAGCTACATTAGCCTCGTATCTCCAGTGCACAACTAAAGAAGCAAATTTCAGACACTACTCATGTCTTTGCTGATTGACTAGATTTGTGGTAAGGGGAAAATTATGTAAATTTGATTTTATGCCAAACTATTCCTTTATTCTCAAATTTATTATATTTGCTTTCAGCTTTTGTCATGTTATTTAGCTAACTAAGTTATCCAGGTACGAAGCGCAGAGCCTTGCTCTCACATGAGCTTTAAGCAGTCCAAACTGAACAGCTTTAGCAAATCTGGCTGTTGAAGATGATGACTGCAGTCCAACATGCTGCCAAAAGCCCTGACTACCCTCACTCCCCATTCAGAGCCAATTCCATTATACCCAAGGAATAAAAACAAGCCTTCCAACTTACCTGTGCCAAATTATAATGACAATTATCAAACTTAAACATGAAAGAAATGTGTCGCATGTTGAATGTAAAGAACCAATGTAAGTGTAATGCCAGTAAAATAAGTCTAAGTCAATAAGACACCAGATGTTTGCTAGCAAACAAGCTACAACAACAGTTTCAGAAAGTTTGTTTTTGTTTACTTCTCACAAGAACGGGACCTTGTTGGATGTTCCTCGAAGGAATTCACACTCAATCTGTACCTGAAAGCAGCATAGGACCACAATCACTGAAAACCTAAGGAGAACTACTTCCACGAAAATGATGTTTTTGTGTAAAACAGCTGTACAAAGTACTTTCTGCACCTCATGAAAGCCTTTTGTGTATCTTACTTTCAAAGTGGCATTTCCCAAAAATATAATTTTAGAGAACTTAATTTGGGGGAAACAGTTCCTTTGCGAAAAGTGTGGGATTTTTCCTTCAAATTTTTCAATTAAGGATTAAGCTAATTGGTCCTCATTAGTTTGCATTTGCTGATCAGCATTTTAGATTGAATACTCCTAATCCTGGACCTGGTGATCTACCAGTCAGAAGACTTTAGCTGCAATGATGCTCCTGAAGTCATTCACTGACTGGATCAGGGGCCAGAAATCTTAAATGTGTTTTTTCCTTAACTTACTTCAGCAAAACTTTAGAAAAAAGGTTGAAGTAAATTGTTATTCAACAAAAAAACTTCAAGAATCCTCTTCATTTTTTAACCTTTTCTCTTACGAACTATTCAAATAACAAATAACATTCTTGGAAAAAAAAAAGTTCTTAAATGTTTTCTTAACCATACGATCGTCTAAAAAATTTGGTCACCAACCCTGAAGATCTACTAAGTTCAAACCTGCATTTAACATGCCGCCCGTGCCTTTACCCAACACTATGACTGCATCCAAAAGCACATACTGCCATACTAAATAATGCCAAAAATAGTACACCATCAATAAAAGTCCATTCGATAGTGTAGTGTGTGTAGTATAGTAGTACTGTTGTTTTGGACGCAGCCTATGTTAGATGCAGGTTTGATTACAGACTACTAGAATAAGTACATCTATATCTATTATATCTAATCTAGCCAATCATGGAAGTTAATTAGCTAAAGCAGATGTAGCAAACTGTGATTGGTACAAGACTCCACAGGAAGACAGCTCTCCAGGACCAAGGCTGGTGACCACAGGCTTGTCTTAAACTGTAAGATTTAACAACATAAGGATGTGAAACTTCCTTTTTAAGTTTCTTAAAATAAAATTGTTCAAATGGACCAAGGTCAATTCTTCCTGTTGGCTATTTCTTACAACAGATTATTGTTTGCTATTATTTTTTAGATGTTTAAGTTTATTTTGTTGTCTTTAGATGCCGAGCAAATAATTCTTAGTTTAAATTCAAAATGTATCCTACATAATGTAAAATAAACAGATTTTTAAAGAGGACATCCGAGACCATTTTTTCAAAAACTGCATTTTCATACATTCCCCCACAAGTGTTTTTCCTAGGAAAGCTTCTGTGACTCTGGCACAGTTGTGTTAGATTAGGGTTGGAAATAAACTCTTCAGGTCAGCAGGTCACCAGGAGCAGGACTAACAGCACTGTTTTAAGTTACTGAGCTGGACGAACTGGTTCCAAAAAATAAAACACTAGACCTTGATGGTTTTGGCTTTGGGAAGCTGAAGTATGTGCTAGTGTTTGCCCCTAACACCATGGTATTTTACACCATCAGGAAAAAGCACCCAGGCCTTAGCTACAAGATGCCTGGCCTAAAAGAGGCATAATGTAACCAAAAGCATGAAATGTTTAATATGGAACACGCAAGCCGAAAGAGTTATGTGCTAAACAAATCCCGTTTTGGGTTTCTTTAGACTTTGTTTTTCTCTACTTTTGACTGACACTGCTCTAAGGTGCTTTGCAGTCATCCAGTGTTTCCACAGATTCTAACAGACAAAGTCTACAGCAAAAGCTGGATTAAACATAGCAGCTAGATTAAATCCGACACAACTGTAGCCCTGCATAATGGAACAGAGGATAAACCTAGAAGTCATGCAAAAATACAGTAAACCCACAGTTCCCACAGGTTAAAAAAAGAAACTGCCTGCACTGAAAGGTTCCACCTTTACAGAGAAGAAGGTTTTGTTTGTCTCTTTCCTCAGTAAGACACCACAAGAATGTGGGGGTTCAGATTCCGGTGGAAAACCATTCAATCCTCCAATTTCCCAGCGTGAATTTCCCTGTCCCAACAGGCTCCTGATTGTTCCAGTGGTGCTCATGCCAAAGACATCCCCACCGTGCTCCAAAACAAGACGCAACGCAATCCCAAAGGAAAAGACAGTGACAACCCCAAGGCAGTGCTCAACCCAGTGGTTAGTAACAAGCTGTCTGAAATCCACGCCCAACCGAACCCATCAGAGCTTCCATTACCTGCTTTAATAAACACTAGTTTCTGTTACTATGTATAAAAGACATGGTATATTAAATGACACACTTGTGCATAACAATGAGGCCTCAACTTCTGTGCTTGGAGAATAATTTAGAAACTTCACTAGTCAAGTGAACACAGGTGAATCTGGCCCAAGGCCAGTGGAAGCTCTCAGGTCTAGGCTTGTGCCGATTTCCTGAACTATTTTGAAGCCAAAGATGTCTTTGATGCGCACTTTGAATTAACCTTTCTGAATTGCATGGCCCACAAATTCATTCAGTTGTACCTACTAGTGAAATTGGATACACTTAACAAAATTTTGGAAAAAATTCCCATTCAATAAAATGAGAAAACATGTTAGCAATTTCTAGGGATGCACCAAAACTTCAACTGGAAAAAAAGAGTAAGTAGAACTACAAGTAAGCGTTAAATTATAAGACTTTACAAATTATTTCACTGGTAAGAAAATGACAAGTAATGATTATTAATTCCCTTTGCTCTCCTGTGCCAGTGAACAGTTTCAGCAGCAGCATATAGCTTGTGAGTAAAAAAAAAAAAGTTGGTTACGTTGAACTATTTCATAGTTTTTATGAGGGACTTTCTAAGCAATTTATAATTTATTCATGCTCAGCATCAAGTCAAACACCCAAGAACTTTTCCACCACAGACATCCTGCTTGATATGCAGAATACAGCAAAAACTATAGAAACAGAAAAGAAAGTCCCTGCTAGCTAATGGAACGCATTGGTCATTTGATTTTGTGGCACATACTGTACTCTACCTACTGCAATCATTTTTGTTTAATTATTTATTTTTGGTTTTCAGTCCAGTATTTTGGTTCTGGACAAAAATTTTTGGTGCATCACTAGTAATTTCAATCAATTTTTTATGTTGTATATTTGTGAAATGACTACATTGTCAGATTATACCCTGAGGAGTGTTTTCTTTTTTTAAATATTTGTCATGTAATCAAAGTTCTTAGATATAAACATCTGACTGATAGGCAGCAAGTTCACTAGCTATATTAACATAATAGCTAATAGCTACTTGCCATATATGCCAACATTACAGCAAAATCAGAAAGCTATATGTTGTCTCAAGCTATATCAATAAAGACAAGCTAACTGATGACACAAAAAGGTGCGAGTGTTAACCAACAACTTTCTGCTTAGCCTATCAATCAGATGTTTAAACCTAAAAACCTTGATTGCATGAAAAACAGCATCTGATCTATGTATATGTGTCTATGTCTCTCAGTATATCTATCACGTGGTTGCAGTACAGTTTCTTGTCTACCCACTATGTTTAGAACTGCAGGACTCATTTCCTCTCTCTGTGTGGGCAGTCTAACCACCTACAGAACCATCAACAATACAAACCCTTTAACCGGCACAAGCCTATCACAGCCCAGCTCCTGGCATTTATTAGTGGAGAGCATCAGACACCACCACAGCCATGATCAGACACGCTTTCAGAGATGCAGAAACAGGGGGCTCTTACTTTGGGGAGCTCCAGACAGGTTAATCTGAAATCCTGGTGATGAGAAAAACAGCACACACTAGTTTATGGTATATGAAGTAGGGCTGCATGATATGGATGAAATTCCATACTGCGATTATAGTGCTGGATATTGCAATTATGATGTGACTTGGTTCAAGTCTGGTCTGAGTTATACATTTTTTTTGTGTGTTGGATCATATAAACGCCTTGATTCACCCCAACAGCCACAACTGTGATTGGTCAGCATACTCACAGCACATTTAGTGATAGGTCATTTGCATATTGCAGACCTCCGCAATATAAGTACTGCAAAGGCCAGTATCACAATAACATTTAGGAAACAATATATTTGGCAAACCTAACATTAAGTATTTTAAACACTTAAGAGAAAAGAGATAAACTTAAATTAAAAAATGGCTTAATTCATAAGTACAATCCAAAAGGAATTTAGAGTGGTTTTGATAGATAACAAAAACTCAAAGTTCAAAAAACATACCAATTAAATAAATAATAAGCTCCCTTTCTTGAAATGTGGTTTGGGTCTGGTACCAGTATTGTTTAAGGTTCATATTGGTGTAATTTATTATGTAAACATTGCAAAATCATTCCTTTGCCAGCCAATATAGTCAATATATAGAAACTAAGTTGCAAAAACAGTCCTTTTGTCTTCAATATTTTTTTGATGTCACAAAAACCAAAACATTTACATCCGCCTATCCAGCCTACAGCAGTTTAGCCCCAACCATTCACATTGACATTGTTTCCTTATAATAATATAAGACTGCTTAGTGAATGAGGTACAATTCAGGACAGCCAGTCAGAAGGTCATTTACATATATCAGTGTTAAACATGGCTGGACTGGAAACTGAATTCAGCCCTGGCATTATGCCTAAACCAGCCCACTACAACCAGAGTGATGACCTCCTCCCCACCATGACTCCACATCATTAGCCGTGGAAAACCAGTAGCTTTTTGTGTCAGACAAGTAGCAGAAGCTGCCTTTTCGAATGAGCTAATGAGCTAAGACTACAGACTACAGCTAACCAGTACAAAATTGGATGCTGATGAGGATGTCAGGTGTGTCAGGTATGTCAGTTTTGCATTGTTGTGAACCTAGCCAACATCTGCTTGCCTACATTTAAAGTAGTTAAACTGGTTAATGCTACCTCTACTTTCTCAGTCCCATGTTTAACAATGCATCATTGGAAACGTTAGGGCACTTGTATTTTGTTTTGAAGTAACAAAGTACATTATAACATGCATACTAGCAATCACAAGCAAAACTGTCAATTTTTACTTTAGTCCTGTTAAAATATAAAATCATCGTTTTACTGAATTGATAGTCTGTACATTTCCTCTGTCTTACTCTAATGGAACATAACGCATACCCAAATAGTGATTTCAGGCACCTTAAGTGGTTAACCGAGTATTCAAGTCCATGTGCAAATCCCAAAACATCATACCAAGGTATATTTGAACAACATTGCAATACTGAATTGTATCAATATTGATCTGCTGTACACAAATAAATTCATGATGTGGTAATGAGTTCATACTTCTGGCAGATATGTACTGATATTGCCGCAGAGTGAAATACATCCAGACTTGAAAACTCACAAGCAGTAAAGACGGTGACAAGTCTAGTAGCATTATTCCTAAAAGAAATGTTTTCGTGATTTTAAGTTCTGCTGCACTCTGAGACCAAAATATAGGGGTTATTATTGTATGATTATTTCCTTGAGTGCAACAACTATGCAAATAGAAATCATGTCCAAACACTGTACTGTTTTCTAGGTAATTATATTTATGTGTTAAAAATCTGTTCTAAAAAGTCAGTGTGTATGAAAATCCCTTTCTTTGATCCCACAGAGGCTATTCTAAAAAAACTTTCATTTGTGTTCTACCGTATGCTTAAAGCATACAGTGCTTGGACCCCGGTAGGTTGCCACTTGCACTTGTGATGGTCGATAGCTGTGATAGCAGTTATCATTTCACAGAAAAAATGTGTTATATCAATTTCAGATGCAGGCTAAATGGAGGCTGACTGTCTTGGTTACCAATATCAATAATTTACAAGTTAATTTCTAAAATTCTAAACTTATATCGCCAACCATTCAAAAGCTACTGAAGTAAGAAATCCAAATATTTGACAATGAAACCAACTTCACCTCTCACACAACGTGGCTCTCTTTTCACTTTTCAGTGAGCAGCTGGCAGCAGACTCCTACACTTCCTGCAGTTATAAACTCATCAAATCTACATGTTTCCTATAAACGGCATATTCAGCATTCAAAACGGCAAATTTCACAAGTCTGCATGTATGACATTATATAATCAGCATGTGCTTAACTAGACCATAACAGCACTGTAAACCTCTACTCATGTTTCCCAAAATATTCCTTTCTTGACCTTGTTCCAGTCTCAAACAGTCTGGTTTACACTCGAGTAGTTCATCTGCTATTCAGGGCAACATGGAGACAGAGAATACAACTCATTCATACTGAATCAGTGCGAACAGTTGGAGACAAACTACTATACACAATCAGACAGAGAAATGCATCTGCTAGCAGACAAATGCATCAACTAGGAGAGAAATGCATCTGCTAGCAGAAAAAATGCATTTACATGCAGGGAGAAAGATAACATACATTAACAATCCACTTGACTGGTCTAGAGGAGGACGACATAAAGAACCCAGAAACAAAAGCAAGGTGAAGCGAATGAGACAGAAAGTGGTGCAGTAAGACAGTGAGGGGTCAAACGTTGCAGGCTGTGTGGGTGGCTGAGTGTATGTGTGTAGGGGGTAGCTGCTGTGCAGGGTCTCACCGTGGTCCAGCATCAAACAGGGTCATGGGGGCGTTAGGGGTCAAAAGTGAGGGAAGAAAAACATCATGGGAGAGAGAATATACTTCAGTGGTTCAAAAGATCAAGTCCAAACATTCAGGGTGTGTGGGTGGGAAAAAAATAATCAGCTCTTAAATGCATTGCAATTCTTATTTGTGTCAATGCACAAAATGTCAGACATTTATGGATATTTATTTTAATTGAAAACTGTCAAGCAGGTCTGGGTATCGACATTCCTTCATGGCATGGACTCAATTATTTCAGTACCACAAAGTATCAAAAAATTCCAGGTCATTCAATACTAAACTTCAACACCTAAATGCCACCACACACAGGATGTGCTGCACCGTGCTACGCAGCAGATACAGTACAAACCACAGCTATACTACATAGAGTGCATCATGGTAAGAGCGACAATAAACGTCTAACTCAAGTTCATTTTTACACTCATATAGAGTGAATGGCATAAACTGTCAACATCATTTATGAAGGTATAATGTTTGTTATCAGCTAGCCAACTCGCAAAGATATGAGGTGAAAAAAGACTACACTATTAATGTTACCTGAGGTGACGGATGATTAGCGTTTGTCTGTTTATCTTAAAGACTTTAGAATGTTGCCTATCTTTGCGTAAATATCAAGTCATGTCATCTTTTTGGGATTTTTGCAAGTTCAATCTGGGTCTAATTTTATGCAGTAATGGCAAAAAGACAATGGCTGGTAGCCTATTGGTTTGAGTGATCCAGCACCCAGAAGGTTGTGGGTTCAAATCTGAGTACAGAATGTGTGAGTGTCTGGTTATGCTTTGGGCAAGACACATAAAGGTGGCTTTAAACTGTCTTATCAGCATTAGTGAGCCAATAAGCAATGATTTTTCCCCAAATGTGGACTTGTGATTGGCTGTTTAAATGACATGCTGTAAGCACAGAGCTGGCCCGAATGCTTAAGTACTCATCTATTACAATGGTACAGATGTAATTGATATGGCAAAAATAATGCTTCAAGTAGTTTATATAATATGTTCCAATATTTATTTTTTTCTGACATAAGCTGGAACAGAAAAACTAATGACACATTTAACAAAAATACCACCAAAAACAACATCCACTATATGCTCAGAAAAGAATATTGTGACATATTACAATGTAAATTATCATGATAACAATAATAATGTTGTTATATTCCCATTCCTACACTGGTATTTGTTTCTCTATGTAGTATTCAGAAGCTTTGTCTCTTTTTAAGCAACAAAAATTGTAGCCTATGAAATATTTTTATTATAAATATTATTGTTTTTAAGAGTGATTTCGAGAACAAATATTCAAGTACACTTTCAGAAGCAAAAAGATGTATTCATAGCCTGTAAAATGCTGATCGGCCACTCCTACTACATAAGCAGATTATTAGCATCAGTGCTTTTAAAAATCTGAAGATTGCACTGGTTGCTCTGGAGTTGCAGGAATCAGGAATGAATGTGCAGGAAAATAGATATACGTACTGTATATCTATTTTCCTGCACATTCATTCCTGATTTAAACCACACTTACTTTCAAAGAGTAATTTGAAAGAAGAAATCAGTATCAATTTTTTTTTAAATCTGAACATTAACCAGCTTTACTGTCAACAGTACAAATATTTCTGGTAGAAACACTAAACACTATAGGTTATATTGTATATGAACAAAGTTTTAGTAAACCTATTAGATGGTGAAACAGAGTCTGTTTACACCTTGCACTAACATGTAATTCGTGTCAGGATCACATCTCAACATACTTTAGACGGATTCCACTCACATTTTTCACTAAAACACGTCCCTTATGTGACTAGATGAAATCCTATTTTACTTTACCCATGTAAAAAGCACGTCAACACATGCACAGTTTCTGTTTTACTTTTGTTTACATTTTCTGCTGTTGCAACATGAGTTGACAGTTTTGGCTTGGGCACCTTCACTGGCCCCCAGGGCCAGTGGGTTCTTGTTTTAGGGATAATTCCAGTCTTGTGTATCTTTCATTTCCATGTTTATCCTCTCACCTGCTAGTCAGCACTCAGACACATTTCTGCTAACCTAATTGTATACAGATAATGAAAATACATTTAATTTACACTTGCCTTGAATGTAGTCAAAAGCTGTCTCTGACCACCTCTGAATGTAGTTTGAGTGATCTGATCAAAATCTGCTCACAATGAGTCTCGAGACTGTACATTAATGGCCTCAGGCTTGTCTTGGTCTATACATTATTTTAACTCGGCCTTGCCTTGGTCTCATGCAAACTTTTTTAATCAATATTAATAGCAACAATACCTTTAAACAGAATTAAACAAGCCTTTCTATATATGGTAAAATAAAACCTGTTTGCACCTGGTTGAGGATCTTAGGAACCTTTCCTAGATGACTTAACTGAGTATTATTTGTTTGTAGATGATCACTAATTCTAACATTTATATAACCCCTGAGGGCAGATTGGAATCTTATTACTACTATGTTTTCATTTAACAATAAAAATTGATCTATATTGCTTGTTTTATATTCAGCTGACCTTAAGAGGTCATTCTGAATGAGTTTTAGAGAAGAAAAGACAATGAATAACCTCACCAAGATTTGCTTCTAAATGTTCCAATGCAAAGTTAGGCTAAACATTACTTAGTGTTTTATAAACACACACACACACACACACACACATATTATATATTTATATTATATTATATTATATATATATATATATATATATATATATATATATATATATATATATATATATATATATATATATATATACACACACACACACACACACACACACAGTGCCTTGCAAAAGTATTTAAATCCTTTAAGTCATCAGATTTGTCTGGATCACATATGACATTTTGATAATTTGAGCTGTGTCATATTTTATTTTAATAGACTGACCTTCAAAATGAATTAATTTAAGGTGATATTGGTTTTGTGTATAAATTTATTATGTGACCAAAATGACCAAATAACTGAAAAATGCTGTTTGCATAAGTATTCAGTCAAGTTTACACAGATGAAAGATATTTCCCTAATCCATAACACGATTGACACACAATTGACCTCTACCTGTGAATAATTAAAAATCCTTTTCTGGATAAAAGAACCCCTTTATTCAAGCACCACTGGTCAGACTGTGGATCTGCAGGAAAGCTATAAGAATGAAGACCAAACAGCTTTCTAGGGAAATCAGAGATAAACTTATAGCCACGCACAACAAAAGAAAAGGCTACACAATAATATCCAAATGTTTGGATATTCCAGTGAGCACTGTTGGATCAACTGTGAGGTAGTGGAAGCTGCATCATACCACCCAGGCAGTGCCAAGACAATGCCGGCCCTCAAAACTCAAGCGTCAGAGGAAAAAGGGGACTCATGAGGTAAGCCACAGAGAGGACAGCAATTACTCTGAAGGAGCTACAGAGTTCTGTGCCTGAGACTGGTGTGAAGGTGCACCAGTCAACATCAAGATGGCCTGTACGGGAGGGAGGTTAGAAACAAGCCATCACTGAAGTAAAACCACATCAAAGCACATCTGGAGTTTGCCAGAAAGCATCAGAATGATGCAGCTAAAATGTGGGATGTGGTTTTGTAGTCTGATAACACAAAAAAAAATAGCATTTTGGCCAAACTTCAAAATGCTATGTGTAGCTCAAACCTAACATTGACCATTTCTGAAGAAACACCATTCCAACAGTGTGGTATGGGGTGGCAGCAACATTTGTTGAGGGGATGCTTTTCCTCAGCAGCAAGACAACCTGCTTGAGTCTGCTAAACAACTAAAGTTTGGAAGAAACATCACCTTTAAGTAGATCAAAGCAGCACAGGAGTAGCTGAACAACAAAAAGGTGAATGTTGTACAATGGCCAAGTCGAAGTCTAGATCTTAATCCAACCTATGTTTCTATTTGAAATTTGCAGCCCTGAATAACCTGAATAACCTGAATAGCCTGGAGCAAATCTGCTTGGAAAAATGGGAGAAAATCTCTCCCAAACAATGTTCAAATCTGGTAGAAACTTGGCTCAACAGACTTAAACAGCAAAATGTGGTTGTATCAAGTACTAGTCTGAAGGGCTTGAATACTTATGAAAGCAGTATTTTTCAGTTTTTAATTTTTGTAAAGATCTGCTGACAAATAATGAATTTTGATTTTGAAATTTTACTTCAACAGCAATTTTACTTCATTAGTAATCCTGATAAGTCTGATGACTTAAGTGGGTTGACTCTGTGTGCAAGCCTCTTTATAATGAATGATAATGAATGAATTACAAAGGAATTTCATTTTTTCTCCTTTTTTCTTTTTATTTTTAATTCTTGAGCTAACCTCAGTCTTGACTCGGATTTGAGTGCTACAAAGTCGTGGTCTTGACTCAGACTTTACGTGTCTAGGTCTCGGTCTTGATTACAGTATTAGACTACTTGACTAATATTTCAAAAACCATTTTGTTTGTTTAAATCAAATAAAACAAATACAGAGACATTACTGGAGTACACTACGTGAGCTGCTGTGGTGTGCTGTTTGTTGGTCCACAGAAATGTGTAAATGAAATGCATAAATGAGACAGAAATCAGTGGTAGTTAAAAAAAAAAAAACAAAGACCACACTTAAAAACCTGTAACTGGGTAAAAATTGTTATGTCACGTTAGAGAGATGTACTGACAGGCTGGAACTAGCCCACAATACAAAACAATACTTCACCTCCTTCTGGAACACAGATGGCAATACGCATGCAGGTAGATCTCATCATATAAACTATATGGAGGGATGGGCTGAGGGGGGGTTGGGATTGGGATCAGGATCAGGTTCAGGGTCAAGGCTGGTGAAAAGGGGTGGGGGAGGGGGGCATAGCTATATCCTACTGAGCACAGAATGACTACAGTCCTAACTACTAGAAATGTGGACAGTAGCTACCTGTATCACTCTGACACCTCCAGCATGTGTTGGTCTCTGTAAGTTAAAACGAAACAAATTGATTTCAACAGAGCATAAACACTTCATATGAGTGAGCTGAAGCACTGAGGTTTTAGCCATCAGCTTACAGTTCCTCTTTACAGACATTTCACTACCAGTAGACTGCCTTAACGGCTCACCCCTTTACATGGTGCACTGTACAGCCAAACTGGTCATTAGGATATTCTGAAATCTGTCATGTCACATGTGGGCTGCATTGCTGTTTGTTAACTGTCTACCAGGTTACCTTAATGGGGTATTCCAGCCTAAATCTAGCATATATGTTTTATATATCGCTGTTATCAGAAGAAAACCTCATATCTCCATTTTTGATATAATTTGAAAATACCCATTACCCTTTACATTGTACATAAATGTCATGATGAATGGACTGAAAGAAATGATCTAATATGACGTGGAAAAAAGTCTGGTTCCATTCACTTACATTAAAGTAAAGTAGGTTTTTTCCTTCTCCTGTAAAATTACCATTTTGGAGATGTTTGGGAGGTTTTCTTCCGACAACAGCGATATATATGTAGTTAGCATAGTGTTGCGCAGCCTCATCGGTTTGATATAATTCACAGTTTTGTATGCTTTTTGCATTTTCGTCCACCTATGTTTTCTCAATATGTGAAATAATCATTGGAACCCTCCCCACCAGCAATAAATAAATGCACTGATGTAGAGAATAATAAACATAAATTTGATATTCAGCTTCTTAGCAAGGATATTAGCAATCTGGCATTTTTTGCGTTAGCTAGCCAGCTAGTAGGAAAACACATTTCAAAATAGCCTGCCCTCATATATTTGCCTCAAAGTGCTTTTAGAGTTTTATAGGTTCTTCATACCTTGAGGAATCATCTTCTGAAGGGTATTTTCCTAATCTTTATACCGGAAATTCTCACTCTTGAGAGGAGGCAAGAAGGCAATTACACATGTTTACCGCAGTTGCAGCAAATGCTTCATTCTTCATTTTGGCCAGAGTAACCCTTTAAAGTGCCCTGCCAAAGAGCTTTGGACATTTAGGGTCCTGACAGAGGTCAGAAGGAGGTTTTCTGGGGTAGTCCCAGCTGACTGTCACATCCTTTTGTTTTTGTCCAAATATGTATCATGAAAGTAGACAATTTTACATTTCATTATATTTGTTTCGGTTCACTTCAGCTTGGCTGTGCTGATGTGTCGTTTGTCTAAACGGCTGACTTTATGTCAAACATTTCAGTATTGTGGCTTGCTAAGCAAAGACTAGCTAATTCACACATTCACTAACATTAAGCACCATTAGCTCGACCATGAATTTCAAGCAGGCTTGCTTTATAATGTTGGAACACGCTTAAAAACACAAAGAATAGCCTTTTTGACACCTATATGGCCAGGGTGGGCCTGACGTGCTACCTATTAGCTGGCTAACCACTTTAGCAATGACTTTAGTTAGCGAGCGAGCTAGCTCTTTAGCTAACCTTCCTTGAAGCCACGTTAAAGCTTTTTACTATAAATTATAAATGACATGGTAATATCTTAACCTACACTGATTTAGATTTAGCAATGAATAAATCAAAGTGGGTTTTAATGAGCTGCTGACTGGTTTAGCATCACTGGCTAGCTCACAGTTCACCTAGCTTAGCCGCTCAGTGTTTCCCAATCCTTCAAATCCTGCTCGTGTATAAACCCTTAAACGTACGTTTATTTGCATTTTACCTGCTTCAGTGTACAACCAGCTCATTTGTAAGCATTAAAGATACAACGGGTGTGTTAGAGCAAGAGAAACACTAAAATATCGATAATCCAGGACCAGGATTGGGGAAATACTGCTTCCTTTTAATATGAGCTCTCAACACGATCGAGTCAGGATAACTATCAAAAAAGGCAAAAAAAGAGTGCCTTCGACTTCTAACCTTCATCTTAAATACACAAGAAAAACGACGTGGTTTGTTATTGATGGAAATAGCAATATGAGACGCTGGCTGGCAGCTCGGGTCAGCTAAACCAGCTAAACCTAAACAGCCTGATCATGTTAGAGGAGGGAGACAGAGACAGACAGAGATGTGGCAGTAAAGTGAGTTTTATCTCCGCTTTTCTTACCTTGCATGCTGCTCATGGTGGTTATATGCTGAGACTGGGACTGATGGTGATGTGCTGTAGATCCCGAGTTACTGCTGCTGTTGTGGCTGGAAGAAGAAGAAGAAGAATAAAATGAAGAAGGGGAAGATGTTGATGTTGTTGTGGTTGAGTTGGGAGTCGCCATTTGTGTTGTTGAATTTCTCCAGCAGCCAGCACTTGCAAAAGGGGGCTGCAATGCAGAGAGAGAGAGAGAGAGAGAGAGAGAGAGAGAGAGAGAGAGAGAGAGGAGCAGACAGACACTGACTTCACCTTCTCTCCTTCTGAGAGACAAACTGACAGCTCACTGCAAATACATCTCTGCATCTATAGGATCAAAAACAGTGAGATCTGTGATCCACTGAGATCTCTGTATTGCCTAGCAGAACACCAACTGTACGGTCATCTGCACAGGCTTTAACTGAAAATGCCCACTGGTTTGATTACAAATAGATCTGATATACATGCACGTCCACGGGTTGATCATAACTGATGGGGATATTGAAGCGCAGGCAGGCAAATAATTATTTGTTGGCTAAATGCAAAGTTGGTGAATTAAAATGTAAAGTCAATAAACAGGCATAATGTCTTGAAAGAAAGCACCAGATAATGTATTATCTCGCTGTGTAAAACCGGGCAGTAATAGTTCGCGGAGCAATTGCATTCCATTCTCTGGGGAAAACTACATTTCCCATAATGCCATAATAATATATATATCCGGGTCCAGTCAGGGCAGGAATGTTGACTGTCAGGGCAAGCAGTTTTAAAGTATAAGATTTATATCTTAAATGATGCATAATGGAGAAAAATAAGACGACAGGGTTTATCCTCCCCGTGTGGAGACTGTGTAACCTCCTAATGACAGCGTTTTTCGCTTTAGCAACTTACGTGCAGGCAAGTGATTTTCCCGTCACTTTTCAGTCTTTTCAGCATGTGATAAGAGCTGTAAAGTTAGCTCGTCAGCAGCGGAGCTGCCATTGAACTTAATAAGATTTGGAGATTTTCGTTAAAACTCCTTTACGCACTTTTAATCACCACGCAACTAACAGTGTCTTATTTTTTCACCAGATAAACGACCCAGATGCTGGACTGTGGATGGTAAAAAAGGCATAAGCTATAATAAACATTAAAATAAAAACTCTGTTTTGTGTTTTGCAATTGATCTTAATTCGCGTTGGTTAACTTGCTCCAGCAGCCAGCACTTGTGAAAGGGGTCTGCAATGCAGAGTGAGAGTGAGAGAGTGTGGTAGAGAGAGAAATACTAAAAATCTGGATTTTTTATATTACGGAAAATGTGTTATAATACTAAAAAGTATACGTTAGAAATTTTTAAGAATATTTTATCACTAATACAATGCAGCAAATTTAATAAAAGTAGTTTGTTTTCATACAGTTTCATATTTCAGATCAAAGTATGGGTTTGCCTGATCCTGATCATATATCGTGTTATCTGTCTATGCATCTCTTTTCACATTGGCAATGTATTCTTGTATAGGTGGGATATGCTATTCCAGCGGGGCTGTGCTTTTTAATCACCTGTCAACCACAAATAACAGGTAGCCTAAATGTTTTAGTTTCTTAAGGCCCATAATAGACCAGCACAGACGCAATGCTCCCATCTAGTGGACAGATCTGCTCATCGCAGTGTTTTGTAAGGTTTGTTTTGTTTTGCAGAGACGCGGCCATGGAGGAGAGTAGCCAATTTACACGTGATGATGGCCACCGGGTTTGGGGCTATGTTGGGCTGGACACTCTTTAAAGAGGGTGTTACACACATCTTTCATCAGGAGGAAGGAAGGTATTTATTCTATAATTTGGGCTCTTGTTGCTGGGGTTTTTAAGAGTCCTGACGATGTTTTTGAGATTTTGGAGTCCTGACCATGGTTAAACAGGGCAAAGGAGAGCTAGAGAATTATGCAGAGAAACAGATGGAGTATAGTCTGTAATTGTAGATCTACAGTGTACCTATGTGGTAAGTGGAGCTGATAAAATGTACAATAAGTGTAGATACAAACTACAGTAGGTCAGGGTATATCAAGGCAATTTCATGCTGTAATATATTGCCAACAAGAATGTAATCTATTTGTGAATTCGATTTTTATTTTTCATTAAAATAAAAACATTTTTTAAAAAATTAAATTAAAAGCTTCGCAGTAGTTTGCCTTTGTCACTCTCATAACTGCTTTCTGGAGCTGATCTCTTTCTGTCTGTGTCTAGGGAGTTTTGTGGCCTGATGCTGACGGTGCTCTGGCTGCTGTTGTGCCGACACTCTGGACAGTAAATCTTCAAATTCACTCATTCAGAGTTACAAACCTTCTACACTACCCCATGTCACTGACAGTGAAAAGCGTGTAATTATATATAAATCTTATCCAGTGTGCACTTAAACATTGGCTAGGAAATTATCAGTGGAGAGAGATGAGTCTTAATATTATTAATATTGTTGACCAGTCATAATCCATCAATAAGAGACACATCACAAATGTGTTTTCCCATCAAAAAAAGTCATATATAGTATAAAATATGGTATAATATTCTGTCACATTCAACCTAATCAGAAATGGTAGCACACGTTTTATGAAAAAAGGTTGTTAATTCCAAATGCTATTTACTTTGCATGTGTGAGAAACTAACGTTAGCTAGTTTCACTTAGCTAAACCAACATAGTAGCATAGAGTTGTGTTTTAAATGGGAAACAAATATGTAGTGCTATTCTGATAAGACTAGTTTTACATGGGGAGGTAAAATGCAAGGAGGTCTATAATGTTTTTCTTGGACAATTTCTTGGTACAAATTACAGAGATGGGAATGGCTACTCGATGTATGCAGTGCTATCATACCAAAAAAGTTGCAGACACATTTCAGCTAGTATAAACCATGTCTTGGCATTTGGTTTAATCATTATTATGTTTACCCTAACCATCTACCTAGCTGTCTTGAGTGAATGGAGAGCCATAAGCACCGTCATATATATATATATATATATAATGTGTATATGTATATTTGTTGTCAGAAGAAAACCTTGTATCTCCATTTTTCAGTTTTTGCGATGTTAAGTTGCAGATAAAGTGTTCCTTTGTTTTCCATATTGGCCCTTAGTAACTTGAATTCATCATTCATTTACATTAAAATCTTGTATGAAGTATAGATAAGGCTTGATTTTCTTTGCAGAAGCGGCGTTGGTGTTCTGAGGCTGTGCACAGCTGTTGGCATCACTGTGTTCCCCTTCGTGGCCTGGATCTACTACTACATCAACAAAGAGCTGAGGGCAGACTGGCCTTCACACTGCACTACTGCACTGTAACCCACACAGTTTAACACAGTTTAACTGCAACTGTGGCCCATCAGTCATGTTTAACTCTAAAAAGCAAGCATACATTATGTTTAATGAGTGAAGGGCTAGTATATCTGAGTTAGTGTCTGCATCATTTCAAGTTGAATCTGGTGCTGTTAAATCATGTGGCTGCACTGAAGTGAAAATCTTTATATGAAGCTACGGATGAAATGAGGGGACCAATGTATATGTTGCATTAAAAAAGTTGCATGCAAAATATCACTTTATCCTAGATCAATGCTGTGAATGTTATATATATAATAAATAAAACATTGCACATTTTTCCTTCTTCTTCTTCTTCTATTGAACACAATATTTTTTCCAGTCAGTACTAGAAAAATAAAATTAAAGGAATACAGCGATCAGAAACACCAAATTAAATTGTAGAGCATCTATGTAAAAGGTTCATGACCTGTAGTTGTTTATTGAAGAATTACATAATGTGTGGCTTCTCTCCACTTGGAGTCAGTTAAATGTGTATTTCAGGGCTTTCTGCAGAGATTAGATACATAATCCATTTGCATAAAGAATTGCGAAGTCATATATTAAAAGATATAGAGAAAATGGAACTCGTAACAACAATGCAAGACCTGGCAGGCCATCAAAACTGTCACCATCAGATAAACTGTACTTAAAGCTTTCATGTTTGAGAGAGGAGAAAATCAACCTCCACTCTTCAGATCTGAAAACATCCACAGGTGTTTCTGCCCATCCTTCCACTGTGAGAAGACAACCCAACGCTGTGAGTCTGAAAGGATGTGTAGCTGTGAAGCCCTTACTGAGAAAATGACTGAGAAAAGATAAAAAAAGAGAAGACAATCAACGAAGCTGCTGGTGTTCTCAGAACAATGGACTGACAATCCCGGAGTCCAGAACTCATCACTGAATGTGTTTAGGACTACTTGGATTGTGAAAAGCAGAAATTGCAACAAATTTCTAAGACTGAAAGTTGAAAAATATCTCTATTTAAAAAAAAAAAAATAACTGAAAGCAAGTCTCCTGAAGAGAACGGAAGCTGTAATGAAACTGTGTTTGTACTTAATAGCATTATGAATGGAAAAGAAACAAATGAAAAGACATTTGCACAGTTCTGTAACTGACCGCCGGGGGAGGCTTTTAAGATAGGACACCTCAGAGGGCAGCTCTTTAGTTGCCTTACGAAAAAGACCATTTAAATTAACGAGCTGTGACAAAGTTATAACAATGAGTATAAAGTCTCATTTCTATTGGATTTTCGCCCTCTGCTGTTTGAAAATTTGTTACATTTCACTGTGTTTTATTTTAAGCAGTATCATTTCTCCGTGTTAATTTTAAACCGGCAGGAGCGTCGGCTCCAAATTCTGCAAGATGGCGGCGTCCATAGCAAACCTGTTAAAGCCGTGGACTCCGAGGTAAATAAAACAGTATTATTAAGTTATTATACATTTTTAAAGCTTTCTGGGCTTTATTTCATAAATTAAAGTCAACGTAGAGCCTTGCAGTGTTTAGAAATATTTGTATTAATCCTTCGAAACGCGAGTTAAGTTTGCTGTTCTTAACCTCGTGTCCTAGAAAATTAGAGTCTGTAGTTGTAGCTCTTCCTATTCGGCAGGTTATTATTCAAATTTTACCGTTCCGCCTTAAATGGTGCAGCAGTTGTACCATTTAAGGTGGAACGGGAAAGCTGGCGAATAGGAAGCCAACTTAAGCCTCGCTGGACAATTGCTTTTATTGCACATGTATATGATTTTCAATATTATTAGCATGATTTTAAGTAGTAACAGTAGCAATAATGTTGGTTTTTGTTGTTTTATTTTGTATTATTGTAATATTATTATTATTATTATTACCACAATAAGAATTGCCCACAGTGCACGTTTACCCGGATCAGCCTTAACATTAAAACCATCTCCTTGTTTCTACATTCATTGTCCATTTTATCAGCTCCACTTACTGTAAAGCTGCACTTTGTAGTTCTACAATTACAGACTGTGGTCAATCTGTTACTCTGTTAGCCCCCTTTCAACCTGTTCTTCAGTGGTCAGGACCCCCACAAGACCACCACAGAGCAAGTATTATTTGGATGGTGGTGTTAGTGTGTGTTGTGCTGGTATGAGTGGATCAGACACAGCAGTGCTGGAGTTTTTACACACTGTGTCCACTCACTGTCCACTCTATTAGACACTCCTACCTTGTTGGTTCACCTTGGTTTAAAGTCAGAGAGAGTAGCTCATCTATCGCTGCACAGTTTGTGTTACTCATCCTCCCCTTATCAGTGGCCACTGGACACAGCCCAGAGGATGCCGTTGGCTGGACTGCTGTGTCTGATCTACTCACACCAGTGCAACACACACTAACACCACCACCACGTCAATGTCACTGCAGTGCTGAAAATGATCCACCACCCAAATAATACCTTCTCTGTGGTGGTCCTGAGGGGGTCGTTACCATTGAGGAACAGAGTAAACGGGGGCTAACAAATTGTACAGAGAAACAGATGGACTACAGTCTGTAATTGTGTAACTACAAAGTGCACCTATATGGTAAGTGGTTGATAAAATGGACAATCAATGTAGGAACAAGGAAGTGGTTTTAATGTTGTGAGTAATCGGTGCATATTATCAATTTTATTATTATTATTATTATTATTATTACTACTTCAGTGGCCTCACAACAATGCCCAATTGATTCTGAGTGGTCTACCATCTCATCCTTCATGAACTTCTGTTATGATGAGCTTTGTGACTTTATGACTGCCAACCTCAGCATGAACTCCTAACCTTTTTCTAGAGATGAATCCTGCCTTACACTCATATTTAAATTCTTCCCCACACTCCAAAAAAGGGTTTTTCTGTTGTTATAAGCTTGACATTGTAACAGTAACCAAAGAAGAGAGATCTTGTTAAAATTTAAAAGATGATTTTCCATTTTGTCATTTGTCATTGTTTGGTTCTTTAAACACACAAATTCTTTTCCTTAGGTTGTGTGCAGTGCGGTGGAGCCGCTATAACCCATACTACCTGGAGCCAGAGACCCGTAAGGATGTATATAAGATCCCAGATACGGAGTTGAGTCCAGAGCAGAAAGAAGAAAAAGAGCTAAAAACCACCCGACCAATCAAAGCTGCAGTGACCAGCATCACCAGCTCACCCTTTAATGACCCAGTCATAAGGTAATACCACTGGTACCACAGCAGTAGGGCTGCAACTAATGACTATATTTATAATCGATTAACCTACGGATTATTCTTTGACTAATCAAGTAATCTAACTATTATGTCTTCTTTCATTCCTCTCCATTTGTCACCATTGTTTAATGTTATATTTGCGCACCAAGCAAATTTTTTCTCTAGTGCAGTAAAACAGTAAAATTCATTATACCTGTTTGCTTCCTGTACTGTATTGCGATTTGTCAGAATGGCTGTGCGTATTATATGAGCATTGTAGGATATTATAGAGGGCTTTTGTTTTTGAAGGGAATTCATCCATAATTGATGACTATCATTTGTTGAATAATTGCTGCCCTAATAAGCAGACTGTTCCCGTCTAAGATTATGAAAGTCTAATGCTGGCTGTAATACCCTTTCTTTCAACAGCAAGTTCATCAATATGATGATGCAAGATGGCAATAAAGTCCTGGCCAGAGAAATCATGACACAGGTAAGGAATGAGCATCTCTTCTGAAGTAAGAGACAGTATTAGTCAGAAGTTGTACACTCAGCTGATTGCCTCTATGTTTTTATAATGTTGAAGACATACAGTACAGTGCAAAAGTCGATCAACATTCTTTTATTTAATTTCCAGCCCATTAACTTCAAGTTACTAATTTTTTTCAGTGTTTTTCTGCAGAAAAGCAGAAGACATTTTTAAAAGAAAATTACTGGGCTGGCCATTCTATTGTTCTGAGAACACAAGGCAAAACTAACTATGGAACAATCAGATAAACAACATAGTTTAGTTATCATTTAATAAAGTTTGATGTTTCCATATTGACTTATATTGAAAAAAGATCTCAAAATACAATCTGGTGTCTAACTTATAGTATTGTTCCATATATTAGTCATTATGAGTTAATATAAGTTATTATTGAATAATCCAACAGCAGTTATTCATATGACAAGCAATTCCAGTCTTTTGAATGGTAAGGTATTGTAGCTAGACAGTCCTCTCTTTGGAGTTATCCAGCTTTAATTTCTGCATAAAGGTAAAATACCCTCCCCCTGACTTAACTGGACCTTGACTTGTCTCTACCTACATATTTTCTTTGTATTCAGACTCTAGAGACTATAAAGCGGAAACAGGTGGAGAAATACCACAGAGCTCCAGCAGCAGAAAAAGAGGTCATCGAGTGTAACCCATACACAATATTCCAACAGGCCATCGAAAACTGCAAACCAGTCATTGGACTAGCAAGCATTCAGAAAGGAGGAAAGAATTACCAGGTTAGTGTACTGCATCACTTTTACTGTGCTTAGTGCACTTACCTTGTTCTTCTTTGGCTGCTCAGAGGAATATCAAGTTTACACAGTCTTCCTGTTACTCTGAATGTAGTCGATCAGCCCAGACTAATGTAGCTAACAGGTAATGGAAGCATATTAGTTCAATGCAAACTACATGCTTAGATCATCAAACACTCACCTCAAACCACGTCAACAGGCCTGTCACATATTACATAATCAAGGTTATTTAAGCTGATTGCAATTATTTAAGCTTATTAAGCTTCTTATGTTTATTTTCCACTGTTGTTGTTGTCCTCAATCCTACATTTTGACACAGACACCATGTGCAAGCAGTGCCCCATTTAAATCAACCTTTAAAACTGTCAATATAGTGATTTTTATTCAGTGTTTCACATACTGCACTAAATCTAATTAAACAAGACTAATTTAGCTTTTTTATATAATGAAACTAGGTTGGTTGGTGTTCTTTAAGTGCTGACGATATCCATGAGATTCACAGAAAAATGTATTGTTTATCTTGATAACAAATATTACACGGTAACAATAAAATATTATCATATAACCCACCTTAAGTACCAGCCATATTAAAGCCTGAATTTTGTATATACTTCTGTTTACTTTTTTAGGCTTTAGATTCCGCAAGACAGAATAGTCAGTGCTGTAATAATGTTTGCTGTACATCACTCAGGTCCCCATCCCTCTGAAGGACAGCCGCCGGCGTTTCCTAGCCATGAAGTGGATGATCACGGAGTGTCGAGAAAACAAGCACCGCCGCACACACATGTACGAGAAACTCTCTCAGGAGCTGCTGTCTGCTTTCGGCAATGAGGGAAACGTCATCAAACGCAAACACGACCTTCACAAGATGGCCGAAGCTAACAGAGCGTACGCTCATTACCGCTGGTGGTAATGGAAGAAATACAGACTTGTGATTATTCTGTAGTCGTGCATCTTCACTTGGACTGGTTATGTTGGAAGAGTTGGTGGACTGCTGCACTGAACATCAGCACATTTATTTATCAGTGTTGACAGTGATGGCTGTTTAAATGACCACAAGCTTCTGGCTTTCACTGTTTAACCAGATAACGTAAGTCAAAACTCAAGCCTGTTTTGATTTAAGTTATCCAGCTTCTTCAGATATCCTGCTCTGTGAAACAGCCCCCTTGTTTTCATTATGTGGTTAAAACATGGGAGGGTATACTACAAGTTATTTGGTTCAGTTCCAGGTAACAATGTGTTGAACCCTGTGTAGGTGTGTTCAATGCAGTCACTTTAACATTAGCTCTAAATTAACATGCTGAGGTGTAAATCTGTTAAGACCTTTATACCGTAATTCAGAGACATCCTGAGGTTTGTTCCCCATAATAATGTTAATATACGTGTGTTTGTGCTTTTATTATAATACCTGAATAAATGTTAAATGAATGTCATTTTATTATAGCTTTTTCTTTTGGTCCTTTGGATCTTTTTCAGAAGTATTTAGGATTCACTAGTGAGAGTAATTTTCTGATTATTGAAACTTGAAAAAATAACAATGGACTTAACTGGATAATAACAAATGCATAGCCTTTCAATGATTCCAAAATGCTCAACTAGAACAAAGAAACTGGAAAACTGTTAAAATTAGTATGTGGTAAAAAGAAATTGCATATAAATAGTTTTTACTTTAGACAACAGTAGTAGGGGAATTTAGTAACTCTTTATTTGGGCTGCCCACTGTAGATTTACTCAGCTAAATAAAAAATCAATATTATATTGATGATGACTGTAGATAATTCACTCACACTATTGGAAGACACATGCTTCACCAAGTTTCGCTCTGAGAAGGTTTCTATTCTTTTTCCTGAAACACAACCAGTGTTACAAAATGTTCTGGCGCATGTTGATTGCAATTACACATTTTCAACTTAAACCTCAACCCTAAACCACTAACCCTCACCTTGGTCCTAATAATTTGAACATTGCAGATGCCACTTACAAAAAAAATGTCATTATGAATGGACCAAAATAAAAGCTCCAAAATTATTATTATTATTATTACTGTTATTATTTTTATTAATTAAAAGAATATTAATTAATTTTGAGTGTTATGTTGCTTTGCAACCAAAATCAGTGAAACATGGCTTCTTTTGGCTTTATCACTCTAGTATTACAGATTCTTTAAGCAAACGCTGTCAAGTATTAAATAATACATTAACTTGCATTAAAAGTTAAGTCTGTTTTTTCCTTCTTCTGTACAGTAACCATTTGGAGAGACAAAGTTTTGTTGTGATCATCATTCAAGCTGCCAAAATTTCCAAATAATCAAAAGCGTAATTTTACCTGTCTTTTAATTACATTTCAGTAAGTACAACAATAGTCTTTATTTAATTGTTTTTTTTTTTTGTGAAAAGCCAGTGCAGCATGTAAAATAAAAAAAAATAAAAATTCTTATTTGCATAAAATGTTTATTTGAATCTGAGACAATCACTGTAAACTTTCAACTCTAGAACAAGAAATATCCCACTTTTGAGTTCAAAAACCTACCATAGGAAAACCTACCAAATACTGAAACTTGTGGTGACAGATTTAATTATCATTGTACAAAATTGCTAAATACAAAAGATATTTTGTATCTGGTCATTAAATAAACATGATAGGCACATTGTGTTATTTAAACATCTGGTCAAATGTATAGATTTCTTAAAAATCACTGACTGACCTCATAGAGGTCAGCTGTCATTCACAAGTCAGTATTCAAGTTAAACCAAAAACAGACCAACAATAGGTTTAGATTTAGTTGTAGCTTAATTAATTATGAAATAAGTTAATTCAAGATATACATTATCATTTTCATTATTTTCCTAACCTATACTGTCAAGTCACTGATGTAAGGTGTCTTCCTTGGCTATCCTGATCATTTTAACTTTTATTTAAGGTTCAATAAAAATTAAATAAAAGTTACTATTCAGTCTAATGTAAGTGAAAGCTGATTTAAGGCACTGTCTTTCATGTAGCATCTCAATAGTGTAATATTTGTAATGGCCAGGTTCTGAACAGAGAGCAAGAGAATGTTATGCTATACTATAGCAGAATCCATTCTGTTATTCCACAAACGTTTTCAAAATTTTAGCATATTTAAATCTTTGTTGTTCAGAGTGGTTGGATGTGTAATGCTCTGTTTAAGAGAAACTTTAAAAGCAGAATTGTTCTCCATGGTGGTGATAGGAACCAGACGACCGAAGCATTTAATGTTTATAAAACCTCCCTCACAGGAAATGATTGCGTGAAATAGTTATCAATATGCTGCCTGATGTTTGAGACACTTTTATTATAGTATTGAGAAGATTTTGGCCTAAAACTATTTGCCATTTATGGTACGGAGCATTTTATCTATTCTACCATCATCAACATTACATATAAAAACTCAGAAGACAGGTTAGGTTGATTAGTTGTTTTAGATAGTAAATAAAATGGCCATATTTGCGTTGTACACATAGCAATGTACCCCGGTTCCCATCACCACCACTGTAAAGAAAGTTTCTCTCCAATGAACCACTTCACATCAAACCACTTTGAATCACTTTGTTTACATCTTGACCATTTAATTAAGCAGAGAATTTGAAAAATCGGTGGAATTCCTATTTAAACACTTGGGTACAGTGGTTTTCCTTCGGGGGGAGAAAAAAAAAAAAAAAAACCTAAATCCTTGAAATTTAGATGACAGAATAATGTTAGCACCATTGAGGAGTTGCTCTGTTCTAGAGAAACTTTCCAAGTCAGAATTGTTCACAGTGGTGGTGACAGGAACCAGATGCTTTAAGATTTTAATGCCTCATAATAATAAGCTACATAATAGGAATTTACAAAATAATTACCAATACAATGCCTGATGTCTGAGAAACTGTTTTATGATAGTTTAAAGATAAGATTTTTTTTGCCTAAAACATAATTTTTAAAAATGTACAGAGGTACATGCAGGGCACTATAAAGCAAATAGTGCCCAAAGAGAACATTTTTTTCAGATTTAACACTATTTTACCAGTCAACATTGCATATAAAAGCTCAGAAGATGCATGTAGATCCACTGGTTGTTTTGGACAGTAAATAAAATGTCTATATTTGTGTTGTAGACATAGCCACTCCTGGTTCCTATTAACACCACTGTAAAGAAATCTGAGTCAATAAGTTTCTCTACAATTAACTATTTCACATCAAACCACTGTTTACATCTCAACCTTTTAATTATACAGACAATCTGAAAAATCAGTGGAATTCCTATTTAACTCTTTCCTTCCAATAAAAGAAAAAAAATCCTAAATGCTTGAAATTTAGATGACAGAATAATTTAAGCACCATTGAGGAGAGTAGTTCTATACTAACAAACTGGAAGATGTAAAACAAAAGCAGAACATTTTCTCTGTTTTGGGCTTATTTCTGGTGGAAATGGGACAATGTGAAGCTAAGGCTCATTTTCTACTAGTTACATTTCAGTTAGATTTTAGCAAGTGCCATAGGATTCATTTTGATTGGTCCTTAGGTTCACTGGTCCATTTGACTGGCATTTTAAAGACAACCCCCAGTGGCCTCACTGTTCTCAATTAGAAACTATCAAACTTGACCTAAGACCTAAATGAAGGTTGTACAACTTGACCCTTTGGTAAAGATCATTTTAGCAACTTAACTGTAAACTAATTCTCATTCAGCAGAATACTGACCAAAAGTCACTTCATTTGATGGTCATCCAAAGAAACTGGTAAGACTGAATCAAACACCTCTGTAATAGGAAATGTCTATAAATGTGGGGTATTGTTCCCTCTCTAAAGCCACATTTGCAAAGCTTTCCCAATCAGAAATACTTTAATCACGCATTATTAGTTCACTTCCAATATTGACACTCATCCAGTGTCCTTTCCAGTCTTTCATTAAAGGAAATGTTCCCAACCAGTGGTCTTTACAGTTGACACATTAGTTCAATATTTAAAGGGTCCATATCATGTCAAAGTGAACTTTCCTCACTGCCAAATAAAAGAGCTGTAGAAGTTGATTGTAAACACTGTTAAATGTTTACTTCCCGATATGGAAATCTGTCATTTTGCTGCCTAAGTATGCCCACCGTGGGAGTGTGGGATGAGCAGAGTCATTTACATATGCCAGGCTTAAATTCACAGTAGCCTAACAAAAACAACATGTTTATTATTAAAGGAAAAAAATAAGTTTGAAAGTGGTTATGTAACTTTAACCTAATGTCATAAGCAGACCTCAGTGAACATGATAACACAAGAAAAATGTAGATTATGGGCCCTTTAAATAAAATCATTAGTGTCAGAGAATGCTGATATAATTGTGGTCAACATGATTTTCAAAATCTACTGTATGTAGCAAAGCCATCAAATCAATGGCTTCTGTTCTTTCTGTTGGAACCAGCATTGGATCTAGATCTGCAACTAACAATTCTTTATATAATCAGTTAACCTACTGGCTATTACCAGATTAATCGCCTAATCTAAAGATTACGCCTTCTTCATATTATCATTCTGTTATTTGTTCCTCTTCCTTTACTGCCTCAATCAGTCCATTCATACAACAAGCGATTTCTTCTGTTTGTATTAATGCACTCAGTTATTACAACCATTGTGCTGTTCAACGAGAATTTCTGAGCATTATGTTGCTTGGCAACCAAAATCAGTGAAACATGGCCTCTTGAGGCTTTTTTCTTTATCATATCAGCCCTAGTATTACGGATTCTTTACGCAGAAGCTGTCAGGTATTAAATAAATTTGGTTATTGGGACATTTGTTTTTCAAATGTCTGTACTGGCATCTGCCATTGGAAACACCAGCACTAGCTGACCTAATCCGAACCCCATTCGAGCACAATCCAACAGGCATTCTCGTTCTCATTCTTCTCATTCCAATCCCTCAGTCGGTCACCTCACTGTAGTAGTACTTCTGCGCCGTTTCGCTGAGCGTCCAGCCACCAGCGCGGAACTCCAGGATTTCAAGCAGAAGCAGACGCCCCAAAGAGCTGAGGCCATCCTGCAGGAGGAAACCGTCACGCAGCAGGCAGAACAGCTCGTCCATCCGCTGCACATTCATTTTCTCCAGCTGCTCACCGATACGATGAAGCTGCAGTACCAAGCAGTCCACCTGAGGGACACATGCAGGGACAGTTCAACCAAACCTCATTAAAGCAACATCCAATTTACACAAGTAGCACATCATAAATTTGGGACTTTACTTCTAATAGGAGCTAATCCAGCTAACAAGTAATGGAAGCTTATACCTGGGATTCTCAAACTTTACCATTTTAAGGACCACCTATTTATCACCAGAAAGCATGAAGGCCCACAGAAACTTTTTTGCTTAAATATATTTCATTTTTCAGAAATTTTCAATAAAGCCAAGTTGATCAGCTATCATGAGCTTATTTTATACCAAAACAAATTAGGCAGACTGGTGTCGAAGTGGGTAATCAGGAGAATCAGCAGAATTCCTGGTTGGCCAGTAGCTTTTTTGGACCAGATACTGTGAGATAATGTAACTCTGGCACAAAAACACAACAACGCTCAGACAAACTATAAATGTTACATTCAAGTGTATATCTGTAGTAATTTAGGGGTTAAACCAGTGGCCAACCTCAAGCGATACAGCCCCAGTTTGCTGATTGCACCTGTGTCTCATACAGTGAATAGAGATTAGATAAGCTGCAGTTAGCTCCTTATTCTCATTTCCTGTTCTGATGTAGCAGTTACATTTAAACACCTGTGCGGGTGCTAGCTTTTAACTGCTGCACTATTTGAGGTGGAATGGAAATTTGAATAAGAATCTAACATTTTTTATATGTGAATCATGTGAAAATAGACAGCTGTGGCAAGAACTGCAAAAATCAAGGTAGCACCAAGAAGACAAGAATTAAAGATCTACTTAAGGAGGATGAGGACATATCCGAGCAGGTGGGCAGCGTAAATTGTTAACCTTAACTGGCACTATTTTGTAGCATATTGACTGTCATGATTGTCACAATTAAGATAAAACCTTTCTCCAATTTTAATTTAAATCACTGAATAGCCACCTTGCTTATCTTAGTGTAGTATATAAATAAAAAAATACAAGTAAATGAACAAGATGAAGATGTTCAGATTTTAGAAGAAATCATTCTGCATGAAGGCAAAGCTGCGTACATGTGTATGTGCATGTGTATGTGTGTATATGTGTGTGGCAGAAGAAACAGAGTTGGGGATAGGCTGGTCTGCATCATGTAACTCCCTTTCTGAAAACAAGTTCATCTCCAAGCCTTTTGGCAAATAAATTTTTGCACCAGTTGTTCGCAAGTGCACAACTAAAAAGTCAGTGGGAGTGTATTCTGTTTTTAGAGGCTGATTGATGAAGCTTCTGTTGTTGCAGATCTTGTATTAATATTGCTTGAGAATGTTTTAGATTCCTTTTTATTGTTAAGTCAATTGATTTTTTTGGTTTTTTTTTACCAGGCCACTATGGACCACTGACCCCCACTCAATATTGGTCAGCCCAGTGGTTTAGAAACCCTGGCTTCCACCACAAAAATTAGCATTGTGTTAAGTAAAATCATAAAATATGCAGTTTCCTTGATGGGGTATAAACTTACATTATTTATTAGCTACATTAGCTTCATAGCTCCAGTGCAAAACTAAAGGAACTATGGATATCAAATGTTGGGTAAAATATTGTGAATTTGAATTTCTGTTATACTATTGCTTTAACTGAGCAGTGTTTAAAATCTAGTGGTAAGGTGGCTAATAATGGATGAAAGGACATCAAATGAAAGTGAAGATCGTTGGTGAACTGACCTCCTCTTCGTTTTTGAGTGCGTCAGGCTGAGCAAGTCTGAATAGGCAGTCATAAACTGGATGCACTAGCGCCATCATTGGCATGTTGTTCACCTGAAAACACAATAACACAACTTTATCATCTTTTTTATCATTGGGCAGCGCAGCCACCAATCTTTAATTAATTGTTTTTAAAGAAATTTTGAAGAATTTTCAAAACGAAACAAAAATACTGGGAAATAAACTGGTAACTCTTTATTTTGATGGCCCACGACTGAAGCTTTGCAAATACTCAACTTGTCTTTAACTGACATTCAATTAAATAGCTACTAAATTCACCTTAACTTTCCCTAAACGTAATTCACTCTAATCCTAACATTAATCTTAATCGAAAACCTAAACCTAACCCTAAACCTCTACGTAATTCACTCTAATCCTAACTTTAACCTCAACCCAAAACCTAATACTCTAACCTAAACCTCTACTCTAAACCTAATAGGTGAGCAGCTGTTGTATGTGATGCTGCTGTGATACTGCTTCACCTTGAGGTAGTCGAAGATGTTGCAGATGAAGGAGACTAAGCACACCCACTCCTGAGTGGACTTCTTCCTTGTGTCTTCTCGAGCCTTGAACTCCTGCTGGAGCCGATTTAGAAGGTTTCGGCGAAACACACTGCTGGTGCTCTGCTTGGCCTCTGCCTGTACAGGGCAGTGAGAAATCAATGTCAATGAGTCAATATGTTATTTCTTTTTAGTACTAAATACTACGATTTCATAATTACTGTGGAAATAGACATTTCAATACACATTCCAATGGCTAATGCCATAATAATAATAATAATACAATAGTGACTATACAAGTTTAGACAGAATATACAGATATCCAAATTTAACTTAGTATTTGTTTACTTACTGTAAATAAGGCATGACTGGAATAAAAAAATTAAATAAACTGTGTATATTTTTGACTGATGTTTTGATATTTTTGAGTGTGTGATATAGAACAACAGAGAATGTCAGGACAAAAGCAAAAAAATGTAGTTCTATCCAGTTCCACCCACTACGACGCCCTCAATCACACGATACCCCCAGTGCTAGGAGGGCGAAGGCTAGCACAGGCTTCCTCCGAGGTCTGTGAAGCCAGCCACCGCATCTTTTCGAACTGCCGCTAACGCAACGTCATTGGACAGCTGAACATGCTCGGAGGAAAGCGCCAACCACCAGATCTGTTACGTCAGCTAACAGATGCCTGCACTGACTAGCATCATGCTGAGTGATGGGGGGAGAGGTGGGGGCCATCCTACCCACCCAGAAAGCAAGGCCAATTGTGTTCCATTGGCCTCCTGGCCACGGATGGCTGTAGCATCACCAGGAATCAAACTCGCAAACTCCCGATGATAGGAATAACACTTAGATGGTGGCTGTCCAAAGAAAAACAAGTATCTACAAAATCGTAACTTTTCAGGAAAGGGCAGAAACGTACTTTACATGTAATTTAATTTAATGTGAAGAGGTTTAATCCTAATTTTCACACAATGTAAAGGACATATTGTGTTAGAATGGAATTATAATAGAAGAAAAATAAAAGTTAAAACAATGGAGACACTTATTTTTCTTTGTTTGTTTGTTTGTTTTTGCTTTATTTGTTTTTTTTTTGGGCAGCGAAAGTTAACCCATGAGTTAACTCATCCTCTACAGATCTGTAATGGAACAACACTAAACTGTTCTGTACTGTATCCCTGTTTGCTTTGCTAGTCAGTTAAGACACTTACCTGCACTATAGTGAAGCAGATGCGTCCGGCTTCTTTGCTAAACACTTGATCCTTCAGAGACTGATCCACAATGACATTAGACACCTTCTCCAAGTCCACAGAGCCTGGATCTGATGGAGAAATAAACGTCACAGCTTTGGAAAACTCTCCCAAGACAATCTCAAGAATCCCACATGTTGAAATAACAATTTAGTATCTAACACTGCCAATAATGAACGAAACAAAAGGTAGCATTACACCAACGAGACCCTAACTGATCCTCACTTGCTTTCATTCACTGTTTGTCAGATTAGACTGTATTACTACAGCAATGTAAACTAACCTTTCAGTGCTGTTTTGAGCAATTTCTGTGTCTCCATGTCAAAAGACTGGATCCTGTACTCTTCTTTTGATGAATCCTCCATTCTTTTTAGGACACAGTGTTTGGACACCAGGAAACCTGTACTACAAGAAACAGTATAGTAAAGAAACAACTCAAGCACTTAAATTATGCCTTTTATGTCCTACTGACCTACATCTATCTATATCTAGACTACTCCCTATTTAGATCTATCTAGATCACAAGATCTCCAAATACAGCACTTACCAGACAGACATTATGACTTTATTAGCCTGTACTGTTGTCAGTCTAGAGGCCTACAACCGCTGAAGGTATTAGCCAATATTTAAAACCCTTAAACTACAGAGTTTGAGTGAAGCGCAGCACAGCACAGCAAGTCCAAAACGTGTGCCGTCACCAAACTGTATCTCACTATTGAAAGCCTGTATCTGCTGTTTGTGTGGAAGGGATAAGCAGGATTAGGTGAGCTGGACAGACTGTTCAATCCCTTTCAACAGACCCACAGGCCCCAGAGAAACAGGAGGTGAACAGCAGCTGACCGAGTTAGAGGCTTTCAGATTCTGTTTCAACAGAATTTACGGAATTCAATCATGAAGGTGCAATTTCCATGTATTGTTATTGAGCTTGTTATTACTTTGGTACACTAGGTGGCGATGCATGACTTTTTATTCTCTAGATGGGGAAGGAGAAGAAGTCTAGCCATTCCCTCACAACAGCAGAAACCAGCAGGACAGTTAGCAGAGTTAGCTGAAAGTATGGAGGACAGAAGTGCTACGCGAATGATGTGGCACAGTAGAACTTGTTTGGTTTTACTGATGTTCTACTATAATCAATAATTTTGTGTATTTCACCACAATAAGCCTTTTGTTGTCTTCAGGATTCAAAATCCTATTTGGACTAACCTAGTAATGCCCTTTTTCCCCCCCATTTCCTTTGGTCCATGTGTTCTCTTAGCCCAAGTACAAACCTTTTTTTAAATTGACTTTTTTAAATTGATTGAATCATACAGCAAAAAATGAGGGATATAAAGCCCCCCAGCACTGGACTGTGGAGCAGTGGAACTATCTTTTCTGGAGCGATGGAGCTCCATCCAACATCTTTGGAGTAGGACTGATCCAGAACTAATCATCCAACATCAGTGTCTGACCTCAATAACGTACTTGTGGCCGAATGCAACCAAATCCTCACAGCAAAGTTCCAACATCTAGCACAAAACCTTCCCAGAAGAGTAGAGGCTGTTACTGCAGCAAAGGGGAAAAATTCCCTATTAATACCCTTGACTTCATTAGAAACGCTGGAGGAGCAGGTGTCTACAAACTTGAGCATATATCAATGACATAATTAGGGAAAACTGTTCACAGTGGTGGCGATAGGAACCGAACATCTGAAGAGTTGAATACCTCTAACAGCTCCTTCACATGCAGGGTGTGGTAAGGCAACATGTTTTTTTCCACTTTTACCATCATCAACACTACATATAAAAAGTCAGAAGACACGTGTAGGTTCACTGGTGGTTTTGGATAGTAGGCTAAATTAAACGGCTGTATTTTTGTTGTAGATATCACGCCACCTGGTTCCAACCACCACCACTAAAAAGACATCTGAGTCACTACGTTTCTCTACAACGAACCACGTCACATCAAATCTCTCTGAATTAATCTTTTTACATCGCAACGACGGAATTATGCAAAAAATCTGAAAAAATCGGTGGAATTCCCCTTTAAGATGCAGTCACCTGGCTGCAGATGTAGCGTAATCTTTGATTCCCCATCCAAGGTAGGTTCAGTTATGCAGTCTGAACCAATGCACTAATGATTCATTAGACGGACTGAGCAAATAAATCACTCAGCCTGACCCAGATACGTCTTTGTCCATGTTTTGCAGTCTTGTATTTGTAAGTTAAACTCACCAAATCTTTTCCCAGCCTACGCCCAGCAGCCTACAAGCAAATAAAGCAGCTAGCAAAGATTACTAAAGTTTCACACACAGTAATAAAAGTTTAGAGAAGTTCACTGGAGTTGTTAGGTCTAGTGAATTTAGTGTAGTAAAGGCAAAAAAGCGCAAACATTCACCCAAAAACTTAGCTTACCTGGACTTTCTTTCACGTCGCTGATTTCGAGTCAATGATTTGGGTGAACGAAGCTAACGTCAACTGTTGTTTTGTTGTTGTTTTGTTTAGCTAAAGCTACGTTAGCTCACAAGACCTGCTAGCATTTTCGTTGTTTTTTTCTATCAAATACTACCAAAACTTACTTAAAGTCCTCACGATGACAGAGCTTCACCTCTTATCTGCTTCCATTCCTGGCTTTGTGCTACTGCTTGCTTCCTCTGTGTTATGGTTTAGCAGCAGCAATGCTCACTGGTCCATAAAGTCTGTGAAGCCGCGATGTCAAACAGGTTTGTAAACGAATCGATTCTTTTGAACGGTTACTTTTTAATAAATCTGCAGAACCGATTCACAAGTACAACTAAGAGATCTTACTGTACCAGGAGTAGGACTTCGACAGTCGAATTAAAGTGTTAAGCTACGCTGTAAAACCATAACACAAACACACCATATTTTAAGCATTAATCACAATCTCTTTAAATTAGCTTGTTTTCTCTCTGTAGACTCCAGTGATGGACGAAGTACACAAATCATGTACTTGAGTTAAAGTAGAGATACCCAAGGTAAAATATTACTCCAGAAAAAGTAGAAGTCCTCCCTTTAGACCTCCACTTGAGTAAAAGTACAAATGTACTTAAGTATCAAAAGTAAAAGTACTAAAACATTAATTATGACTTTAATGTCCTATTACAATTTTTGTAACAAGACTCTGCTTCATTAATTCATTTTAGGTGAAAATACTTTAGTGTCACTCTTGGTAAACCAATCTTTTAATAGAATGTCATTAATTAGTCTGGCGTTGATGTCTATTAAAATTATCATAAGCACTAAACACTGAAGGCAAACAATTTCCATTAGGTAAAACCGAGTGGCTCTGAAATAACTTTTTGCAAACAAGCAAAGTTTCAGTTTAAGATTTATTTGTAACTTAGTTACAAGTTTAAATTTAATAAAAACTTGTTTTAATCACAGGTTCACAAATGTGTTTTCCTTTACTATATTCCATCTGCAGGTCTCTGTTCATAAACAAATTTACTATAAAATGAAATAGTGTTTGTATAAATTCAGAAAAAAAGACACATCCCAATCACAACTGCATATGTGCACATATTTCTATATTGTGGTCTATTTACACAAAGTTAGGTTAGTTCCATCATTTATGTTGGAATAGACACTCAAAATTTTACGCTGCTGCAATGACATTGAACCGTACGCTTGCACTGGGTCCAACAGGTCAAAACAAGCTCAAAACAATGTGCGCGCTGTGCCCTGATTGGTGTTCTTGCTTTGCCCTTCTTTCATTTTGACATGTTACATTTTTATACACACATAAGCCAAAAGGAACGACAGATTTCGCATAATGTAGTGGAGTAAAAAGTAAGATATTTGACTTTGAAATGTAGTGGAGTGAAAGTAAAAAGTCGCCCAAAATGGAAATATTTCAGTAAAGTATGGATACACAAAAAAACTACTTAAGTACAGTAACGAATTACAGTTACTTAGTTACTGTCCACTGGTAGACTCTAACTGTCTCGCTCTTTCTATTAAGAGTATGTGTTTTGTTTTTACTTTGACTCCATTATTGAATTCTTAAGGTTATACTACATTGTTAACTCCAGTATTTTACTCAGACTCCAATACTGACTCACTCGGTAGCTAAATTGAAAATCCTTGTTAGGGGAGAAGATGAGAATAAAGTTGTCTTGGCTTGTGAATCAATTAGTCGTTCCGAATCACTGAATCATTCGAAAGAATCAAAAACGGAATCAAACGCTCCGTAGACGCTACATTGGCCACTGGATCGTGTGTCAACGTTGCCGCCATATTGGTCCAGGCAACTTGTTTTTTTTTGTTTTGTTTGTTTGTTTGTTTTTAAATGAGCATAGAATCAACAATAAGGCAGAAAACACTCGTTGACATGAACAGAGGCACCAAGCAACACACAATAAAACATAAACTAAAAAATTGTTCAATCAAGTTAAATGTTGCTGGGGTCTTCAAAAAAGGCACACTTTTTGAAGCATATTAGCGTTCATGTGTACACACCAACTCAAGTAAGGATGAAGAGGTGGCTTTTATAATCAAGCTAAATTGCTTTCGAGAACAAATAAAACCATACTTTTCACAAAAACTCTTATAGTATGTTTCCCCCTTTATCTAATAAGTGACCAGACCCCTTTATCCATCCATTACTTAAAAAATAGATTGATTTCCGTCTACATAAGACACCTGTTGTTCCATATTGGTATACCATGTGGTGTAAAATTATGTTTATACAACATTTTCCAGTACATTAACACTTGCTGGTGAAATGAGGACAGTGCAACTGGTAATTTCTTCAAATCAAAATCACTTTGTAGAAGATACTGGACTTCATCAATTCTCCTGAATGTAGATCGAGGCACACAGTACCAAAAATGATTATCATTCTTTAAAATGTTTTGAGCCAATTTATCTTTAAAGTACCATTAATACAGTCAAAATCGATCACATTGAGTTCTCCATCTTCATAATCCTTAACTAATAATGCTTTCTCAATGGTATGGGATTTATTCTTTCAAATTTAGTTGAAGTTTAATTGATTTATACATTTAGTAGCCTTTTTCGGACAGGCTAATGAAAAATCGGGGTAGATACATCTTGCTAAGCTTTCCATTTTGGTTAAATAGATTCGACCAAGAATAGACATGTCTCTTTGTGGCCACACATTTAATTTTACGTTACAGTCCTTAATTATATTCTAAATATTGAATTTATTAACATTGTCCTGATTATGAGTAATTTCAATTCCCAAATATTTGGCTGTGTTTTTAATAGGGATACCATACACTGTTGTTAAAGTGCAAACCTTGATTGGCAATAATTCACATTTTTTAAGATTTAGGTGTAATCCTGCTTTTTTAGAAGAAAAATACATTAACTTAAGAATTTCTGGAACTTGTACATTTTTCAGAAATATTGTTATATCATCTGCAAATTGAGTAATTATTAGCTGTTGATTGCAAGCATAAATAAAAAAGCTGAAAATGGCCCTCTTCCTTATTGGTCCAGGCAACGCGTCATAACTCTCAGAAGAGACTGGACTGGAAAAAAGCTACCTGACTCGTGTGTAGCTTGGGACTGTTAGAACCATTGCACAGTCCAAACCAGATCTTGGGGAATTAGCTTTCACGTGAGACTGAACAACTGTTTTTGGTTGTATTTGGCCATTATAACTTTGTTGAGAGCTAAGTAGTTGGCCACCAGAGTCAGGCTAGAGCTATTAATAGCTAATGTTATTGATAATGCTAGCTAGCTATGAAAGCTGAGACTTTATAAGAAATTATATAAACTAAATTACCTATAATCAAGATTTTCATCTATACTGGCATTTCTCCAAACCGATTTTTATGACAAGCTAATCATGTCAGTTAAGCGACTGACATATTATGAATATGACTGTTGTTAGCTAGCTAGCTAACTTTTTACACTTTCAAGGTTTTAAAGGTTACCCAAAGAGAAAGAGTTGAGGAGGCAGTAGGAGTTAGTTTTAAGAAGGAAAGTTTTTTCTGTCAGTGAGTCAATTTGTAGTACTTAAAAGTGCACTTACTGCATTTCCTTTTTTAGATTTTCATAATGAATAAACTGTGTTTTGATGGGGGGCACAAGAAAAGCTAACATGATAGGGACGAAGACAGAAAAATGAAGCCGAAGTTGGCTTTGTATTCGCCAGGTTCTTAATCAAATATTCTGTTCCACCTTAAATGGCACTGCTGTAACATTCTGACACACCATTAGGGTAACTAACTTCCGCGTACAGTCTACGGTCTAGAACAGCGTTTCTCAGTTTTGGCCCTAGAGGCTCACTGCCCTGCACTTTTTAGTGTTTCTCTTCCCCCAACACACTTGATCCAACTAACCAGCTCATTAACAAACGATTCTTGAGTTAAAGTGGTAGTGTTAAAGCAGGAAAAGCACTAAAATGTGCAGGGCAATGGGCCAGTGGTTGAGAAACACCTGTCTAAAACTTTTTTGCATTAAGATGTTTCATACATCTCAGAGAAGCAAAAAAGAAAGACAGTTGATTTCTAAAAACTATGAAAGGATGGGGAGGTTTTTAGAAATCTTGCTTTGTGAATAAGGAATTTACCAAACAAACTCAACTTCTTAATTAGGAGTTAAATTCTTCTGTCTTTCAAAATGACGCCAAAAAGTCATGTCTTCACTAGTAAACATAGACAAATTTGGAATTTTAAAGTATTAACCATTCATGCAATTTCCTCCCAAACGTCTGACTTTAAATGCACGTAAAAACCCTGATTGGAGTTTGTACAGTTCGAAATCCAGCGCGAAACAAACATCTGGATCAGAAACAAAGAAATGTGGAGAGTCGAACGAGAATGGTGGCGATGGTCATATACAGAACCAAGCAGAGAAAAGCCAGGTTTTATAGAACAGGAAAAGAGTACAGAGTGTTGCTACTGATTAGTCTTTCCTCCATCTTTGATTTTCGTCCCTCTTCAGCCTGTGCCCGCCCATCCACGTTTCTATTGGTTGCCGTGCCCCTACGTCAGAATCCGTTGACGCAAAAGTTGAAAGGGTTTGAACTTTTTCAACGCTTAATGAAAGTTAGGAGTATGATTCTGTTTATTAACGTTATCGTTATTTTAGGAAGATATTATATCCATAAATGCTAACATATGAGAGCCGTCACAATTTTTTAAGATGGAATTGTTCTTGTGTCATGTCTTTAGACACGCAATAACACTAAGAGACTTTTAATGTGCTTCAAAAATTTTGCCTTTTTTGAAGACCCCTAGAAATAATTAACTAGATATTTTTTTTAAAACATTACTTTATATTTTTAGTTTGTTTTATGTTTTATTTTGTGTTTCTTGGTGACATTGTTCATTGTCAGCTGTGTTTTGTGCCTTATTGTCGACACCAAGCTCATAAAAGAAATAATAATAAAAAGACCTTTCGACCCTCGACGTTCCTAGTCCAATAAAGCTAATGCAGCGTCCTAATTGAAATACAGTGGGGGACTTTTTTTGTAGGCACCCTATATATATCTCTGATCACGCCTTTGTTTCAGTACGTCAACGGCGCCGCCATCTTAGAACGGTCATCTTGACTTCACAAGATCACAGTAAAAGGAGAGCAAAACACTGGATGTTAAAATGCCACAAAACTGTGCAGCTTTCCAATGCATGACAAGGAGAAGCCTCCAGACGAGGGAGAAGGGGATCACTTTTCACAAGTAAGAGCGCTTTCGTGTGTTTCAGTGTATGTGTGATGTGCACTGCCAGCGTAGGTTAGCTATATTGTATTGTATCGATTGTATCGATGGAGACGAAGCTCTCGATTCAACGAGCAAAAATATCGAAAAACATTCATCAAACTGGAGCAAATACTCATTTTCATACTGCGTATTGGTTGAGGTGCAATAAATAATTAAAGGGCCAATATCATGGAAAACTGAATTTACTTCACTTTCTTGAAATAAGAGTTTGAAGCAGCTAGGTTAGCTAGGTTAGTATGTTTATATGGCTGAAGTTTCAAAACAGACCTTTCACTCTCCAGTCCTACATGTGGAAACTTGTGTGCAAAAATAACCATTTTGAATTCTGTGATGTCACAAAATCCAACACAATTATGTAGCTATATATCCGCCTATTCAACCTACAGTAGTTAGCTAAGCTCTGCCCATTCTTACAGAAATTTTAAGGGGTGTTTTAGCACGGAATGCTTTTTGAACAAGGCACATCACAAGGCCAAGGCGGCCCACAACAAAAAAAAATTGTCAAGTAAAAGCAAATTATGACCTTTTTAGTGTATATACCTACCTTTTAAGTATTTTTAGTGTGTGTGTGTGTGTGTGTGTGTGTGCGCGTGTGTATGTGTGTGTATATATATATATATATATATATATATATATATATATATATATATATATATATATATATATATATATATATATATATATACACACATACATACACACCTAACGTTATAAGGGAAAAAGCTAAATACAAGATGAATGTACGATATATATATATATATATACCTTTTGAAATAAGCAAGCTCACATAATTGTACTTGGTTACTGTTACTTATGTATTGTCTTTGGAAGATGTGTACTTCACTCAAGTGTTATGGAAAGATTTTTACATTCTAAAGAAAAGAAACTGACTTTTCATTTGTTACATTCTCATTTAGACCTTAAAACTACTCATTACAGACCTCCAAAGCTGTTTTTCTCTTGCTGAGCCTTTGTAGTTCCTTTACTTTTACTTTTTCACTTATTGTTTTTATTAAAACATCCAACCAAATTCATAAAATTGTAAAATTAAACTTCCCCTGACTAATTTATCTTTTTTTCAATGTAATAACGTACTGTAGCACAGATTAGCCACAACAACCTACCAAACAATGTTTAATGCTGTCTGAGAAAGCATTTACCTTTTACTTATACTTGAGTTTGTTTAAACATATATACATTTTTACTTTCACTTAAGTACCATTTTCACCCTGTATGTCCGCTTTGAAATGAATGAGATTTTGACACATACCTTTCACTTAAGTTCACTTAAGTAATTAATGTCTACCTCAACATTAATTCTGTGTTCCACTTGGCTCAGAAGCAGTGTTGGGTGGAAACCCACCCAATCTGGCAGATTTTGGTTGGATTTGGCGGGGAGGAAATACTTTAGTAGGTGGACATAATTTGGCTGGTGTGTCATTATTTTGGCAGGTTTTAAAAAAATATGTAAAATTTAATACTAAATTACTTAACACAGGTGAAATTTGAATAGGCCTAACTTTTGCTCACATCCAATATCAAAGTTTTGATTTTAGCCACTCCCTGTAGAGGAAGAGGGCTTTGCCCTGCCCATCTGCATTAGCGTTATGAGCCAGTTTATTATTGGCCGTGTGCATTCTGACAAATTATCCAGTTCACGTGGCGCTACTGACTGTACATAGTTCTTTAGTTGGAAACTGTATTGCCCATGATCCATTTCATAAATGTAAGCAAGTTTTAAAAATGAGTATGAGGTGTAGTTATACTTGCAATATTTTTGCTATTCATTTGCCTTTCTGACTGCATGGTATTATGAGTCCTCTAAACAACACATTTTAAAAAACTAATACTGTTATAACATGTTGAAATATATTGATGAGGTGGACAAGCATGCGGTGAAAGTTAGGGAAATATGATACACATACAAATCAAAGTATTTAATTACCTTATTGAAATTATTAATCGATTTTTATCCAGGTGCTTCTTAGATGTTTTACAGGGATACTAAAAATTATGTAAAAAGCATTTGTTTTCTTCCTAGCAGTGAAAAATAAGCTCATTTGTTTAAAAGACAGACACTGCCATCTAGTGACAATTTAAAAACAATTTATCTGCAATTTTTTTGAAGGCATGAAATCCATGGATAACATACTCAGATGCATATTATTGATGTGATGTTGGTTGCCTGGTTATAATCTCCTTTTTGTTTTGTACTCCTTGGATGTTTTTTCAGGCACTTTGGTTGATTTTGAACACTTTTTAGCTGGAAACTATAGAAGCAATCTGGCAACCCTGTTTAAGCTACATAGTGGGGAAAAACATGGACACGTCTGTGAAAGCCACTAGTATTAGCAGAGAACTTGTAGAGAGGAGAATTGCCACTCTGTAATGTCTTCCGGGGTTCTTAAACGCTAGAGGGTGCTCCCGAGTCCAAAATGAATGGGTTAAGATGGAGCATTTGAGCAAAATCGTAGTTTATAAATGCTTAAACATGTTTAATGTAAAAGAATACAATCATTTACTGAACACTGAATATCGTAAAACATTTTAACACTGCTGTTATATTTTAAGAGCTTTTAAACTCGAGCTATAGGAGTTTAAAACGGCGCCACATATACGTCCATGATGTCTGTGAGCGTGAACAGCCAATGAGCTGCTCTGCTCGCCAACCAATCAGCACTCACTAGCAGTAATGCTAGCATCCTGCTGCCAAAAAGCAGTTTACTGTAGGAAAAAGGAAAAATATAGGTAAGTTGTCTTTGCTTTTTTGAGCGAACTTTTAGTGAAGTTTTCATTTTTAGCTGTTGGCCTCCATTTACTCCCATTCATTGAGGACTTGTTCGCATACACACTCTGGCATTTTGTAATCATGTTTTTGATATAATGGGGGAAATAGGAAGTGGCCAGGCTCCTCATAAACCGGCTCTGGCATTAGCGTGTGTGTGTGTGTGTGTGTGTGTGTGTGTGTGTGTGTGTGTGTGTGTGTATGTGTGCGCGCGCGCGCACAGTGTTATCTCTAAGAACTGCCATTTTGGAAATGCATGTTTTTCTTTGGACATTGATGGTTTGTTAAGTGTATTTTACACCTTAATTTGCAGATTATACATTTGTGTGCTGCGTCCTTCCTGCTTAGCTCATTTCTATTACCATTAAACAACATGCTACTGTTGTATTCATTTGCTTCACAGGTTTCCCAGTGATCCTGTACTTAAAAAGAAGTGGGAACTTGCTGTCAGGAGAGAGGCCTTTATTGCAAGGCCTTCAACAGTTCTTTGCAGCCAGCATTTTACAGAGGATGACTTTGACAGGACTGGACAGACTGTGCGCCTTCGAGAAGGAGCCGTCCCATCTGTTTTCACATTTCCATCACACCTTCAAAAAGTATGTTTATGATTATAAATCATATTCTACCTTTAAGAATGATCTGATTTTGAAGTGTAAAGTTATTGAACTGATAGGGTGAAAAATCTTTTATTGCTGTATTTTTGCAAACTGTTTTCATGCTGTTTTAGCGACCTGTGACACCGAGAAAAACAGTAACATCACAAAAAGCTGCTGCCCCCATGGAGGTCAAAACAGAGCCAGAACCTGTTCAACCACAAAGTCTACCTTGTGAGGTGAGAATTTGTTTGGTCAGTAAGTCCTGAAATGTAATTTCGAGAAAGTCATCTATGGTTTTAGGGGGCGACAGTTGAAAACCTTTTTACGATGTGTAACTCAATGTTCAGAATAGAAAAAAAGACCCAGCAGTGCAGCATACTGTCAAAAACTGTTTTTGTTCAACATTTTACAATTGAAATAATAGCAATTAAGCAGAACTAATTATGCTGTCTTTGTAAGGTGGTGAGTTGTCTTTTAAGTAGTGACGATAACTGAGGTTAAAAAGCTTTTATGCTGTGCAGGAGCACTTGTATGTAGCACCCTGTTCACTGGACAAGCTGAAGGACAAACTTGCCCAGGCCTACGAAAGGATTGAGGACCTCGAGCGGCAACTCCGCAATGCCAAAGACAGAGAGAGGAGGTACATAGCTAAACTGAAGAGTCTTATGGGGGAAGGTCCAGTCACAGCAAAACGTCTGCAAATGTCACTTTAACCAGGACCACTCCTGTTTCCTACCATCAGATTATCAGGTAGGATATGTTCCCATTGTTGTTGACTTATTATTATTTTGTTGATTATCACATTTTGCCTTTCAGTACTTTGTGCCCTTCTGGGTGAAGTTTCATGTTTTCCCCGTGACCATGGGACTCTCTGACGCATTCTTTTTAGTTTCTTCAAGTCCATAGTTTCGTATCACCATTCAGTGTTTCAATCAGTCACATTACTGGTTGTAGCTGTGGATTGTTGTTTATAAAAAGGTCACAGTTTTATTCATAACTCAACTCTATATCCCTCTATTCCTCAACCAGTAGATGGATATATGTAATTTTAGTGACACTTCAACTTTGCTACATAATGTTGACATAACCATGCCATTAACATGCCATGGCAGTCGTGGTTTGTCAGATGACTGATTATGTTCACTAATATAACAGTGTCGCATTACTGTTACTGGTAATTGACATGACAGATGTCATGTTTGATGTAATGATGGCTAACTACTGTTAATTTTAACATGACACTGTAATGTTAGTGAACAAAATCTGTCATGACCGCTCATAGCATCATATGATATATACCATGACATGTTTATGGTATAATTATTTAATGTTTTGTACCAGTGTTACCATAATTTGTTTGAGAAAGGCAGCAGCTCCACCGATTGCCAGTCAGGTGAAGATTTTTGCCAGTTCAGACAAAAATTTTAACAGTTTTATCTCATTAAGCTTTGAGTTCCTTTAATACGTTAGTTGAATAAATTAAACTGATGGGGGGTAATCAAGAAGTTAGTAATGATATTAAAAATATTATTATTATTATTATTATTATTATTATTATTATTATTATTAATATTTTTTTTATCACATATAGATTATTAAACATGAAAGCACAAACACAGAGCAAAATCACTCTTTTTGATTGCACCAACTGAAAACATACTGAGGAGATAGTATTGCTTGACTTTGGTTCCTTTGCTTAAACTGTGCCTGCAGTAAGTAGATGGTTAGTATTTAAAGGTAAATTCCACCATTTTTTCCAAAATTTCAGTATAATTAAATGATTAAGATGTGATTAAAGTTATTTAGAGTGGTTTGGTGTGAAATGCTCTGTTCTAGAGAGTCAGAATGGTTCACAGTGGTGGTGATAGGAACCAGAGGCCGTATTACAGAAACTTAAATCTGAAATATTATTTCATCCGTTTAGTTACCATGACAACTTCAGTTAGGACTGAATTTAGGATAGTAGCTGTTAAAGAATAACCGTTCCCAAGTTCATAATCTTATCCATTAACTCCAGATAAGAAATCAGTATTACAGAAACATCCTAACTAGACAAAATTCCCTCAATTCTATCCAAACTTAAAGATAAACCCCAGAGCTGTTTTAACCATCTGTTTCTCTTGTACCATGCAGTGACAGGCTTCATAGTTCATTACTAGCAAAGTGACGTTACATTTATTTATATGCAAAACGGTGCTTTGACTTGATGTTTTTCTTTTGTAACTCTACATTTCAAAAAACTACAGACACTGCAGACACAATCTCTTTCCTCTGTTTGTCTGTTAATGCTGATGAAAACTCAACAGATAAAATAGTACACCGTACAATAGTATGGTGGTGATAATGAAGAGACAAAGCTGAACATGTGGCTATTTATTAGGAGGAATAACATTAGTACGGTTGGCTAAAGCGTGGGAAATGGCAACTGAACCCGGGGAGTGGCAAAGCTCTGATAAACAGCAGGGGGCACTCTCACAATATTCATAACTTTATCGTAGGCAACCAACGTATGGTCGACAGTTGATTGTTGACTTCAATCAAGTAGGTTAAGATTTCTTGAGATAAGATGCTATAAGACAAGATTCCCAAATTGAGAACATTTGTTTCTGTGTGAGTTTCTCAAAAATCTTGTCTTGACATGATCTTAAGACAAAAAGACAGGGAGTTTCTGTAATACAGCCCTTGACATCCTCTAAAAGCTTCTTCACCGGAAGTTATGTGAAATGGTTAGAATACACTGCCTGATGTCTGAGACATTGTTTTACGATGGTTTTGAAAAGATTTGGGTCTGAACTGTTTAAATTCATTTATGGTGGAGAGGTACATGCAAGGTGTTGTGAGACAAAATAGTCCCTGTGAAGTGGTGAGTTTTGCACCCCATCACCAGCCCTAATCCATCCTTGAAACTGGTAGTATAACCATCAGAAATATGGACATTTAAGTAAAATAAAATGTTACTTACCTTCTCCTTTGATGCGCGTCTTTTAGGGGATGTCGGCGAGAGCTGTGGCTCCTTTTATCCTAGTTGGATGGATCCACCGACGTGTTGGGGTGGGTTCCACTCTCATGCGGATCCTGTAAAGAAAAGGAAATATGTTAGAGGGAACATGATCTTTGTATGTAATATTTGTATATACTTACCAGTAAGACTGTCATAGGTTGCAACCAGGTGTATGTTACTGTACAGTGTGTGTGTGTGTGTGTGTGTGTGTGTGTGTGTGTATTAGTTATGTACCCTGGGGTTGGGGTTTGGTGTAGGCTGGGGTGGAGCTTAGAATACAAGAGCTCCGGGCCAACCATTCAGAACGAGGTCTCACCTGTACTCACTACTAGCCACCCGTGTAGCTCCCGTCAGATGTGCATGGAGTTCCAGCCTAGTGGCTGTTACCCAAATCTACTTGTAAATAGTGTACATATTATTGCATTTTCTTTCCGTTTTGTACAGTGTTTTGTTTGTTTATGTCCTGTCATTTAATAAACTCACTTCTTGCACCTATTTGGAGTCATCATGTTAGTAAGCGCCGGCCCGCCCACACAGACCTTAACCACGAAGCCCACGTAGAGCCGAAATCCTCCATCCGGGGGTATCACCATCTAATAGTCCCCAAAGAAAACTTTTTTTCTTTCTTTCTTTCAGAATTATGGACTATTTTAACAACGTTATATAGAAATACAAAAAAAATTACAACTCAACCACTGAATTAGACATAAATTTTGAAAAACAGATGGAGGTCCCCTTTCAGTTATGTTAGACCCGTGCCTAATTAAGATGTGCATTCCAACTAATTTTGATATTTGAGTATCTGAGTTAATGAATGCTGTCCACTTTACTGCAGGGAAGGAAAAAGCAATAACAAAAAAGAGAAAACAGCCAAAAAGGACTGTTTGCTTACTTTTTTGATAACAGAACTAGAGGCTAGAATTTGAAAACATTTTTAATATTCAAAAATAGTCATGGGAAATCTGTAGGTTGTCGTGTAGAATGAGTAACGGAAGCTCCCTCTTCAGAAGTGCTAATGAGCAGTACAACCTTGGATACTGATGAAGACCCAGCATCTTCTACACGTCTTTTCTCTTCAGTGGACAATGTGTCGACATGTTAGTTGTCAAAGAAATATATTTTAATTGTTTCTAGAGTTATTAGTCTAGTTAGCAACAGATGTCGTGCTACATCAGTCTTCATACAAGACCCTTGTTTTGTAGAAGCAAAGTATAATCTAATTACTTACAGAACTGACACAGTTTACAGTCCTTTTAAAACAAAATCTGTGTTTCCCTGAATTGTTAGCTTGTATAATTTCTCTGTCTTTGTGTGATAAAATGTAAGGAATACCCAGCTAGTATTTTCGGCACTGGAATACTGCCATCTTAAATGGTTAACTGAGTACTCAAGTGCCTGTGCACATTTTTAGATTACAAACCATTAGGAGACTGATCTACTGTGTGCCACCCTGACCCAATTATTACATTGATTTATGTCTGTTGTTACCCTAAAATAAACAAGACATTCTGGGGCCATTAAAGGCCTAGCCCTACAATCATAGATCTTTAGTGATGCTCCTGGTCTGCATGCATGGCTTGCAGTACTTTTTCTTATGGGATCACTAGTTTTAGATGAAATTGTACAAGACCAATATGTGTTTACCATTTCAGGTGAATGGAACAAGAGCAACTCAACTGCAGCTCAGTTCTGGAGTGTTTTCCAGTATCTCATGGTCCATTTTCGAGATGCCGCCTACGGACTGTGTTACAGTGCAAGATGAGACTGTTTTCTTATCTTGAGTCCCAGCTGATGAAGACTTCACTTTTTCTCCATTTGAGGATATGTGTGAAACTGTGTTGAACAACCTGAAGTTTCCATGAGAGTCTTGTGGACAACACACTTCTGTATAATGACAGGGTTTATTGTTAAGTTTTCTCAGCACTTTCTTATGATTAACGCAAAAATATTTTGGTGTCTGCTGATGTACCAGTCATCTGATACCACCTGTTAAATCAGGTTAGCACCTCTTCCTGTGTTTGGGGTAATTTTGGGCTTTTGTATGCTGATGTACAGTATATACATAAAGTTTTGAATTGATTATTATTCTAATGGGTTTGCTGTGTGACAGTTTTAACAGTAAAATTGCAGTGACCAGCCAGTTAAACATTTTGTTTGAAACATTTCTCTAACCTGCAGAACAGGAACCATGCTACTATTTTACTTCCATCTCATTTATATGGATTGCTGTTTCATGATGTTTCCACTTTTTTAGACTGTGATCTATAGGCTTTTAGTCACTGTCTTTATCCTTTGGGCCCTATTAGGCTGCAGTGAGGTCACAGTGTTATGTATGCAGCCTTAAAATGCACGCTGGGAACATTTTCAGTCTACTTCCTTCTGAAATTGTGTATACTTGGCTGTAATGGGAACTGCTACATGGTGACAACCTTTAAGTCTAATCAGAAAAATAAAAAGACTAGGCAAGCCTATTTTTGCTGGATCAGCTGGATTTTGTCATGGAGGTGTCTGTGATACAGGATATAGGCTATATGTCATCAGTGAATGCGTTTCTATATTCTTACATTATTTGTGAGCCTTATATTGGTAACACAGGAGGGTATAAGAACGATATTTAATCATGTATAGCGTCACCTGCTGCTTGTCTTGGGCGACGCTTATGCATGCACATTTCAACAGTGGGGGTCAGTCAGTAATAAGGTAAGAGACGTCAACTGTCATATCCTGGAGAGGCAATAACAAACAACAAAATACGACAAACACTCTTTTTATTGGTTTTGGTAAAAAATAATTTTAGAAATAACTTAGTTCAGCTTCTTGACCTCATATACACACAAACAGAACAGCGACATTCAAGAATTTTCCGACTGATGGAAAGAAAGAGGAGAACAATACATTTACCAATGCAGACAGAGTGGTTAAATAGTCTTTGAACCAATGTGTGTACAATGCAAAACAGTTTGGGCTGAAAAAGTGTTCCTTACTCAGGTTCAGTGCAGAGGTCAGCTCAGCAAAAACAAACTTCAGTACATGACCCAGACGTTTCAGTAAAAGCCAACCGATGACCTAAAATACAAGCTGTAATGAAAAAGCTGTGGTTTTACATGTGATCTAAATAGATGGGAAATGGAAATTATCCATAGGCACTTTTAAGTGTACAGAGATGAAAGAGACAGAGAAAATGAAAAACAGTGAGCTATAAACATTTACCAAGCACATTAAACACAGATCAAGTTACAGTTGTCAATGTTTTCTGAGCAGTAGAAGGTAGAAGTGTTTCAACATCATTAAACTGACTAAAAAATGAGAAAGCATATATGTGCGTATATACTGACATCATATTTGACCATCCTACAGAATACAAGTCCTAAAACTACAGTAAATAATAAACACATTAGTGTTGAGGCCTAATCCACACATTCTTTCCAACAATGTTGTGACATGGTATTCTCAACGTTCATAACGTCTAAATTCTTGCATCTACAGATGGTACCGGCCCAGGCTGGTGCAAAATACCACATGGACTGTTACAGATCTGCGTCATCATTGACTAAACAAAACCTTGCATTTCCATTTTCAATGTAAAACATAATCTGGAAAAGTCAGCTGCTCATTGCATAACAAACAGGACCAATTGAAACAGCCCAGAAGTGCATGCAATTCAATCTTGTTACATTAACTTGTATTTAAAGAACAATTTTTTTCTTCTGCTGTAGAGTTACCACTTTTGAAGATGCAAGGTTTTGTTCCGACAGCAATTATATTCTGAAACAAAACTTTCTGTGGAGGAAGTAAGGTGTATTTATGTATTACTTCATTTGTCGCTGTGTTAAGTGGTATCGGGACCATACATCACTACAACCATCATCACTACAGTGTGTCTAGCATCTTGCTTTATTAAGTAAATCAGTTAAAATATATTTGAACTATGTATGAATCCGTTAAAATATATATGAACAGAACTGCAGCACTCTGAGGTGGACACCATCATGTTCAGTTTCAGTCTTTCTGTTCATAAATATTAGTGGTGTAATGATACACATTTATAGATGGGATTTGATTTGTGGTCAAGATTCTATGTGACTCGATATTTTACATCTTTATGTCTTTATTCTACAGATCTCTAATTCTGAACTACAGCTTGGTTCAGCTCAGATAAAGTCAAATTTTATTTCAGAACAAATGACTGCCAAATAGTGTGTCCTTATGCAAAAATACATCATCTTATAAAGCAGTACAACTGAGCTATGAACAATAAAACCGTGAATAGCATGTAACCAGATGCCTAGTTTTGATTATTGACCATGATTTCCATAAAAGACGCTGAATTTGACCCTCAAAAGAGACCACTGATACGGTTAGAAAGTGTTTTCCAACACAATTTTCCAACACACTACTGACATCGTTACACCCTTAATATGTAAATGCAATATGTTCACACATGAGGTATTTTTAAAAAGTTCACAATTTGGAGAAGAGAAATTTCAGAAGACTCTATGAGGAATTTTCTAAAATGAAGTATTCATGTTGTAAAATCAGAATATTCGTGCTTATACGGAGGTTGATACTGTAAACAAACTATTTTGTGCACCATGTTTAGCGCTTACAGTCACATGAGCATGACAGTGACATGGAGAACCATGTTAAAAAGCATTTTTTTTAAAAAGCCACAGATGGACAGTGGTTTCAGCACCATGGCTGGGTGTAAACAAAAGTTTCAGGTGTTTTTCCACTCTGACTCTCAAGTCTAGTTTTGTTTAGATGTCCATTTCCGTCCATTGCTTCTGTGATTATTCATGCTGGCCTACTGCAATGATTTGCTGGAAAATTATACAAATATGGCCCAAATCAGAACTGAAAGAGTCCCTGAGTCCAGAGGAAGAAGAGAAAGTAGACAGGTAATAGGTATGTATGGTTTTTTGAACAGGTCGTTGTAAGTGCAGTGAGACTGCGGATCATTTCCGCGGATCATTTCCGTGCGTGATTGCAAGATCCAATTCGAACGTCACGCTTTCACACTTGACTCGCACCGATTGTAAAGACCCTACTTAAAAAGGCAGATTTGCCAAGTTTCATAAAATATGAAGTGTTAAAATCAGCACATCAATGAAGTACAGTGACAATTAAAGCTAACGTTCAAGATTGAATCAAAGCCAGTAATGCCAGTTTTCATGACGTATTGCCAACAGGAAACACTAGCTTTGATTCACTATTAGCAACGTAAGTTCATCTACACCTTTAAAGCAAATTTGGCAAATATTTTCCATTTCACTCAAATGTAGCTGATCAGACAAGACATGTCTGGTGTCCAACATTTGCTTCTTTAGCTCTGCACTGTAGCTGTGATGCAAATGTTGCTAAAATCATGATGACTGGCATCACAGGCTTTCATTCACTTTGATTAGTTTCGTTAATCAAAACAAATAATTAAGAGAAAAACTAAATTTGTAAAACTTTCCTCTTTACACACTGGACACAATATATTCACACAGTTTGTTTCTTATGTTAATAAATTAATTTGGTGTGACAACGTCCTGCACACCGAACGCAATTTTTTTTATATGATGAAAATGCAATATTGTGTTCTGGCGCTGGCATAGTGATAACCAAGATGACTGATCGGCTGTGTCCCAGTAACTAGACCTTTTTGACAAATGTCAGAAGGATTTGTTATGAGTTATGGGCATCAAAGCTACAGGCAAAGGTTTCAGCTCCTGAAAGAGGCCCTGAAACTCTCCATGCTACTTTGGTATTTTCAAAATGGAGATACTCAGCGTCACAAGACTTTGCTGATCTGACAAAATTTGAGGCAAGTAGAAAATTTTGTAAATTTACATTTTTGCCAAACTATTGCTTTAAAATGCTGACATGAAACCACTCCATGTGGTATAAATAATCATACTTATTAAAAGTCAATTATCATAAATCAACACTAAAACCCACACTTGATACACACAACAGCAGCGTCCAGTTCCTCTCTCTTTTGGACATTTTGCTTACGGGTGGCCCTTCAAGTTGGAGATGGCACTGGTGAAGAATTCGTACCAGAAGAAGGTGAGTCCTGTAGATAGAGCAGCTTTCAGCAGGCTGGGAGTAAGGCCCTTAAAGAAACCACGTAGTCCCTCCTCTCTAGATATCCGCATTACACAGTCCACAAAGCCACGATACGTTCGGACCTGAAGAGGAAATCACCAAAAACACCCCATTACACAAAACAGCCCTTATTCATCAAAGCTGAGTGAAGATGAGCACAGACTTGACCACCCTGAATGACATACAAAGTACTCAATTAAAGGCCATTAAGCAGTTTGCACTGCATTAAATCATTTTTATCTAAATTATTTTTGGTTTATTTCTTTAATATGTCAGTGCTGCTGTCTCTTTGCGAGATCACTGGCAGTCATTCTTCTGAGTAATTTGTTCTTACTGCTTAGTGCTGGAAGAAAGTGGCTGTGTTCATATTGTAAGCCTCAAGGTTCTTTCATCATAAAGCAAAGTGCGAAGTGGACCAGGGCTGTTTTGTTTTCACAATGCATAAATTACACCATAAAACAAACCACAAACAAACCATACTAAGACCACATCAGGTGTCACCTCACTATTTTCTTTGCCAGTGTGGAGCAAAAATCGTAATATATTAGTTCAGTTATTTAGCTAGTCTGCTAAATAATTTGTTTGTTTATGTTTTTTTCTGTGTCTGTGAGTGACAAGCAACATTATGTTGACAGAAAAGCAGTTCCTCCATTTAGCCTTTTACACAAAGAAGAGACCAAAGCCAAAGTCCTTATAGGAAAGTCTGTCCACTCAGCGGCCATCTCGGCAACGCCTTCAGGCAGACACTTTCATGTATACAAGACCAGATTCCTATTTCTTTGACTGGGGAGAGACCTAAAAACTCAAAACTGAAGGCCAAATTACAGTTTCAAAAACATATCTGTAAGCTGTTCTCATTACTGCGCTTGCACAGATTTCCACAACTGGCGGGGGGTTCCCGTCTGTGGCTTTACCAGCAAGCCAGCTGGCTCTTTTTACTGAAGGGTGGGACCTTTTTCCGTAAACAGATGCCATGTTGAGCATTACAAGCTATACCACTAATTTTTCCACCAGTGACTAGTCTCCTCCTTTGTAATGTCTCTGCCACAGATTGATTCAGATTAATTCTGATTTTCATTGGCTCAAGCTTCCAAGGTTTACAAATTTGCCTAGATCAACCTGCCACAAAATTCACTGCTATCAGAAAAAAATTCCTTTCTTTTCCTTTTCAAGTGAAGTAGCCTTTCTGCCAGGCAAATTATACTCATGTTTGGTGTGACCACATACATACTCTGAACTTCTTGTCTCTTCTTATATATATATATATATGGTGTTATGATAAAGTCTGTACCTGACCAAAGTGGACTCTAGCTTCCTCAAAGCCTCCAACCTGTAGTCTCTTTTTTAAGAGATCAAATGGGTACGTGATGGTTTTGCTGATGACCCCTGCGATGCCACCACTCAGTAGACTCTGCAGACCACCTAAGAAATGCAAGACACTTTAAATCTCTGTCAAAAAACAAAGTTAGCATGGCTGAAAAGTCCATCAGAAAACTTGAATTAAGCATGCATGTGTGCAGGAATACATTGCATACAGTAAAAATAAACATTACCCATTGCAAAGAAAAAACAGTTACGCAAGCCAGCAATAGGGTTTTGGTGGCTAGCTTGTTTTGCCTGTCTTATCGATTGGTGTCGGTTGTGTTAATGGACGTTAAAAGTGTTATCGTTCACACAAGACTTCGTACCTAATTCCGAAAAGTCTGATCATAAATGGTTGATCATAAAATGTGATTTGGTGTCATACAAACTTACTTGGTTTCTAACACTGTCAGTCATATGCTATAAAAACAGAAAACAATATGTTGCATCTCTAAAAACGGTACCATCCTGAATTCTGTCCATATTTCTGTTACACTGCCAGAAACAGCATAAGCAAGTCTGTTTGAGATTCCTGAACAACACAACACGGTTTGAGGCAAGCTTGTTATAATTCATCATCCAGTTCCCACAGGGCTAATTAATGGAGTATTAGCTCTCTTTACTTGTAACTTAGACGCAAACTTCAGACATCTAACATGTCTTGGTTGATTGACTGCATTTGACGTTAGGTGAAAATTTTATTTGCTTTTGGCTCTAAAACAAAGTCTCATTCTAATGCTGACTGCTGTACGTCTGACCTTTTGATTTTTTGCCGTCTTGCTCCAGCAGCTTTTTTAAGACGTTGTAGAAGAAGAACTGGAGGCCAGCATAGGGGAAAACAGCCACTAGTGTAGGGGTGAGGCCTCTGTAGAAGGTGAGCACCCCCTCCTGGCGGTACATGGTGAACACAGCATGCCGGAATGTCCGATACACCTGCAAAAATCCAGCAAAACACCTGCATTAGCATTTGAAGCTTCAATCATAACAGAATTGGCATTTTTCACCACACATCCATTCAGCACAAAACACAAAAAAGGCAGATCACAGCAATTATTTATGTTGTCAAAAATTTGTGTTAAAACATAAAGCGTTAAATCGCTTTTGTAAACAAAGCCTTAAACTAGAGGTGGAAATCTCAAGATATCCCTAGATTCAATACATATACTTAACTTTTACTATTATATATATATATACTTTACTTTTAATGTAAGTCAATAGAACCAAACTTCTTTTAACCAGACTTCAAGTAATTTTGGGCCATTTCTTTTGGTCCATTCGTCATAAAAAATATGCACAATGTAAAGGGTAATAGGCATTTTTCAAGTATGCCAAAAACTGAAAAACGACAAAAATTGAGATACAAGGTTTTGTTCTGACAGCAATATATATATATATATATATATATATATATATATATATATATATATATATATATATATATATATATATATATATAGTTTTTATACTTAATCCTTCAGTAAATATTTAAACGAAAGCCTAATCCTGAGTACTCTCTTAGTTGTTTAGCAAGGTGTTTTGCAGAAATAAAAAATCTTTCACATGTCCATGTTTGTGTTATTTTTTGGCACTGAAACAAACAGAAAAAAAATAAATTGAATCTGTCAATACAGAATACAAAATCAAAAGTAAATTTAATTCACTGCATACATAATAATGTCTACGCAGAGATATTTACATAGTAGCACAAAATAACTGTGTGTGTGTGTGTGTGTTTGTGTACCTTTGGTTCCCCCTGTGCAGCGAAACGTGTGCGGAGTGTGTCAAGTGGTTGGCAGGCGATAGTTGCTGAGCAGGCAGCTAAACCTCCACACAAGAAGTGCACCCCGGGCATCTGGCTGTTATAGGAAGTGTTCTTATGGACCAACTCGGTCAGCACCTCGAAACTGGCAAACTAAACACACACACACAAACACACACAACACACACACAGCAGCTTTAATGAGCCTGGAGAAAGGAGAGCTCATGAGGGTTATTGGTTTGTTTATTTAACAGGGACACTGCACATTAGCCAACACAAAGTAAATAAAATGTTTTAGAACATTTCTTATACACACAGTTGTATGCAAGAGTTTGCACCCCTTCTCATATGACGTTTTGTTAATTTAGGCATGTTTCTGTAAATTTTAGTGCACAATTTTAGCTTAACATACTGAAAAAATACAAAACATAAAGTATATATTTTGCACAGACCACATTTTATGTTTTATTTTTCCCCTAAAAAATGTAAATTGTAAATTAGAATGTGGATTAAAATGTGCAGAGATGTGTTAATTTATTTTCACTTAGAAAATCAACAAAACATGTCATTTGACCAGGGGCACCCAAACTTTTGCATACAACTGTAGATCACTATATCCAATGACAACAAATTGGATCAACTAAACTCAAAAAAATTCTGAGGGAATAAAACCCAGTAATGCATTTATTCAAATGAAATGTAGGAATTAATTAGAATGAGCCATTCATAAATGTATTGTGATTGTCTTACATCTTACTCTGGATGGCTTGATCCCCTACTGCTCAAAGATGTAAGCTTATGTGGTTTCTGACACTGTATGATGCACTGCTGTCTATTAAAATGAACAAAAGAACATTGCAAAGCCAAAAAAAAGAGAAGCCATCCTAAAGCCTCATTTTCTGTACTTTAATCCTGTTTATAGACAAAAGTATGTCATACAGTGTCTTTTTGAGATCTAGCAATTTTGGTTAAATTGATAGTTTGACATTTATGGAATGGTGGATTGAAAATCATGCACTGTGTTGATTTATTTGGTGACCGTGTAAGTAAACCAAACTTATTTGATTGTTTTCAGTTCTGAAATAACGCAGGACGCGGTGGTACAATACTGACTTAAACATGGAACCAATCAGTGAATAGTTACGTCATCCCACTGAACAGGTCTGAGCATTGGTAGCTAACCGCATCCAGAAAACTGCGCTGAGCCTGGTTTGAAAGTTTTCCATGTGGAACTGTGTCTGTGTGGAAACACCACTGGAATGGTCACACTCAGTGTTCAGAACCATTTAGCCCTGTAGTGGAAGTGTAGTGGCCTGTGTGTTACCTGAACAGCTCCGTAGCACACAGACAGCAGCTGGGCGGGTATGTGGCCTTTCCAGAAAGCAGGCAGTCCTTCCTCTGTTAGGATGCAGCGTGAGGCCTGCAGCAGGCTGGAATATTTCCCCTGAGGGTTTCTGGAGGAAACCCGCTCAATCTGCAGCTACAGGACACAAATACAGTGCAGAAATATGAAATCAAACTACAGAGCCCAAGAAATGTTGTGGACACCCAGCCTTCTTTAATGTTTGATTTTCACTGTTCCATTTTAATTTAAGTAAGAAAAAAATGTTTACTAATCATTACCATGAGATTGCATTGCTGACATATGCAAATATACCTAAATACACCCCTGGTCAGTTTACATGTTTTGCTGATTTTGTAAGTAAAAAATAAGTGTTCAAACTTCTACATACAACTGTGTATACAGGACACTGTGATATGCAAACAAACACAACAACTGATTACTATATTTTTTCACTTTATTTATTACATGACCTGAGATGTGTTTTAATGAATTAAGGAGTTCATGTGATAAATGTAAATAATTTTAATAAACATGAAAAGTCCACCAGTGTGTTTTTAATACACTGGAAGGCGCAATATGTAGCAATATAACAACGATATATTAATACATATGTATCACACATCCCTAGTGTTTAGTTTCTCTCCTCCGAGAGTCCAACATACAACTCCGAACACTCTTTTGTGATGATCAGACTGGAATGTTAAATCACTAAAATCTGGGTGTTTTCCTTTCTTCTGTTCTGCACAGAGCAGTCAGGAGAAAGTCTTGGAAATTGTGACTCATAAAGTGAGTCATGCCCCAACCATTCTCACTGTTTCCACACACACAAAGCAGCATTAACCAAAAGAAGCCTGTGAACACAATCTGCAAAACCTTTATAGCCTACAGGAGGGTTGTCCAGTTGGGCTGCAACTGATGATTAATTCTATCTATCAAATATTTAATCAATCTCACCGTTATTCCTTCGCCCCGTTACAATGTATATGTCATTTAAAGTCAAACTGAAATCAAAACTGGTCTTTTTTTTTTTACCTTGTTAGTACATGTAGTCGGTCATATTAAACAACGTTCATTGCATCATATCATTTAAATGACAAAATTCTTGTTTTCTGAGTTTTGATTACATCACCATGCACCAGCAGGCGCAAAAATAAAATTAACCAATAATGTTTCACCTTCCCAGGCGGAACGGTGGCGCAGTGGGTAGCGCTGTCGCCTCACAGCAAAAATGGCCTGGGTTCGTTTCCCGGCCGGGCGACCAGGGTCATTTCTGTGTGGAGTTTGCATGTTCTCCCCGTGTCTGCGTGGGTTTCCTCCCACAGTCCAAAAACATGCAGTCAGGCCAATTGGACATGCTAAATTGCCCCTAGGTGTGTGTGTGTGTGTGTGAATGTGTATGTCTGTCTGTCTGCCCTGCGATGGACTGGCGAGCTGTCCAGGGTGTATCCTGCCTTCTGCCCAATGACAGCTGGGATAGGCTCCAGCACCCCACCGCGACCCAGAAGGATAAGCGGGTTAGATGATGTATGTATGTATGTTTCACCTTCCCCTCCCACCACCCTCACCTTCACACAGACAATTTCTTTTTTTAAGGTGCAACCAAACAAGACACCATACTGCCCCCTATACTTTTGCACTGCACTGCAAGCTGTCAGAATGACCATAATATGAACATTACAGAGTTCTATGTATCACTTTTGCTTTTTGTGGTATTTTTTTTCCCATAATCAACATCAATAGCAGTCATAGGTACAGCTAAAGTAAAAAAAAAAAACATAACATTTTTACGAGATTTTCTTGCAATGACAAGCTACATTTACAGACAGCACCTGAAAGCAACTTTAAGGGTTAAAACATGCTCTTAGGTCTGTGGAAATTACTTTCTTTCTTTAGTTTAAGTTATTTACTTTATACTTTTCCTTATTTTAAACTGCAGAGCTCATGACATAAACCTTAACAGATGTACCAATAGCTGCAGGGGAAATACACAGTATAAAAGCCAGTAAGCTAGGACTGTTTTCAGACTGGGCTACTGCAGACTGATGGACGGCACACTCTCTAATATAGACTTCATCACTTCATTTCAGTCTCTGGATTCTCTCCTTGGCACAGAAAAAGATTTATAAGAGTTGTAATGGCTTAAAAGTAGCTGTTTTTATTCATTTCAACAGCATCACCACAATAGTCCTACCTGGAACCTGATCTTGACCACGTCCAGTGGGCTAATGATGGCCCGGGTGACCGTGCCAGCCAACGACCCAGCCAGAGCAGCTTCCTCTGGGGTCAGAGCCGAATTCGGGTCATATCCCACCATGCTGAGTCAGTATGACTCACCAGCGGGGCCTAGAAAACGATTCAAGGAAATATGAAATCTCACCACAACTTGTTTCAATATGATTTGTTAGCCTCTACTTCAGTAGCCACTGATGTGGAACCTAATAAACACAGATGTGATATTCAGCTTTCTAGCCTTCTGCATTAGCCAGTCAGTGGAGGGAAAACAATCAAATAACCTGCCCTCAAGCATCCCCCCTAAAGCGCATGTAGTTTTTCCTAAGTTCCTCCCACCTTCAAGATGCACAATCACCTGCTATTTAAACAGGAATTAAACTGCATTTTTAAAATTCTCTGCATAATTAAGTGATCAAGATGTAAGCAAAGTTATTCAGTTCTCTATTTTAGAGCCAGAATCAGAATCGTTCACAGCTCTGGTGATAGGAACCAGATGTCTGAAGAGTCTAATGCCTCTTAAAAGCTCCCTCACAGAAAGTTATTACATAAAATGGTCATGTATATGCTACCTGATGCCCGAAACATTGTTTTACAACAGTTTTGAGATAAGGTTTTACCATCATCCACATTATAAAATCTCAGAATATTTACTGGTTATTTTGGATAGTAAATAAAATGGCTATATTTGTGTTGTGGACATAGTGGCCCCTGGTTCCCATTACCACCACTGTAAAGAAACCTGAGTAAGGTTCTCTACAATTAATCATTTCACATTAAGCCACTCTGTATAACTACATCTCAAAGACTGAATTATTGAGAAATTTCGAAAAGTTGGTGGAACTCCCCTTTTAACAAGGATATTCTACTATAGAGACTACTGCAGCACTGCTGTATGATCCAAGTAGGCATGTTGGATGCGGGGATGGTTGAGTGTCCCTACAACCCTTGTTTTATTCGCCCTGCACTGCAGATTTTTAGTATTTTCCTGTTTTCCTGCTCCAACGCGGCCCTAAGTGAGGTTAAAATGAGAGTGTTGTAGCAGGAAATACACTAAACTGTGAAAAGCAGTGGGGCTCTGTGAGCATGTGGGAGTCACTGACCCGACCTAAACAAGGCTGCGATCTAATGTAAGTTACCTAACCTATAACTTACTCTCATTTGTATTCACAAGCAAATGTGTCTCAAACCCTCGGCATTACAATCTAACTACACGTGCAGCATAAACAACAACAGACTCTTACCTTTAAGCTGATCACTATAGCATTCACTGCGTGTGTCTGGGGGAAAAACAAGTCGTTCTCAGTTTTAACTGCTACATAATGTGAACACTAACGTTACGCCTCATGGCTCTCTCTGACACTGACAGCGTTGTTAACACGCCATGAGGGCAAATTGAAAAACGCCCAATGACAAGGAGCGACGCGGTTGTGTTGCAATTCACTCGCTATTGAGAAATAGTTCACTACATAGTGCGCCAGCCATTTTGTAGTGGTGTTCAAATTGCCTTTGGCAAATTTGACTTTTTAAAGGGACACTGCCATTACAAGGACTTATACTGTCAAAATAGATTCATCCATAAAAAACTGAACACTTTTTAAACTCTAACTTTGTTATTCAGTAGCGTTATTTGTTGTTTAGTAATAGTATCAGCATATATCTCAAAATAAATCTCTTATTGTTCGACGTTTACGTGAAAACTTTGAATAAAAACACTGTGTTGAAAGGAGGTGTCATCCTAGTGTCCATGCATGTTATCTTGTTTCACTGGCAAACTCTTACATAGAGGTACGCGATTACATTTTTTTCGAGATAGGGCGTAGGGATCGAGTGGACGAGTGTGCAATTTGGAACATACAGTCTGTCCGACTGTGTTTTCGTGCCGTCGCTTTCGCCGGTCGCTTTCCCCTCGTCAGATTAGTTCCTAGCCGTTTTTACCGCTGAAAAAGAGGTCATAGACGTACTTGATATGTAAATGTATTTCAATATGCCACAGATGTGGTTTTAAACAGTATTACTGGCAAATTCTGGCAAATTGATGAAACACAGAACAAACCAAGCGTCTAATTAATTCCTAGCATTCCTTAGCGATTTTGCTTTTACATTGAGGTTTACAACAGCAAGCATGCCAAACTGTTGAAGACATAATAATGCATATAATAATAAAATAAAAGTCTGTCAGATCGCCTCATGCTGTTTGCGTTTAAAATGTAGCTTAACAATTACTTTGATATTAATATTACAGATTGCTCAACAAAACGTACCGTGTCACTTCCGTATTCTGTTGCATTTGACGTTCCCTATGATTAAATCAGACGAATAGACAAACGCATTTTAATGAGTGTTTTCTCAAAACGGACTACAGAGTCTGTCGCGCTGATGACACATTGATCACACAGCTCAGGTAGCGGCGCGGCAGCGTCCATGGGATTTGTAGTTCAAGTGTATTTTGCCTGTTCTGCAAAATGTTCTTCTGTTATTGTTTTTCTTTGCACTGTGTCTTAATGACAAAACTGTCGGCGTTAAGAGGTTTTATGTCTATTTACGTTATTAAATGCTTCTAATAACAAATGAATGGCTTTTAAATTGTTTTGAACGCAGCCAGCAGATGGCGTAGATCTGCACTTCCCTTCCTCATCATTTGATTTTTCATAGGCTCCGCCCACCACGTGTCGTGGCCTCTGGTGATTGGACGCCAGCTGCCCGAAGCCTGAAAAAGCCGGCGTTGGAAAATAATGGAGAAAAGCAGCAGGTTGTGCTGAGCTGAAGGTTGTGTGCTGAGTTCATGGCCTGGTTTGACAAGTTTGGGAGGCTTTCTTTTCTGCTCCTGCTGCTCCAGTTTGTGAAGCTGGAGGATAACGGGGGCTGGTGAGACACTGGTTCATGTACTGTTTCTTTAATTACACGTACTGCTAAAAACACATTAGTATTTAATGCAGCTGTGAGATCATTACTGCCCCAATGTTATCTCCCTGTTGGCCAAATCCTTTGACTGCTAAGGTTAAGGTTAAGTTTAGGGTTGGGCTCGGTGTGTGTATGTGTATTTGTACTTGTCTCGCTATCCTTGTGAGGACCACGTGTCTTTACAGTAATAAGACAACATGACAAGTTTGCAAGAGTGAGAACATTTTGCTGGTCTTCGCTTTAGCATGTGCTGGTTCGTCCTAAAAATTGTATTTGTGGTGAAACCAGCATATGCTAAAGTGAGGTCCAGCAAAATGTCCTCACTTGTGCAAACCTGTCATGTTGTCCTGTTTTTGTGAGGACATGTGGTCCTCACAAGGATAGCAAGACAAACCCACACACACACACACACACACACACACACACACACACACACACACACACACACACAACAGAAAGATTTCCTTTTGGAGGCTGGGGTTAAGATTAGGGTTAGGCGTAGGTGTAGGTGTGATCTAACTTGACAAAAATCACTAGAAATCAATGGAAGTCCTCATAAGTCAAGTAAAACAAACGTGCACCAGGTTTATGCCACACTGTGGGGGCCAAAACCTGTTCATACACTAACAGTGTGGGGACCTTTCTTCCTTATGGATACCTCAAGCTGGTCCCCACAATGTAAACTGTTAGATTTTAAGGTTAGGGTAAGGTTAGGTTTAGAAACAAGATTGTGTGTGTATGTATGTGTGGTACTGTGTTCATGTGGCTGTAATAACACTGTCATTCTAGGGGACTGGATTCTAGTCTTAGTGATGAAGGCGACTGCAGCGTTGATGTCCGGGATGTGAATTCCATCACGTACACTGAGTTTATACACAAGTGAGTCTCTACCCTCACACACAAATATACATTCTAAAGCAGGCTATTTGTCTGTCTACAGTGAGGTTAAGCAGGTACTCTGATGCTTATTTGCTATTTAATATACTTCCAGTTCATGTATCCACTTTAAACTTTACATACATAATGTCTTTTGAGTTTGTACTTATAAATATGAATATAAATTATACAATCATAAGCATAAACAAAGATGTTTATAAATGAAACAATAGGTAAAAAGTACACCATAAATACAATACAATACATTAGTATTATCAGGGTTGGCAGTCACAGCTTTGAAATTCTCTGTGTAACTGTTCTTCCTGCTGCTTTCAGGTTGTCCTGCAATTCTTTTCAAGTGACTGCTGGCTTGTCTCTTACCTTCCTTATCATTGGTCTGAAAGCACGTTGTGAAATATGCCTTGGAGCACATGCAGAATGATCATTAGTTGTGGTTCCGTTAGCTTTCTGCTCCAATATTATCGGACCAGTTGTACTGACAGGGATGTTTAAGGTCTTTGCTATGGCTGTGTTGTTTAATAATGTCCCTGCTGTCTGTACTTTATATAAAGTATCTCAATACAATTCCGCTTTTAAAGCTTATGCTTGTTTATGCTTATGAATACATGCCTTTTGGTTCATATTTATAAGTCCAGACATTATGTGTGTAACTGTGAAGTGGATAAATGTGCTGGAAGTATAATCTCTGTATAATGTCTGAATGCTTGTTTCCCCTGACTTCACAGGTTTTTTCATAGAGTAATGATTGAGTTCAAATGATTGTTTTACTAAAGCCGCCCCTTTATGACATTTCATGTTATTTCAAGGTGCTTGAACTCAGTGTTATTTCCAGAATCATGGGCTGTGTGTTTGTTTTCTTTTGATAGATATGCCTACAATAAACCTGTAATACTGAGAGGAGTCACCGACAACACGGTAAGACATTAAATACACTAACAAATCTTACAGTTGAGATATATTGCATCTCATATAATGAAATAAACAATAAACTGTGTAAAAACAGGCTGATGCACCATGAATAGAGATGGCAGTACATATCAGGATCGGGCTGATATCAGCATAAAATGTTAGATCGGATTTCCTGAAACGAAACTATCCTCAAATACTTCTCTCACACTGTGTGATGTTATGTTAACTGTTTATTTCTTCCTGTGGGGTAGTAGAGTGATTGAGTAATTTTAGCATGATAGCCTACTTTTAGAAGATTATCTTAAGTGTAGTGCTTCAATTAAAAATCAGTTTTTAAATTAAAAATATCAGATCGTTATCAGCATCGGCCAAGAAGTTTGAATATCGTTGTCAGTATCAGAAAAGAAAAAGTGGCATCGTATCGTCTCTAATCATGATGCATCTAAGGGTGTTGATAGGGTTGCAGCGATTTGGAATTTTTGGTAATACTACTTAATAATAACTAATAATAATAGGTTAAAAAGTGTCATTTTTTGAGACCAAAATAAAATTAATTTTCTTTTTTTTTTTGTATAATCTAAAAATCCCAAAAATATTTACAAGAATATTTAAAAATATTGATTTTGTTCTCTGTATTGCTCTACTGCGTAAATTGTGGCAAAAAAAATCGAATTGAATCAAATTACAGTGAAATTTCAGATTTCATGATTCATTAATTTGGTTCCTAAAGAATCATAATTAAACCGTGTCATTGTGCCATCCAGAAAATTACACGTCTGTGATTGGTGGGATTTTTCAGTGCTGTGCTGTGATTGGTGCTTTCAGAAATTCCGCTTCCTGTGTTCCAAGGTCAGTCTGCTAAGGGAATACAGAGATAAAATAGTCCGACTGAGTACCGCCAACACACACTCCTACAGGAAAGGTACACACACCTAATATATGCACAAAAACGTGAACATATTTAAGTAAAGTATGCAGTACACAAACTGACTGTTCTTCTTGTGCAGTGGATGTGCGGTTTGAAGAGTTTGTGAAGTTCCTGTTGACCCCTCAGTCTGAAGATACACTGGGCAGTGGTTAGTACCTCACACTAACTCTCACTGTGTTTCAACCTAATTTTTCTGCTGTTACTACTACAATTTTTCCAATTTTCCAAAATGTTCAATGTCTACAATAGATTATTCATAACTGTTATAAACTGTTCAGTGACTACTATGAATTACTCAGTAACTGCTATAAATCTTTCAGTATTTACAATAAATTATTCAGTAACTACTATAAATGATTCAGTAGCTACTATAAATGATTCAGTAGCTACTATGAATTGTTCGATAACTACTATACATAATTCAGTTATTACTATAAATAATTCAGTAACTAGTAGGAATTTTTAAGTCATTACAATGAATTATTCAGTAACTACGAGAAAATTAATGTATAAGGTCATATGGTCATTAAAGTGAGGAATTGAAGTGTGGACACTCATACAGGCACACTTCTAAAATCCCAAGACCTTTCTATATTCTCCACATCCCCTTAAAGTGGCCAGGGCTATAAAGTAGGGTCACTAGTCTTATTCAAATGGACTAGTGTGGCTGCAGGTTTTTATTCCAAACAAGCTGTATCACACCTGATTCGGCTTCAGCTCAGTCAGTTAAGTCTAGGTATGAGATGTGCTTCTGCTTGGTTGGAACAAAAACCTGCAGCTACACTGGCCCATTGTGGATAAACTTGGTGACCCTTGCTCTAAAAATGGCTTGTGACCTTGCATTAGACCTGTGCTGTTTACCTTATGACTGTGTGTTTCAGATACGCTGTATTTCTTTGGTGATAATAACTTCACCGAGTGGCACTCTCTGTTTGAGGAGTATAAAGCTCCACCTTACGGTTTACCACACACCAGCCCAGCGTACAGCTTTGGAATTGCAGGTACGTAATCTTCATGCACACACGTACAGCAGTGCACACACAGGCACTGCTGGTGTTTCTACATAGATAAAAGCTGCAGTCTGGAACTAACTGAAGGGTGCAGTTGTAGCTCTGTGCTCTAGTAGGCTATGTTAGTGTGAACTATTAATGACTAATTACTACTAACTAGTATGGACTGATACAATTCTTATTTACTTTTTCTACTCACCTTTCTCTCTTTCTTACTCTCTTTTTCCATCCTTTATCTTTCTCTCTCTTTCTTACTTCCTTTCTTCTCTCTTTCTCTTATTCCCCGTATCCTCACTTTGCTCTCTTAATCTCTCCTTCTTCTTTCTCTCTTTCTTTCCCCTCCCCTCCTCAGGTGCAGGTACTGGAGTACCGTTTCATTGGCATGGTCCAGGATACTCAGAAGTCATCTATGGTAGAAAGGTATGTGTGGGTGGGTGGGTGTGTCTGTAATGATCAGTCAAGAGAAAAAAGTGTCTTTTTGCCATGTTATTAAAGCTGCACTACATACGTTTTGGGGATTTGGAGACCTCTCTGGTGGAGATGTGTGATTGCATGCAATATGCAGAAGAATATTTGGTAACGTTGGTTGTGTTTTGGAACATTTCTTGAGAGGTTGGAAGAGTATTAATAAATAACTCAGTCAAATCTTAGTGAAGGATGTGTCTTCCGAGGATGTAAACGAATAATATACTATTGGAATCATATCTTCATCAGTATGATGTTGCCTCTGCATTTGAAACCTAAACATCAAGCCAGACCTTTTGTGCATGTGACAGTAATATATAAAGGTCCAAAATACTACTGACTAGCAGCAGCACAACATATTTTAGTGTGTTTGTTTTCTTGTTATTACTTACTTATTCTTATTAACTTATTATTAAGCGCATGTCTGTTCCAGCGATGGTTCCTGTATCCTCCTGATCAGTCTCCTGAGTTCCACCCCAATCACACCACACTGTCTTGGGTCCAACACTCCTACCCCAACCTAGAGATACACAACAAACCTCTGGAGTGTACCATTCGACCAGGAGAGGTGATGACACACATACACACCACCAGGGTTTGGAGAGTTACTTTAAAAATGTATTCAGTTAAAACATGAGATCTGTAATCTAATCTGAAGGATTGCTATTTGGAGTAACGTAATCTGATCCCTTTCCGATACTTCTGGATTATTTGTCTTTGTAAATGTCCTGTAATGACGTAAAAACAAGAAAAATGCAGAAATTTCAGCAGGACAACTTTAATATAAAACAAGGTAAACAGAAATGCACAGACACAATATACGTGAGATATAACTGTCTGTGCTTTATGTGTGATGTGTGCTCATGTCATTATATATTTTGGTGATGTTAATGAGGTGTTCAAGTAGAAAATGCATAGTTTGGGAAGAAAGCTTGGCTCAGCTTGGTTCATTTTCTGTAATATAGGGCATAGGAAACATCATATTGCACTCCTTTATGGATTACCTCTGCCATATTGGCAGGGTTTGTTATTTGTTTACATGTTACATATACTCACATACACAGTGATACAGGCTTGGCATGCTTCTTAAAATCTGTATGAAACAGTTATTGGCATATTTCACTATGTTTTTGGCATATTTCTCTAAGTTATTGGCATATTCCCCAATAGCAAACACTGTTTTAAACCGCACAGAAATCCATATTAGATCAGACTTGGCTTGAAGTTTGCACTGAAAGGGGAGTCAAGCTAAAGTCTTTAAGAGAAATTCTAAAACGGATAGTTCTGGTCCTAAAAACTGACTGGCTAAGCCGTGTTCAAAGCCGTTGTAATATCCATGACATACGCACACCTATGACCGCCTCACAACAACTGAATTGTGTATCACTGTGCCACGGCACAAAAAACCCTTGTGCTGTTAATGGAATAATCTTAGACTCTAATGCTGCTCGCATCGAGCACCAAGTGTACTGATGAAGTAAGAAGCCATTTTATGTTTAAACTGAGGGGGCTGGTGACTTACATTCTTAACTAGAACTACGCTGGTCAGCTAGCTAACACGCTAAAAGATAGCCAACAGCCTAAAAAACTCCATCATTAATATCACTGGCTTGAATTAAAGTACTTATGGTATGATTAACTGTAAAACGCCAGTGTTAATGTCTAAAAAATGTCAATGACTTACACGCTTTAAATGTTTGTGTTTCAGTTAGAAGTAGCATCAAACCCAGGCTGAATCCCAAACAGCTTCGTACTCCCTAAATAGTATGTTAGCTATGAAAGTTTAAATCTAGCCTCATGGTAAAATTGCAGTAACGCACAGCCTCTTGTGGCTTATTGCTTTATCATCTGACACCTTAGCTAACACTCCTAGCTTCGTTGCAGCATAACTTACTTCACCTTGTTACTTTTAGCTGGAAAACAGCAAATTCGTCAAGAGTTTAGTTACCTAATGCCAAATGTGATAAATCCACTAAATGATATTGAAAATGTAATTCCACTAGATCTATACGCTTGGAGTATAAAATGAGTTTGAGCTTGTTTTTGGGCACTCTCACTGTAAAACTAGAGCTGCGTCCGAATAGTTCTGTGAAACTTCATTTTCTTGATTTTGTATGATCTTTGATCTGGTAGTCATGTAGATCCACATGCTAGTCAGCTCTGCAGATGTCTTTAGTGAGTCCAAGGGATAAAGATGAGGCAAAATCAAGGAAAGCAGGTAGGAAGGGAAGATTCAACTATTCAGAACCAGCCTGAATAACCCCTGCCACAATGGTGGATCACCCATTGGACAGACCTACATCACCCCTAGTAAAGAGCAGGGAAAGAAACTGTGGATGAAAAGTGATTGGTCCATCAATTTTAAGTTAACATTACTGCCACAGTAAACATGTTTTTCCTGAGATGTTTTTTCCCCGTTCATGAGAGTTTCTCCGACTATATCTGATTTTTTGCTGAAATTTTACATCAAATACCTGAAACAGAGCTGAGACACGCACTTCAAAGGTGCGGGACTTTGACTAATTGTCACTGCCTGTTGTGTATTTGTGTGTTTATGTACTGCAGGTGCTGTATTTTCCAGATCGCTGGTGGCACGCTACTCTTAACCTGGACACAAGTGTTTTCATCTCTACCTTTCTGGGCTGAACTCTGAACTCTACCCCAAACTGACAAATTACACATACACAACTGCTGGCATCTTTCCAAGACCAATCGGAATTCCTCATTCGCTGACATCACACAAAAAGGACCAATAACATCTTCACATTCATGGGCATTATTACAAAAGGACCAATCAGATAAACCAAGTGACCTGATGGACCAATCAAGGGTGAGAAATTAAATGAAGCCATTGCTTTATCATGCAAGACAGACATATTCTGGTACACTTAATCTGCATTTCATACCTAAAGAGCATTGGTGAATCTACATGGCTGCAGTAAAATGGGGAAAAAAATATCTTGGCATGTAAAAAACATCTTGAATACATATATGATATGTGATATTTCTCACTGTAAGATTGTTATCCTGTTGTATTATCATGCAACATATTTATAGACATTTTTACTGGTTTTAAAACTGCTTGAACATTAAAGGGGAATTTTAAAGATTTTTCAAAATGTCTGCATAATTAAATGATTAAGATGTAAACAAAGTCATGAAAACCAGAGTGGTTTCATGTGAAATGCTCAGTTCTAGAGAAACCTACCAAGTTACAATTTTCACAACGGTTATAGGAACCAGACATCTGAAGAGTTTAATGTTAAGCTATCTCACAGAACGTTATTACCTGAAATTTTTGAAATTTCTATCCTAAGTTATTTTTAAAATCTATTTAGAGTGGAGAAGTACATAAAGGGTGTTGTAAGGCAAAACAGCACCCAAAGAAAACATGTTTTCGGATTTACTGCTACTTTACCATCAATATTACCTATAATATGAAAATGCCTGTTTCCCTTCACATAATGTGTTAATTTCATGAGGAATGGACCAAAAGAAATGACCCAGAATTACTTGAGAAAATGTCTGGTTCCACTGACATTAAAAATGAAGTGTTCTTTTCTTTCTCTTTCATTTTGGAAATACGAGGTTTCGTTCTGATAGCAGCGCTATAAAAACTCAGAATACATGTATAGGTTCCCATGTCGCTTTGACCATCACTGTAAAGACATTTGAGTTGGTATTTCACATTCACATGAATGACTTTGTTTACGTCTCAGTGATTGAATTGTGCAGACATTTTCTTTAAAAGCATACCTTTCTGCACTGGCAGATAATTAATTTGACTTTGTTACTTAAAAATTAAAATGTGGGGAAATTAGTTGAAACGTCCTCTATAAATCTTACAAGACTCATCATGAGAAATATTTTGTGTCATTATTTTATTGGTTGATATTTTAACTGCAGAAAAAACTAATCACAGACAGAACAACACAATCTCAGGGGTTTTACCTCAGGCTATTGTTACACTTGTCTTTGTTTTGGCTTGAAGCACTTGTTCTCACATTTGCGGCTTTAAGGTTTGTCACATTTTGATAGATTATCAGTTGTAAAAATTTTAATAAACTTTTAAAACAAACGTGACTTCAGAGAAGTTTTTTCAGTACTATATGTGGTGTATGTGTGTCTTTGGTTTGACAGACAAATAAAAGACCACATGTGAGCAGCAGTGTTTCCTTTTATTAGACTTGTAATGCCTCTGGATCAGAGCACATACTGTTGCTCAGTTATTGAGAAGATAACAGTACAATTCTGCCCTGTTTACAAAGGCAAGCTGTGAGTGTATATCAGTAAAGTAAGTAGAAGCCTCTGGTCATCCTCAGTGCTGTCTGGCTCTGAAGCCTTTTTGAATTAATAAAACAAAGAAAAAGGAATCATGAAAACATTAAAACAGGAAAGATCAGATAATATATAGAAAGAACACTACTATGTTTGATTAAAAGAATATAGTAAACAGTGGAAGTTGAGATGAATGCAGATTTGAAATGGATGAACCCTCAAAACATTCCCTTTATTTGTGACATTCACATTTTTATGCTGTTTTAATGCTATTGATCCAGATCCTGAGCTTCTCCACTCATATTAGACAACACCACTCGTGGCAATGTGCGTCTGTGTGCATGTGTGCATTTTGCATTCACAAATGTTCAGATGACATCATACAAGAAATGCTTCTGTAATTATCCACCTGCAGAGCGTTCTCTGGATGATGTCATTTCTTCCAGACCAGCTGACCAGCAATGTAGGTTTCTCTGACTGTCAGCGTGTCATCCAGTACGATAAAATCTGCATAAACACAAACATTAAATTGTAAATAAAAATCGGATTTCGTTTTTTGATCACTGAAGACATGTTTGGAGTCTGAAGTGGTGGAGAATACGGCAAAAACATAATATTTCAAGAAATTTTCAAGATGTCATAGTATTTACTTTTTCCTGACATTTGATATTATGTCAGAAACTGTGAGTACAGTTAGTAGTGTTGAAGATCATTTTTCAAACTGCTTTTATACAACTTCTTGTTGCAGGCATGAAACTCAGAATGACTGTATATTTACAAAAATGAAGTTGATAAGGTAAAACTTTTGCTTTGGTTTAAAAACTGGTCAAAGAGGATTTACGAATTACTTCTTTCTGTTTTTATTTGCATTTCTCATACGTTTTGCAGAATTAGATTTTTGGCCAAACTGTTGCTTTAAACCAGTTATTATAATCAGAGAACACAGTACAAACAGACAATGATAACCCTTCCAGCCACAAAATGCACAAAAAGTAATTAAAACTGAATTATTACACAAATAGCTCAAACAGTAGCATGATGGCTAAAAGAAACACACGCTCATCCACAGCAGCCTGTTGTACCTGCGTCTGATCCGTAATCCAAAGTTCCCTTCTGGTGGCTGATTCCCAGCAGCTGTGCAGGATGCAGAGAGGCCGCTTCTAATGCAGCCTCAACACTACAGCCTTCATGCGCACACACACACAAAAGATTTTCTATGATGTATAGTATCTGTATGATCTATGTATCTGTATAGAATGACATAAATGTAAACATGCTCTCTCCCACACACTCACAAATACTCACCTGAAGCCTGTTTGAAATGTCTTACACACATGTCCATAGTTGCAATGCTGCCACTCAGAGTGGTGGTTCCTAAAGGCATGATAAGGGAAACTTTATTTGTATTGTTCTCAACTTTTATCATGGCCTGTGATGGACTGGCGACCTGTCCAGGGTGTTTCCTGCCTTCCGCCCAATGACTGCTGGGATAGGCTCCAGCACCCTCCACGATCTCTTTTTATCTTTTTGGTTCTTTACTATGCATTTCAGTTTTTATCTGCTCTGTGTATGTTAAGCCTTTAAAAGTTAACATTTATGTAGCCATTACAGTATTACTTGATGCCTCACTCATCCTGTCCACAGCACAAGTTAATCGAGCAATGCATGTCGTTTTCCATTCTGTAATAATATTTATCCCTTGGATCCCAAATGAATCTGAGCTCTGTGTAAAACCACGAAGCATCAAGAGAGGAGAACATACATTTGGCTACATAAACCACTGTAACAGCAGGCTAGCAAAGAATAAATGATGGCACCTGCAGCCTTTTAAACTACGATGGCGTTTTAGGGCCACTGTTAACAAAAATAAAAATAGTAGACTTTGAGAATAAAGTTGTAATATTTCAAGATAAAAAGTTGTAATATTTTGTGAATAAATTTGTAACATTTAGAGAAAAAGTCATATTATTTCGATAATAAAATCATGGAATTATGACATTAAAGTGACATTAATACCAGGTAAGGTCACAATATTATAGCCAAAGGGTTTGCAAAAAGAAGGCAGCTACCTCCTCGTGTTAAAAAGAGGGATGTTGAGAAGTTGGTGGAGTTATACTTTTATCTCGATTTCACCCGGAAAGCAATACTGAACACTCTCCTGGCATATCTGCACCAACCTGTTATTAGTATAAGAAACGGCTGAAACGGCTGTGCAGGAAACTGTGTTTATATAGAATTAAGAACCAGACGAACTCGGAGAAAACTGTCTGTTTTGTTGAAGGAGAACCGCAGACAGGGTCGTCTACACAGCTATCAGTGGGTACATCTCCATGCCATTCAAAGAGGGCATGTAGTTTCACAGACAATGAGAATGATGATCAAAATGATCGATCCACAAGGAGACAAGGAGTGTATGGAACTCTGGCACCAATACAGCAACCGAGACCCCAGCGCATTATGGCAGTCCCCCTATAGTTAGCCCACTTTATCCTCAAAATATTGTGAGTTTATTCTCCAAGTCTACTATTTTCATTTTTATTAACAGTGGCCCTAAAATGCTGTTGTATTAAACAGCTGTTACCGTTAGCTGGCTAGTTAACGCAGCTAGTTACAGAAACTAGCTCTGAGAAAGGCTGGTTTGCAGTCATGCCTCAAAAAACTGACAAAATGAAAAACTACCAGCATTTAAAAAAGTCAATCAGGAGAATCTACTTTTCAACCGTCAAATGGCCATCTTCAGTTTTATTTTCTTATCCATTGAAATTAAACGCTTGACATTATGTCATTGAGTTGGACGACTAATTACATTATAAAACATATGCAATTTAGTTCCATGTATGTTTCAAACAACTAAAGTTGCATTAAAATTTCATAATGTAAAGCCAGACTTAAGAGTTAGTAGCGGTATCAGCATTCATTACTGGCAAATAACTGAGGATCAGGTATCAATGTCGGAAGGGAAAAAGTGGTATCAGTGCATTCCTACTACAATTTATGTCTGTAACAAACCTGCAACATATGCATGGAGTCCTTCTATGTGAATCTCTTGCTGTCCAAGTGTGTGTCGGCCTGCAGGTAAACCCATTGCTGTAACAGCATCTGTGACCAACACCAAGCCTGTAATACACACGCACACAGTTAGTAAAGAAAAGCTGATCAGTGACAACTGTATAGATTTATCTAGAGCATAAATGGGAGGAAATGTAATATGATATTATAGAAGTATTCATTTAACATCTTTTATGTGTTTTTTATACGTGTGTGCTTGCAAGGTGATGCACAATGCTGTGGTGTGTTTGTTTCGATTTTGTTTAATATTTTGTTTAAGGTACTTTTTAACCTGTGCTGCATGTTTTTTTTTTTTAGTGGTCCTTATTCCTCAACTCAGAGTCCACTGTCTATACAGACTCTATAAAAATACACATGCCTGTTTTACCTATTAATTACCTACTAATACCTAATAAATTCATGTGTGCCACCTTGTGGTGACAGATGTATCTGTGTCACTCCAATGTTTCTGTTTTCTGTACCATTTTTCATTGTTTGTGCACACCTGCTGGATGTGACCTGTGTGCTATCCTCAGGGCTGCAGGGTGTGTGTGTATTCCGTCAGCGATCATGCCGTAATATACAGTGCGTCCTGCAGGCACACGGTCACTCGTCAGCAACCCCACAATGCCTGGGTCGCGGTGATGGAACTACAAGAAACAAAAAGCAATGTACATTTGTGTGTGTATGAACGTGTGTATGTATGTTTTCCATTTGTGCCTATATATCAAATTATGGCCTACTGTGTCATTTGTTTGTGTTTTTTAACAAATAATTACTTACAGCCCAAATAAACAGTAGTGTTTACACATTATTTACATGCATAGGCTACACTTGGACCTATCCTTATGTATACTGACAAACACCCAAGTATATTTTTCCACTTTGCACAAGATGAGGCACCATATCAGCTGTTGAGTTTATAAACATATAAAATTATAAATCTTTTTTTATACCAAACCACACATGCCATATTTGAATACCCAATTAAGTAAAAGGACTACTGAAATGAGCTTGGAAATTCATATACTGGAACGCCATCAGCAGTGGGAAAAAGAATATGGTAACACTTTATTGGAAGTGGTCCTTTGTAGATGATTAATAAACTCTTAACAGATTATCAGTAACACATTAACAACATATCAGTGAAGTAGCAGTAGTGAAGCATCTGAATACATTGAAGTAAATATCTTGTAGGTGTTCTGTTGATACATTACTTACATTAAGTAGATGTATTACTGATATGTTACTTGCATTACGCAAAGCCTAACCCTGCCCAACCTTACCCAAAACCTAACTCTCACCCCAGCCCTAATCCTAACCCTAACCTTAACCTCAAGGCACAACCTAATCCTAACCCTCATATGTTTTTGACATGTTACTGAGAGACCACTGAGTGTTTGTTTCATTTAAATAGGACCACTCAAAATAAAGTGTCACCAAGAACAGCTTTACATCTCATTTTCTCAGACGCTAAAGACTTTTGCACAGTATTATATGTATGTATGAGATGGATACTTGAATGCATGAATAGATTAGTGCATTTATGTGTGTGTTCCTCACAGGCAGCATGGCGTTGAACAGGTGTGTGATGAATGAAGCTCCGTTCACAACAGCCTCCTCAGCCTGAGAGAGATTAGCCATAGAGTGACCTACAACAACGACACACACTCATAATAATTAATTCATTCATCATTACTTCATCAGTAAATGATCAACTGCAGAACTCTTTGTAGAAATCTATATCTGACCTATCCTGTGTTACAGTTACAGGAAAAACTGTAATTGTATTTTTTTTGCTATAGCATCTCTTTAAGCATGACATTATGTGTGTATGGTATGTGTGTATGTGTTCGGTTTACTTACCCAATGACACCGTAATGCCCCTTCCCACCAGCTCACGGATTGCTGGCCCGCTATTGGTCAGTTCTGGTGCCACCGTAACCAGCACAACATTATCTAGCGTCCCATACACCTCAGTGAGATCGGCCACACCCCCTTTTTTAAATGGCCGGATGAACTTAGGAGGGTGAGCGCCCCTTTTCTCCTCATTTATAAACGGACCTTCCAGATGAAGACCTGAGAGAAGGAGAGAGAATAATAAAAATAATGATAAATAAATAATAAGCCGTTCTATATATATGTTCTACTCAGCATCTCACAAAAATTATTAATATTGTAGGCTTATAAAAATTAGCAACAACCTCATAAAAACACTATGTTTGAAAAATCATGCCTGAAAATGCCCCGTTAATGCTCATAGCAAAATAATGGGTATAGAAAGCACAATATCACTTAATCTTGTGTGATACTGATATCTATTTTGAAGCCCTGAGTAACAGCCGATACAAGACCATAGATTTAGAAGACTGGACCAGATTCATTCTCTGATATCCATCATTTTCTGCAGACATCAGTCTGACACCCATCACTAACAATATGCAATACTGCTCCCGCTACTTTATAGGGTTAAAATTACAACTGGAAATAATATAATCTTATCCTGACCTTCCAGAAAGGTGCCTTCACCTGCAGTCATTGTTGATGTATGTTTGTTGTGTTGGCTCTTTAAAAGTGGTATTTTTACCTTCATCTGAAGAAGGCCATGTAGGCCAAAGATTTCAATGAATTAAGCAAATACAGAGCTTTTGTGAGGAGTAAAAGTCGTGCTTTTTGCTACTCTCTGATTCATATTTTTTGAAGGCAGCACCTCAACTCGAGCTGTTTGAGCCCAACCTTTTTTTTTTACTCACCTAGAATACCAGCCCCTTCAGCTCCTCCATCCTTCACCCTGACCTCTGGAATGACCTACAGAGAACATGCACAGTTACACCAGCTACTTACCTCTGTCTACGTGTGTGTAAAGTAATGTGTCCATGTCTGTCCTTTAGATAGTGTCTTGCAATATGACAGCGTGCCTTTTTATTTATTTGCAAATATTTATACACTCATCGTCCACTTTACTACACACTCTTAACTTGTACTTCCATTCCTGGTTTCACTTCATGTACAACAGTTGAAACGTAATGTGTCCTGAAGTGTACAGTATCACATAAACCTCTCTATATTTAATTATACTAACTATAATGCAGCTTGTGCTAATTAAGATGAACTAATCCAGAGGAGGTGATAGACTGTACCTGTCGATAAATTTCTGGAGGGGACGTCACGAGGGTGGGACAAAAGGAAGTGACTCCATGTTCCAGAATCTTTTTGGCCACCAAAGACAAGCCCCCATTGATGTCACTGGAGGCCTGGGAGAAGTCGATGCCGTATCCACCTATGAGGGTTCAGCAAAGAGCTTTACTATGCATTCCATGAAAAACTTTTATGAACTGCACATTTTTTCAGTTTTTAATTGACAATTTTATTAAATAAGCATTCTTTAAAAACTTTTTTAATGACGCTTTTTAAAACATTTTCTGTTTTGTTTTTTTTTGATAAACTTAAAGCCCCAGGGAATCTAAATGCATGTTTTTCTTCTAAGTAGGTTATTCTTGCTCTTGTGGGCGCACAATATACATGTAAAAATGTACAAAGGCAGTCCGACTCTTGGGTAGTGCTTAGGTAAGCAATGTCCTCACCAATGACAAGTAAATGACATGGAATTGTTTTTTTTTTTTATTATTATTATTATGTGGCTATACTCACCCACACAGCTCAGCTCTGACAAAACTATTTGCTTGAGCTGGAGAAATGTAGCAAGCAGAAGCTAACAACCAAACAAAACCTAACCTAGCAAGCATAACTGAGCTATAAAGCTAGATTAACTGTCTGCTTATTGTTCGTCAGTTTGTCTTTTCATTTCATTCATCTAACCACGCCAGCATTCCTTGGATTCAGCGGTAAAATGATAAAAAACCTTAACTTCCTTCAGACAAAGCCATAAAAAAACATGGATATTGTTTTTGGTGAGTGATGGACCAGTGAGGTCCACCACCTGCATATGTAGAGCCTATTTCGCTCATTTCTCCTCACTCAAACTGCTGTGTTTAGCTCTGCATCAGTGACATAGCAGGTTGGGAGTATTTAACTATGGGATGTCAATCAAGTGCTCATCAAAATAAAATAGGACCACATCTATGCAATTTGCATATATGTATGATTAGTGGTCTTTAAGCTGTGTTTTATTACATTTCGTAGTTTATTCACTTACATTTTGCTGGTGTTTAGTATATAACACTAAATCTTAGCATCATAGAACAATCCTGTACATTTTACACTGTGTTCCCTGGGATTTTAAACTTGCATACCATGAAAAAAACCACTACTGAGTACTGCTGCATGCATGTAAAGTGTATGTGTCTCACCATTTATCTGAGCATCTATGAATCCGGGTGCAATGATTTTATTCCCACAGTCAACTTTATGGTCTGCAAAACCTTGTTCGTCAAAGAAGAGCTTCTCCGGGTTCAAAATTTTCCCCTCTCGAACCCACAAGTCCTCTCTATACAAATGTCACACATACACACTCAAACATGAGAACACACAAAAAATAATTCACATCCTTAAACATGAACTTACACACATAAAATGACAAACAGTAAAAAGAATGTGATGTTCAGAAACTGACGCACACCAATTTCTTCACAACTATCTGTGCAAGTGTGTGGGTGTGTGTACCTTTGCAGACGGTGGTCTCTGAGGATTCTGCAGTTGATGAACTGAGTGATTGGGGCATCTGACACACTCTTATTGGACGGCATCTCTCAATGTCCCATCTATGTCTATGTATCTAGCCACACCCTGTGAAAAACCACAATACACATTGTAGAAATAGAAATATCACTGCACCCCAAATTTCTTTTATCACTTACATCTAGAGTCAAAGAAATTTGAAAATCTGGAAGTTTACCGTTACATCTATCACAGTATGTGCTTTTGTATAATCATGCTAAAGCAACATTAAAGTTATAAAGTATATATCAATTTCCATACAGCATCAAAAACATGAGTCCGTGACAAAGCGCATGAAAGTGTACGCCCTCACTGTTATCTGAGCATCTCTTGTTTGCCATCTTTCATGGAATCCACTGTCAATGACACCTGGGTGCATCCTGTTAGAGAAAAGTGGGCGGGGCTTATGTTGAACACACACCAATGCTGAAACGACTGGGCAGTTTTCTGAAGTTAGTCACAAATCTAGGGGTTGTGATCTTTGGAGAGTGTTTGGTTAGAGGGTGGCGTGAGTGGCACTATAAATGTTCTATTTGAGAACTTTTATTTATCTGAGCCAAATCTTTACAGCTGGGGACTATATAATTAGACAGCTCCATAGAAACATTTTTAACACATGAAATATCAAGAATTGAATCAAATCGTAACTTCAGGATCAAAAATCACCTCAAAGATGAAAACGTGTGTATCGTTACACCCCTAAAACAGACTAAGGACCCTTTTCTTCATCTCTAACACTATTTCAGCCAATGGATCAGTGCATCAAAACTGCACAAGTTTTGATCCACTGACAAGCGTGAAGAGGCCACAGGAAGTCCAAGATTTAGAGACACTAACAGGAAATATTTGGCAGCAAAACCAGACCATCTAATCTGCTGTTAATAACTCAGTGTCTCAACAGTGCACATACACATAGTCACACACACACAGACACATACAGAGAGAAACAGACACTCCTATGAGTTGACTTTGACCTGCCAGGATCTGCTTAAGATCACACAGAGAGATAAACGTCCACTAATCAATCAGAGAAAGCAAGAAATTACACCATTAATCCCGCAATACGAAGAATTAATCAATAAAATCAACACGACAGTCTGACATCATATTAAACAATATAAACAACAGAGAGAGCAAGACAGACACGGGGGAGAGAGAGAGAGAGAGAGAGAGAGAGAGAGAGAGAGAGAGAGGGAGGGAGAGAGAGAGAGAGAGAGAGAGATTCAGAATGACTGCAAACTCAAACGAACACGAATTCAACCCAATTTAGTGTGTATGGTGCGGTGTGTCAGTGTGTATGTTGGGTGTGTATGTTTGTGAACACACTCACCGTTTCTCATTCTGCTCCACACACACACACACACACATACACACTCACACACACAGGTCTGCTCTCAGTTAGAGGAAGTGAATCAAACTTGTGTTCATCACGCGCCCGGTCAGCTGACGGAGGGGGCGGGGCTAAAGCACAGTCCGCTTTACTGAATGAAAATTAATTCAGTTATAAACAGTTATTGAAAACAACAAATATTTTATTTTTTATAAATAAAATAAAATTGATCAGCAATATAAATGATAAAACATTACAAAGCTCTTTGCAGATGAGAGTATGAAATGATAATGTAATGTATAAAATATATACACTCGCCGAGCACTTTATTAGGAACACTTGCAGTTATCTAATCAGCCAATCATGTGGCAGCAGTGCAGTAAAGTTTACATCAACCGTGAGAATGGGCAGAAAATGTGATCTCAGTGATTTTGACTGACATGATTGTTGGTGCCAGATGGGCTGGTTTGAGTATTTTTATGCACGATTCCAACAATGGCTGTGCATGACTGTGGCAAAACTGACATAGTCACACATATAAGGATAAAAACGTAAGTTTTTTTGCATTTACTGCATTAAGGTTTTTTCTCAGGCTGAACTCCGAGTTGATGCATGAGTCAGGTCAAAATGCAACTTAAGATCAAGTTCCCACCTGGGAGTAACGTTACTGTAGATCCCACTAGCGTAGTTAATGCATTTGCTGCTGCGGACATGATGTACTAGGCAAACTAACCACCTCTGAACAGCAAATAAAATGAAAAAAAGTTCTCCTTAATGTTGAAAAGAAGTGTTCCACATACAGTGCCATGAAAAAGCGTTCGCTGTGGACTTGATTTGGTCTGTTTTTGCGTTTTTGTCACACTTAATTGTTTAATCTTCAATGTTTAATTTAACGACAAAGATAACCTGAGAAGAAACTAAAATTCCAATAAAACATTCACAATCCTCCAAGAGCACAGGGACAACTCATCCAGGGAGCCACAAAAGAACCCAGATGTACTTCAAAAGAATTGCAAGCCTCGCTCACCTCAGATAAGGTCAGCGCTCATGATTCTGCCATTAGAAAGAGACTGGGCAAAAATTGAATCCATGGGAGAGTTGCAAAGTGAAAACCACCGGAATTCAAATGCTCATGTCACATTTGCCAGAAAACATCTTGATATTTTTTTACATGGGTGATATAGGCCTTTTAAAACTTTTTTTCCTTTAATAAATGAAATGATCATGTAAAAACTGTATGTTTTATTTCCTCACGTTCTCTTTACATTACATTTTGTATGAGGATGTGAAACCATTTATTGTGACAGATATGCAAAAATTCAGGAAGGCATTCAGGGGCAAATACTTTTTCACAGCTCTGTAGTCTAAGAAAATAAAGCTGACCGCTTCAGTTTTCTTTCGTATGTTGTTCTCAATTTGTCTACACATAAATAAACCTAAATAAAGCCTGTTCCACCTGCTGGCCAGTAAATAAATCACTTCACTGGTAGAGCTGAGTCAAATCATTCATAACAGAGTGACAGTATTGATTAGGTTGGTTTATTAATACCACTTTTAATCTGCAACGTGATTTAATTTGAGTAGCGTTTTGTATATTTATTTGAAATATCTGTTTATTGGGGAATCCCAATTCGGCCACACCCCTGAAAAGGGTTCCACTGCTATTATAAGTCAGAGAACATTTTTTCATACTGTAGACAGCTCTTCTCGCTAAGAATGCATATCTATATTTTGTTAGGCTTCTTTCACCCTGTTCTTCAATGGTCAGGACCCCCACAGGACCACCACAGAGCATGTATTATTTGGGTGGTGGATCATTCTCAGCACTGCACTGACACTGACATGGTGGTGGTGTGTTAGTGTGTGTTGCGCTGGTATGAGTGGATCAGACACATCTGTGCTGCTGGAGTTTTTGAATACTGTGTCCACTTTCTGTCCACTCTACCTTGTAGGTCGACCTTGTAGATGTAAATAATTCCTCATCTGTTGCTGCACAGTTTTTGTTGGTCATCCTGTAGTCCTTCATCAGTGGTCACAGGATGCTGCACACAGGATGCTGCTGACTGGATATTTTTGTTTAGTTGGTGGACTATTCTCAGTCCAGTGGTGACACTGAGGTGTTTAAAAACTCCAGCAGCACTGCTGTGTCTGATCCACTCATACCAGCACAACACACATTAATACACCACCACCACGTCAGTGTCCCTGCACTGCTGAGAATGATCCACCACCCAAATAATACCTGCTCTATGGTGGCCCTGTGGAGGTACTGACCACTAAAGAACAGGGTGAAAGAAGGCTAACAAATTATACAAAGGAACAGATGGGCTATTGTCTGTAATTGTAGAACTACAAAGCGCATCTATATGGTAAGTGAAGCTGATAAAATGGACAAAGAGTGTGGATACAAAGAGGTGTACTTAATTAAGTGGCCAGTTGGTGCATACATATATAAATGGGCAAAAAATCATGCTTCAGAATGGCTGATAATGTTTTTTGCTATGCAAAACAAATTTTACTCTTTTTTTTTTTTTAAATAAAAAGATTTTGATGCTGTATGTAAACATTGATAAACTTTCATTGCCCAGTCCGTACAGCCTACAAGTAAACAATAATTGTGTATTAAAATATGCAGAAGTGTGTTCTCTGTAGAGGATGTATTATCTTATTTGCACTTTGGGAATCAACAAAACTTGTAATTTGACTGGGGGCACCCAAACATTTGCATATGACAGTATATCAGTCTTAAAGGTACAGCAAAAAAACAGTCTGTTTAAATTTAAGGGACAAAGAGAGGTTGAAACATGGTCTTATAAAAATGAATCGGGACTGTTTTTGACACATAACGCAATTTTTTAAACCCACACAAACATCGTAAGTGGACCTCAAGGGAAAAATAAAGCATGAGAGAAATGCAGGATATGAGGCTTTTAATGTACAAGAGCTTCCACTGAATTAGGTGAAGCCCAGCAGCACATACACACACTCATAGAGTACAACATGGAGACTCCACACACACACACACACACGCACACACACACACACACACACACACACACACAGCAATACGCAGTATTGTGTTAGAGTAATATGTTTGTGGACACGCATGTGTGATTTTTCACTTCTTCTTTTAAGCATCATCACTTACACACTCATCTTGTCTTCCGTCACATCTGCTCTCTTGTTTTTTTCTCATCCTTTCATCAGTGTAGAAGAAAGCATCTGAAAGTGTGTGTGATCATGTCCAGACTGGTTCCAAACACCACAGAATCTAGACTGGTTCCAAGCAACGCAGAATCTACAGCTATTCGAGGTAAAAAGAGTTACTCTGTGTATGTTTGTGTGTGTGTTTGTTGCCTGTGTTACAGTGTATTCATTCATACAGTACTGTACCGAATACTGAGACCACCCATCGTTTATCAATTTCCAGTCAAAACTTTTTTACATTTTTCAGCATCAGGACAGTCTCAACAACTAAATATAATATTTTTTCAGTGTTTTATTTAGTATAGGTGTGTCCACACTTTACCTTTAGTAAAGCTATCATTCATTTCAGGAGACCTGCTTTCTGTCTATGGCATCGGTGAACTTGTAGCATACAAAGGCACTTGGATGCAAACCCGCAGAAACTGCACAAACATGTTAGCCACTTTTGAAAGAAGTATTCTTTCAAAAGTGGCTAACATGTAACTTTACTTACACAATCAACCTAATACATTTTTATATACATCTGTTTGTGTGTAAGTAATGTAATGATGCCAGACTGCTGACTATCACCATATGGTATACATCTGTATACATGATATACATCAGATGGTCAGTGTCCCCCTATAGGAGTGTCAACTGAAGTTGAGACAAACCACCTCAGTGAGTGAGTTATATGGGCACTGCGAGAACCCGTATTTTTGGTGGAGCACTATGAGAACTATAACCAAAGCTCTGTGACCCACAGCCATTGCAACACACCAGGCTGCCCACACCACACGCAATGGCTCAGGCTCATTGTGCTGATCTGAGAGAAGTCATTGTTGTGAGGAGTGAAGGAGAAGTGGAGGATGTGTTGAGAAATGCTGTTATTTCTCAGAAGACATAACTGTCATCAAAAGTGTCCCATGGGATGTGAGGCCTGCAGAGAGTTAGAGACTGTTATTAACCCTAAAGTGCACAAACATTTAACCTTTAAACGCATGGGTGTTTGACATTTAAGTACATAGGTGTGTAACCTCCTGAAATGCGTAGACGAATGATCTTTAAATACATGGGTGTTTCACTGTTAAATACATGGTTGTTTGTCCATATCAAATTGAACATCTTGCTGATGACATATTCAGAGACACTGGCAATATCAGCGTGTAGAATTTGAGCTTTCTGTGTGGTACTGTGTTATTTATCAATGTAAAAAAGATACACAAAACTTCTTTTTTTGTTGGATGCACATTATGATTTTTTTCAGAGCAGGCTTGGAAACACAGAGCGCAGTTCAGATCAGTAATTGGATATTATTGATTTGTTTAATCAGATTAATGACAGAATATGACTGATATTCCAGTATCAGTATGATGTCCATCACTTATGTTCCTATTCATATGTTCCTATATGCACTGTTAGAAATAAAGGTACTGTGCAGGTACATTTTTCATTCATCAAGCTACAAACAATGTAAATGTACCCTCAAAGGTACAACAGTGGTTTTAAAGTCCAATTGTGAACCTAAAAAGTTTTTCCCCGGTGAAAAGTACATATTTGTATCTTATTATAGCCTAAAGTTTTAAAACAGAACAACAAAATAAAAAGCCTGGGTGTGTGGAGTCAACACAGCTTAGAAAATATAATTTCAGTTGGATTATGGTACAATTATGTTCCCTGACTAAAGGTACTGAGATGTACCCTTCAGGTTTCCATCTCAGTGACAAGAGGGGTACCACCCCACTGACAGTGTTGTACCTTTTTTCTGAGAGTATGGGTTTAAACATTGAATAAATACATGTTGCACTCTTCAATACATAAATGTTTAGCCCTCACATATATGTGCTTAATCTTTACATTTGTGGATATTTAACCCCAGAAATACATGCGTCATTGGGACTTTTTTCAGCTTGTGCTTTTCTACATTATTTGAGCATAGCAGATGTCCTTTATAATTTGTGAAAATTTCATCATGAATTGACCAGTAGAAATGCTCCATTGCTTGGAATAAAACCTCTTTACATTAACGTGCATGGAAAGTAAAGAACAGTTTTTTCCATCTTCTGTAAAGTAACTATTTTGGAGATACTTGTTTTTCTTTGGACAGTGACGATATAAATCAAGATATCAAGTCTTCATTTAAACAATGTTGATAGATAAAGGTGATATAATTTAACAAGTGACACTTAGAATTAACATTTTGTCATCCTTTATATAATTGAAATAAAGAGTGATGCAATTTTGTGAAAAAAAGTAAGTACACCCCTACATATATCACAATGTCAAACATGTCAAATTGATTTCAGGTGCACTGGACAATGATTAGACCAGCATTAGAGAAGATCTCTGAGGAACTTCCCTTATTCAAACCTCAGATATCTGTTCTGGTTAGCTTTTTGTTATAGGAGGGTCTGGTATTGTCATGCCAAGATCAAAAGAGCTCTCTGAGAAAGTTGTACATGCCTATGAGTCTGCGAAGGGGTTTAAGAAGATATGCAAAATATTGGAAATCAATCATTCCACTGTCTGGAAGATCATCTACAAGGGGAGAAGATTTAAACCACTGCCCACTTGTCCAGACCAGGACCCCCTAGCAAATTTAACTTAACAGCAGACCATAAGATGCTGAAAGAAGTTTCTAAGAATCACAGGATCTGCCTGTAGCTCTTGCCACTATTGATGTAAAAGTGCATGTATCTACCATTAAACACATTTGACCTACTTGGGATGCGCACCAGGTGGAAGCCTTTGCTGTCTAAAAAGAACATCAGGGCAAGACTAAAGTTTGCTAATCAACATTTAGACAAGGACTAGGACATCTAAAACAATGTGCTGTGGAGAGAGGACTCAAAGATAGAGTTATTTGGCCACAGTACCAGAAGCCATGTTTAGTGAAAACCAAAGACTGCATTTAATCAAAAGGACCTCATACCAACTGTAAAGCAAGGTGATGGAAAAGTTATGGTTATTTTAGGGCCTGGTCGACTTGCAGTCATAGAATAGACTACAAATTCTCCTTCATACCATACAGTGCTTGAGGAGAATGTGAGACCGTCTGTAAAAAAAGTTGAAGATGAAGAAGTAGACCTTTCAACAGGATAATGATCCCAAACATACAAGTAAATCCACCAAGGAATAGCTCAAAAAGTAGAATTGGAGATCGGAATCTCATTGAAATGCTCTGGGGGGATTTGAAATGGGCTATACCTATAAGAAACTCCTCAAACATTGCATAATGGAAAGAACTGTGAAGGAATGCGTAAAATCTTATCCATGTAGATGTCAGAAACTGGTAGACAGTTATAGGAAACACTTACATAAGTCGTTTCTGTCAAAGGAGTGTACCTATACTTCTGAAACCGAAAGCCACATTAACATTTCAAAAGAAATTGCAATCACTGGTAAAATCTGACAAAAATATAAACTAAATAGTGCATACAGTTTGTAGCATTTAGCTCAAATAATAATAAAATGTGTTATTTCACCTTGGTCAGGCTACTATGCATGCACATTTCTCTGCAACAGAGGGCTTTTCCCACCTTACCAGCAAGCCGACTGGCTCTTTTTTGGAGGGGGGACTTTCCCTGTATGCACCTTTTTGGACATTTTGAGGTTTCCCATCCTTTTTAAACCAGTAAACTGTGTCCTCCTTCTTTATATTGTCTCTGGTTAAACCTTTAGAATGTGGAGGTTACGAGGCTGTCTTACCCTAGCAGACTGCAAATGTAGTGTTATTTCAAGTTTACTTAACAGACATTTTTCATTTTATTTGTGCTAGCTACTTGTCACTGTTGGTTCGGCAACAGTAATAGCAACCTCCACCTTCTGGGGAAAACGGGGAAGCTAACATTCTAAACTCAGTGTAAAAACTAGTTTCTGTAGTTTCTGTTGTTTTAATGATATTTAAACTTTACCTTGACTTATGCATTACTTACTTACTTAACTTATTAAATATTTATTTCATACGAAACAACTTAGTGAAGAAACAACTATCATGAAGTAAAAACTAGCTAAGAATTTAGCAGAACAACATTAGCCTGCTAGCTAACAAACATTAATGAGGCAAACAGGTGACTAATATGACTTATTAAATTACAGTTTTTTACAAAATTGGTCTGCTCCATTGCTGCTGCACATTGAGGTCTGCTTTCTTGTGGCAAAGTGTACGAGAAGCAAAAAAAGTCAGATAGCTAATAAACCGAATTAAACGTTTTTCTTGTGCAGATGAATCAGCAGTTGGGTTTGAGTGTGAATTCTAATCACACTTCACCATCCTGATCTTACTTCCCATGATTTCTGGTCATGATTCTTGCAGTGTTACTGGATGAACCATGTTTATCACAGCCATCAATCAATAATTTCTGGAAGTAACCTCAAAACTTTATGCCACTATGTTGGTATATGTGGAGTATGTGGCCACCTATTCATAGCACCTATATGAGCTTGTTGGACATCCCATTCCAGAACCACTGGGGGTTAAATATGGAGTTGGCCCAATTTTTAGCAGCAGTAATATTACCCTAAGGGGATGAGCCTAAAGCCTGCAAAGCAGCCTCAGACCATTATCCCTCCTCCACCAAACTTTACTGTTGGCACTATGCATTCTACAAATTGACATATGGCTAATTTAAGTTACATTTAAGGTCACTGAGCTCTTCAGTATGATCTATTCTACTGCTGATGTTTGTCTATAAAGATAATATGTGCTTGATTTTAACCAGGTGTGGCCGAAACACCTGAACTCAATAAACAGAAGAGACGTCCACATACTTTGGGCTATGTAGTGTATGTATGTGCCTGACTTTTGTTAACCTAAATATATTTGGAAATAAACACAACAAAGCTAGCACACAACTAAATCAGTAGCAAATTTTACAGTTAACTATAATTGTCTGCATGATACTGAAAACATGCTAGCTTGCTGTCTTATTCTGAGGGTAAGTGAAATCGAGACGGAGATGTGAGACTGGGCTTCATGAGGGCAGTAGTGGATTAGTAGGGTTCAGGAGGAGGTGTGGTCTTATCTGCACTGTCTCTGGTGTCACTAAGATTGAGCCTCTAACCCAGGCAGCTGGGCTCCAGCACTACCCAGCACTGTAGAGATAACCCAACAAAGTGACCTAGTAGGCTCCACAGCACTTGGTTAGAGGAAAAATAACCCAGGCATTTTTTTAGAGTGCATCAGTGTTTAACCAATTTGGCACTTATATCTAATGCAAACTGATCTACACATGGATGAAACAATGTAATACAATGGTTCTGTGGTTAGACTGTCATTTATATGAACAATAGATGAGGTAGACTGTTAAAAAGCTCAACTTATAAACAAAGTTCTCACATTTTTTAGTTCTGCATCTCAGTTAGGTAATGTAGAATGTAGATTTTTACTCAGTTTCTCCACTAGCTGGCACTCTTTATATCTGACAGTCTCACCAGAAATATTTTTCTCCTCTTGGGCTCCCAGTTATAGACGAGTAGGGCATTTTTGGGGTTCAAATTCACAACATCATGGTGGAGGTAATGGTTAGTCTGTTGCCCCTCTCACAAGCTCCTGCAATTACTCAGATTTCTGTGTCCTTAAATGTTAATTGTTTTACACTGTAAAAATTGTTTCTTGTTTTAACTTTGAACAATGATCCCACAGCTGTCCATGTCTGGAAGACTAAGTGGAGAAAATGCCTGGTGGGACTAGTGGGGAAAAATACACTCTCATATACTTCGTATAATATATGTGAAATGCATTATTGTTACATATAGTAAATTGCGTTTATATAATACATATAAGGCATGTGTTTGAGCCCATTTCTTAATGCATGAAAACAAATCTGTGTTTGTGTGTAGCTGCCCGTCGTGACTGGATATTGTACACAGTTCCTTCCATTGCCTTTGTGATTGGACTGATCTTGTTCACACTGATCTGCAAAACACAGCGCCGCAGAGAGAGTAAGCACGCACACACACACACACACACACACACGCACAAACAAACTTACAGACACACACTAACACACTCACAGACACACAGACACAGAGAGAGACATACACGGGCACGCAGAGACACACAGACATGCACACACAAACACACATACACACACAGACACACACACACAGATGCAGACACACACAGACACATGCACATAACTGTATGTCAATATATGTAGTATGTGAGCTGCTACATATGTTGTTGCTATTGATATTGTTGTGTTGCGGTTGTTTTTTTGGCACTGTGTATGATTCTTGTTCTTGTACTGTTGTGTATGGTTACTGTTGCTGTGGTTCTGTTGTTATATTGTTAAGCTGTTATTGTTGTACTGTTTCTGTGTTGTTGTTGTTTCTGTATTTTTATTGTTTTTGAGTTGTTATTATTGTAGTTGTGCATTGTTACTGTTGTTGTTGTTTCAGCAAAAACAATTAGAAGGGTTCCGGCTGTAAAGACAACCACTAACGGCATAACAGCAAAACACGATGATACACGGTACTCTTTCCTTTACAGGAATCTTTCTCTTGTTATGTTTCCCCCCACCACCTCCCCTCACCTCACCTTCTTTACTTGATATGTTGAAAGTTAAGAGTGTTGGGTGACTTTATGTGTGTGTGTGTGTGTGTGTGTGTGTGTGTTCTGCAGTCCTGAATTCACTGAAGCTCAAATGGAGAAAGAGGCCAATCTCAAAAAACGTGAGTATTCCCTGTTTCCACATTTAAGTGATAGTTTGGCCAAAAAACAGGTTCCACTATTTTCTTCATACTCCAAATGTGGCTGAACAGCCAAGACATGTTTGGCTTCTGAAGTTTCCTTCTTTAGTTTTGCCCTGGAGCTATGAGGCTAAATTCGCCTACCTAAAGTAGCTAACAAGCAATAGAAGCTTCTATAGAGGGGTTACATTGGGTCAGAACACAAAGCTGGCTCATGTGAATGGCAATCAGAGCCAAGCTCCAGTAAGTGCAAGACCATTTGAAAAGAATGTTTCCAAATTTGATTGGATGGCACTGAACACTTGGCAGTAAAGTATTGCACAGAGATGTTTTCAAAGTTTCTGGATAAACAGTCTGTTAAAAGGATGCTACTCCAAGCACACAGTTAGGATAGGAGGTTATTTTGTTCATGTCAGATGGGCGTCATTGCTGTTTGGAACAGCTCATTTTGGTGGTTTGGAGGCTTTAGTTTTTTTTAGTATTTTGTCAGAAAAGCATCAAATATCTTTATGGAATTTTGATACCAAACATGACACACAGGGAATAATAAAACAGCCAGGTAAATTATTTGACTTAAAGGGTAACTTTAAGTTTGGTGGAAATGCTTTGTTGTAGAGACACTTACCCAGTCAGAATTGTTTACGGTGGTGGTTACAGGAACCAGATGTCTAAAGTGTTAAATGCCCCTAAAAGTTCCCATACAGGAAGTTACATGAATTACAAGAAACGGTTATGAATACTCAGCCAGATGTCTGAAACACTGTTTTATGGTAGTTTTGTAATAAACGTTTGGCCTAAAATCTGTCAATTTGTTTTGATCTGTTCATCGTGGAAGGATACATGAAGGGTGTTCTAAGGCAAAATATTTTTTTTTCATATTTACGACTATTTAACCATCATCAACATTACATATAAAACTCAGAAGATGTGTAGGTTCACTGGTGGTTTTGGATAGTAAATAAAATGGTTGTATTTGTGTTGCACACATCGGGACTCCTGGTTCCTATCACCACCACTGTAAAGAAATCAGAGTGTAACCCCTGCATATAACCGACCAATTAGAAAACTTGATTTTATTTGAGGTGAGCATGTCATGATTTAGGGATGCAATTTGGGTAAGGAGTAAATTATGCAAATTAGATTTTTCAGCAAATGGATGTTTCAATATTTTTCTATTACACCTATTTCTATCAAAATTACTTAAATGTAGTAACTTAATACTACTAGTATTAATACTACTACCAATAATAATACTGTGTGTGTCTACAGAAGAGGCCCAGTCTTACGAGAATGTTTCAGCAGCCATCTACAGCAATCAAGATAAAGTGACATACTATTTAACTCAGGATGAAGGTCAGTGTGTGTGTCTGTGTGTCTGTGTGTGTGTAAGTACAGACATATTACTAATTATTATTCTTTTTTTAGACTACATTACCCCTGATGCAATGGGAGATGCCGTGACAGCATCAGAGCAAAATGACAACAACTACCTTCATCTGCCTCAGATTATAACAGATATAGGTAAACACACACACACACACACACACACACACACATACACACACATACACACACACATGCACACACTCACACATGCACATGCAATAAATCTAAGCTAATCCACCCTACAAGAAAGTATCATATACAACATACAGTATTAACTGTTTACATATTTTATTATATTTTATTATTAATAACATTACATTGCCGCCTTAGAATGAGAAGGTTCTATCTGCATTCAGCAGTTTTGAGATATTGAGAATTATAGATTTCACTTTTAAAACAGCAGCCACTTTCAACCCATTTTCATATCCTAAAGTTATTGCATTGGGATACTTTTGACAACTGAACATTAAATTCCTAGGATATTTGCACCAAATGCAGATAGAATCTTTTAATTCTAAACTTGAAGAGAGCGTTTAGAATTAAAAGATTCTATCTGCATTTGGTGCAAATATCCTAGGAATTTGATGTTTCATTCCAAAACATTGTACATCCTGATGTATAATGGAAAACACATAATTATTTTTCGAATAAAGATGGTATTAATCATAGTGTAGCATTGATATTTCTTACGTGTAAACACATGTATAAAACAACGTATATCACAAAAAAAAAAATTCTTGAAGTGGTCTAAAATGCGTCTTTCATCAGAAGCCTTCTACCTGTGGATCTATTTGTGAATAAACCCAACTGGAATAGAAAACCAAACATTTTCAGATACAAACTGCTCTTCTCATATACCTTAAAGTGCATAAAATGCAGGAAAACATTCAGGCGTTTCAGTGTAATATAATGTTTCACACTACAGTACATTCATTTGATTTTTTAAATTATGCACAGCTTAAATTAGCTACATCAATATGGTAATTAAAACATATCCAGCTGCCAGAAATATATTAAGAAATAAGCTTCTAAGTGGGTTAATTTTGTAGTATATACCTATTTTGCTCTATATCATATTTTGTAGTATATATCTATTTTATTATAATATCAGTATCACAATACACAAGCACATAGTATATATTTATAATTTATTGTATGATGTACACTATATGAATATGAGAAAAGTAAAATGACTAGAGGTTGAACATCATAGATGAGAGCAGGACAGCTGGATACTTTGCCCATGCGTAATTTTTGGGTGAAAGCAGCCCCTCTAATTTGACTGGCGGTAAATACAAATTCCAAGGTCTTTGACAATTAATAGCAAAAAATAAGACTATCCTACTGATTTCTAGCTATTAAGAGTCCAAGTCCTGCAGCCAGACAGGCAAACAATTATGTCATGATATTTCCGATCAACGATCTGGGTTGTTATCTAGATAAAACAAAAGAAATAGGGCTTAATGAGTGCCCTTTCAGTCTGCCTCCATCAAAGTGGACAAATGACCCTACCCAGTGATCGAAGGTGTCATATTTATGATTCGATTCCTTATAGTTATATTATCACAGCGTAAATGCAGCATTTAGACACACTTTGAGTTTGGATTATAATAATAATAATCATGATGAGCTGTTTTACTTGGCACCATGTTTCAAGAAGCCAGGTGGCTGCAGCTAGCTGTCAGCTAATTGAACCTTTTTGGGGGGCAGTATAAAGAAACTTTAGTAGCTTACTTAATTTTACTTCCTTGTAGTAACCTGCAAAGATGACTGTAACAGCTGTTCAAGGAAAGTGTTTTCCTTGAACTCAGCTTTAAGTTAGAGATGACAGTTTAGCTAGCTAGCTACAAAGCTGCCTCACTTTAGCTAACATTAACTATGTGTATTACTTGATAAGTAACTGCTTCTAACTTGACAAAGGCTATATTTTAAATTAAACTTTTATAACCTTTTACACTTTATAACAACTTACAATGTCCGAAAGCTAATTGTAGTCTACTTTAGTGGCTTGTGTGAGCCATCATCGTAGCCAAGCTAGCACTTTAAACAGACCGGTGAGCTTGAGGATGTGAGTAAAACATGAATTCTACATTCGTCAGCCGCACTGCCTGGACTGCAGATGGATTTTCAAAAAGGAACCTTTTACTTTAAAAATATGAACCCTACGATGCTTGCTTTGTCTTGTTTACTCATTCTCTCTCTCTCTCTCTCTCTCTCTCTCTCTCTCTGTAGATGGAGAGTCATATGAGAACATGGATGGATGTGTGTATGCTCAGCCTCGCAACCACACACAAAAACACACACTCAGCGTTGACGATGATGGTATTACACACACTCACACTCCTTACATCACCAAACACGTTCTGCCCGCCACATGGTGTGAATGCGGTGTGATGCACATTTATGGTGTTCTAAGAGTCCACAGTTTTTTTTGTACTTCCCATATTGTAATTTTCAGTTTCAGTCATCTGATCACTTTTACATCTGTCAGTATTACAGGTTATATGGTGTTACAGAGTCACAGTTTCTTGTCTAGCCACAGTGTATGACTGAGTGGTAACCCCACCACTGGCTTTTTCAAAATATCTGTTGGAATGCATTTCCATCTATTCCTTTTTACTCGTCATAGTTCTTAACCAGTGGTTCTCAACCTGTTTTAATTGCAAGCTCCTCCATCTCGACCCTGAACACTCTAGAGCAGCCTCTTAAAATTCAGTGTGCACTGCGGATGAGGAGATTGGCTCTGCAGCTCACACATGCTGAAATGCTAGTTAGTAATATCACACACGGTTGCTACCAAACACGCAGGAAACATGTTGCACTATTAGCCATAAATAAACCGAACAACAATTTTGCACACATCTGACAGCTCCTTCTCAGCTCAGTTATTCTGAATGAAGCAACTTGCATACTTTTCATGCACATTTTAAATGGCTAATAATTATGCAACATTTGATATACAAAGGTTGGCAAAGTTAGCTGTTCAGCTTAGAGCCAAATACTGTTGGCAGGCTGTACAAGTGAAAGATCAGCACCTTCACACAGCCACTCACCATTTGTATTAGTATATAATAAAATTGATACTATTGAGCTAAGAGATTTTATAGAAAAGTCACTCAAACATATGATTCTCAAATTAGCTATGTATATTTTTGGTAACCATCCAGGAGTTAATCTCACAGCAACTAACACCTTAATCAGCACCGTGGCTGACAAACATCTCATAAAAATGTTTAATTATTTAAGCTAGTATTTATAGTAATAATTTAAAAGTGGATTTTGTTCATACACAGTAATATGGATTGTCCAATTGAACTGGTATTGAGGTCAAAGCACATTTTGGACTTTTAACTGATTTGGACTTAAATTCAGTCTGACTGTAATCGAGCCGAAGTGAAACGTATGAAATGTTCACTTTATAAGGTTTTGGGCTGGGTAAAAAAATATTCAGGGCTGTAGCCCCAGAAGCCCAGGCCAAGCAATACCCCTGTCTGGCCTGTCGTGAAACCATTACACAGTGAAAATGTTTACTTTGTCAGTTTGTGACAGTGGGAATTTATTTATGTCTTTATTTCTTTACAGTAGGACTTTGTACTTTACATCAATTAATTACAGTACAAATTTATACTTTATCAGTTCATTTCAGAAGAAATTTATACTTCACATTTGTTCATTGCAGTAGGAATCAGATACTGGAGACACCCAAAAACATGTGATCTATTAAAGTGGACAAAATGTTATGGATGATTGCAGAATGTAAATTTTACATCTGGTGACGATGTGACCTTGTTGAATGTGTAATCCAGCACTTCTCAGTCTGAATAACACTGAAGACAGACAGACACTCTCACGTGTCTCATCCTCTTACTCTTTTCTCTTTTTCATCTCTCTCTCTCTTTCTCTTTTCCAGAGTCCTATGAGAATATGGAGGGCAATACGTGCTCCTTCAGACCACCAGCAGCTCACAACAGCACAAACACCTTGGATGATGGTAAGCATGTGCAGCCCAAAGTTTGAAACATATACGTTTTCTATATCAATGCATTTTTATTTAATATTATCACCAATCTTAAAGTACTTAAACTCTACAGATATTGTAGTAACACTCTTATTTAAGTTACATTTGGTTGGAAATAAAATGGTTAAATTCTTGAATCACAGAATGCAAGTGGTGGTAGATAGAGCCAACCTAGCTCTCTCATTGGTCAGGACTGAAGTCTTAAAGCATCAGATTAACCACCAGCAAAATTAGGAAGCTACAGTGGACCCAAGTAATCACATTTTGATTTACAGTGGGTGGGACCAAGGCACTATTGAGGAGTGTGTTTTGGACAGGGGCAATGTAAGACTGGGAAGTTTGGGGAATGATTAAAAATACCTGTTTTGGAATGTTCCATAGGTAAACAGGCGAATGGGTAACAGGTGATGTTATCATATAAAATGAGCATTCGCAAAAGTCTGTGTTGTTTACGAGCAAGGATGGGTGTGAGTCCACCAGATCACAGTTTTTTACACTCACTAGGAAGCATTTTTCAGTGTTACATCCACTTTCTCGAAACTTTTCACACTCATCCGGGCTTGGTACATTTTGTGACCAAAACGCTCTACAGCTATAATAGCAGTGCAGATCTCAAAATAAATTCATTCCATCAAAACATCAACACTAGTGTACTTACAACAGATATACTTTGTCAATCACAGCACAGTCACATCAGAAACACTAACAACTGCTGAAAAAAATTCATTACATCAGAAAGACATTACAAAACAGAACTGCCTAGTTTTATTATATAGAAATAAATTAAATAAAAGGAACTAAAATATCCCATAGTTTACATTACCTAGCCAGGAAAATAGAAAATCTAAGTTAAAAATTTTGACAGATGTTCTCATCCACATCACAAATGTCCTCTCTTGCCTATACATGTATGAATAAGCACTTGCCTATTATGTTCTGGGCCCATAATGGACCGTTCATAGTGAACAAAATAACTCCAGAAGTGACCCCTTTTATGGATGGTCAGGACTTCAGCTCAGATGGAAATCAGTTGTGACTGGCCTATTTACATGTATTCAATCAGATGTTTGTCTCTATAATCATTACAATTATTTGGGCTATGATTGTTGTCTGATATTGTATTTGTGATATCTGATATGTGGTTTATTTTCATGTTCAGTTCTGGAGTTCCGTGTCATAGTTTTGGTAATACTGTACACAAGCATTTGCAAATTGAGCTACAGAAACACATAGTTTTGTTAAAGGCTGGGAGTGAATGAGAAGTGAATTTTAGAAACTTAGAAACTTTAGTACATACTTTTACAAGCTTCAAATGTCCCTATAAAGTGCAATACTAAAAAGGGAGTAGGGATCCATTTTGGTCACAGCCCAAGTTTGTGAGAACAAATGTCACTCTGTGTTTTGCTAGTCCTAGATACCTCACTTACTGCGAATAGGAGCTGTAGTCTAAGCAATGTGTTCCAGTCTCTTTACTGAAACAGTCACCATAAAACTGCCACATACAAATATATCGTCACTGCTGGAACAAAACCTTGTATCTCCATTTTCTTTTTTCTTTTTTTACATAATTTGAAAATGCCAACTGCCATATACATTGTGTAAACATTTATGACCAATAGAAACAGTCCAAAATGACTTAGAATAAAATCTTGTTACATTAACTTATATTGTTAAAACGTTAAAAACGTTTGTCCCGTCTCTTGTAAAGTTACTTTTTTGGAGATACAAGGCTTTGATCCTTTGATCCTTTTAAGTTCTAAGTAAAAATTGCAATGTCTTTTAAGCTTAAAAGGTGCCTGTTTAGTTTTAAACAGCCAAAAAATGTTCTTGTGAATCACTGTTTAGCACTAACATACTACTAGAAATCCCATAGGGGTGCTAGCACCATGGCCCAGACTGATTCATCACTGTGTAAACTTCACTTTTCTAAATCTTTTCTAATATTCTGAGAAATAACTATTACAATTGTTATTCTGACAAGTGTGTGTGTGTGTGTATGTGTTTTAGAGTCATATGAGCGCATGGACAGCATCCAGACCCCGAGTGATAGATGGATAGAGAGGAACGTGAGAGAGACTGAGCGGAGGGCAGAAAGAGACAGACAAGACATGCAGTGGTACTTCAGACAGAAAACAGTATGAAAAAGGGAAGTGAAGCTGGAAATGATCAATGAAAGAATAAGATATGAAAGAGTGAGTGAAGAAGACTGCTGAGACTCACTTGGATTAGAAAGTGAAAACTTTTCATCTTTCCTGAACTCAGTACTGAACTCAGTCTTCGAGCTTCTGGTCAAAAGGTGTCAACAAAAGTTTATACTTTGTTAAAGTAGCAATTTAGCCAAAAATTCTCTACCCCAAATGTAGTCAATCAGCCATGTTTTGTGTAGAGTCTAACTAAACAATGCTAACATGAGTAATAGTGACATCATGGAGGCCATCCCTAGCTTTCCAGAGTGCTATGCTCCCTGAATGATATTTTCTAGGAAACAACTCTTAAGTTCCCATGGCCAATGTTGCCTTATTCATGTTTCATGAAAAATAGGGATAATGCTCAGACCTCAGTTTATATATAAACCTGTGTACTATGATACATATTCAGCAAATAATCTAAAATTGAGTTCATGGATATGCTTCCAAATAAATTCCCTTATAACAATTTCTAGTTATACATTTCAGTGAACAAGAATGAGAATCTATCCAATGTTTTACATCATGCCTTTATTTTAACTTTACAAAATGAACTACATTTTAGTTTCTGACACTGAACGACACAATTGTATCTCTAAAAATGAACCAAACTATTGTAGCATGCGCAAGAAATGCTTTTGCATGTTACTTCTAGGTTATGCGTTCTTTAGCTTTATTACACTTTGTTTGTTTTGCCAAGGACTCTTATTGTAGTGGACGGGGCCAGGAACTGCTGGGGGAAGTGTGTTGGAGTGTGCGTGAGTGAAGAGAGAGAGATGAGAGAGGTGAGCAGATTCAGAGAGCCAACTATTAGAGAAAGCTTTGCTTATGTACGGCATGGCTGTGGCCAACAAAAGCTGCAAAATAATGCACCATGACTTGTGTGAAAGCAGTATGTTGCATAGCTAAACAAAGTGTTATCAGCCGTTTTGATATCGGAATATTACCTATACTCAGACATAAAACATGTCTTGGCTGAGCTACATTCAGGGTAAGAGGGGAAAAGTGTTTGAAAACATTCCTTTAAGAAAACACTGCTTTTAAAGGAGACCAACAGCACCAACTTTTTCACCTTTAACTCTCTGAGGCCTAAAGCATTTTTGGAAAGTTTTTGTTTACCTCCTTCTTTTAATTTTTTTTGTACATTTGTTTGTATATCATTTATTTTACTGAGCAGGTGCCAGAGGATTAGACTGACTCAAGGAGAAAGTGCTACATATTAATGGTTTCTGTAGCAGAAGCTGGTTTACAAATTACATGAGCTGGATTTCTGGAATAAAAGATTTCTACTGTTTCTTCTGTTACTGTTCAGTTGATTTTGTTATGAGATCTAATTCAGCAGGATTTAGCTTAATCAAAAAAAAAGAGCTTATTTGCAGGATAATTCATGTAACTATAAATATAATTGCTATATTATTCTTTTGCACCCTTGTAAAATAACTATTTGTAAAATAAATGTTTTTGGATGACATTTCATATGAACTTTCTTCTTGTTACTGACTACAATTTTTATACTTCTCACAAAAAGTTATATTATAGGACGAGCATGTTTTGTGCATGTAAATATTTATGTGAAAGGAGTCAGGAATTCTATTAAATACAATTTATTACATCAACCACATTCATTAGCACTTTTTATAGACAGAAATTTCGAAAGCAAAAACAGATTGTATGGAACCCCATTGCAGGACTTTAAGGATGTGTGTATCCAAAGCTATGTATATATATAATTCATCCTTCGGCCACCGTGATGCCTTAACCTCAAACCTCTGATCACCCTTCATGGAAGCTGAATCCAGATGGAAGCTGGATGGTAGTGGACCCACAGCACCACCTGCTGGGCTAGCAGGCCACTTCGGCCATGCCCCGTTTTCCAGGCAGTTCAATAAAACGAGACAGTTGATGAGTGCACTGATCACCCGGGCCAAAATGGTGCAGCAGTGCACTACAAAGAGATTCAACCAGACAAATAAGTGGTTTCATGTAAGTGTTTTCCCAGCTCCAACAAACCTGACAACAGCTCATTATGAATAAGAAGTGTTGTAGAATTAGGTGATCCCAAGTTTTGCACTGGAGCCAATACGCTAATGTAATTAACAAGTAATAGAAGCTTATACCTCACCAGTTAGCATCATGCAAACCTTATGCCTAAATCAACACACTCTCACCTCAAACTGCGTAGAGATGTTACGCAAGCCTATCTGAGATAAATTATGTGGTTTCTGACACTGTATGACAAACTGTTAAAGTTGTTCCATTATTATGGATAACTGCCAACCAGCATTGTATAAACGTTCGCTATTTCTGAGCTATATTAGCCTCGTATCTCCAGTGCAAAACTAAAGCTTTAGATATCAAACATATCTTGATTGGTCAACTACATTTGGGGTAAGGGGTATAATTCTGTAAATGTGTTTTTTTTCCTGTTGAACTATTCATTTAGCCTGGGAAAACACTGAACAGTATATAGTGTGGGTCCAGGGCTAGAATTCTCCACCCTATGGTACTTTACATCAGTGAAAACCATTTTACTGTCCAAGCAGACATGAAGAAGAGCAGATATTAGATCAGTATAATGTGGGACGGCTCTCTGTCCCCAACTCCACACCTTTCCTGCCCCCATTTGCATCATACCTCCCCCCCAATCTCCCCCATCCCTCTCTCTGTCGGTCTCAGCCCCAGTTGTGCTGGTCCTCTGGTGTGGCTGTCATGATTTCCGTCACCAGCCCTGTTCCGATGGTTTTATTGCCGTCTCTTAGTGTGAACCTTTGACCTTTCTCCAGAACCATGGGCTGCCGGAGTGTCAGGGTTAGGGAAGTGTCTTCTCCTGGCATGATCATCTCCTACACACGCACACATATATTCAATGATAAACATGAACCGCTCAAGAACAAAAAAAAAAGCAGGACACTTAAGGGAAAAAAAAAATCAATCTTGTTAGATTCATCTTGTAATCTTCATCCAATCTTGTAACAAATTTAGCCTGAAATATCACTTTACAGTGCAGTGAAGAAGTATTTGCCCCCTTCCTGAAATTTATCCGTTTATGTAAGAGCAGCAAGGCAGAAAACTAAACCACTACTAACCAAAAGAAACATCATTGCTGATATTGGCAAAAACAATCCTTAACCCTTTTGGGATAATGTTCTATGGACAGACAACTCCGAAGTTGTCTTTCTCTACAACACAGGCCTTGTTTATATCTGTAAAGCAAGTTCTGCATTTCACAATAGGAACATCATACAGACAATAAAACATGGTGGTGGTAGTTTTGAAAGTCTGGGGATGTTTTGCTACTTTAGGACAACCCATTACTGAAGGAACCATGAATTCTGTTCTGTATCAGAGAATTCTTAAGGAGAGAGTATGTTCATCTGTCCATGACCTGAAGCTACAACAGTAAGGTTATGTAGCAATATACTGATCTACAACAGAAGAAAGAAGGGTTTGAACTAAAATTCCTCCACAATATGAAAGACTGGATAACTTAAGTAAATTATATAATAATAATAATGAAAAAAGTCTTTTGTGTTTGAGAAGGCTCTTCTAATTTCACATTTTATTTAAAGAGCTAAAAGCATTCACTGTGACAAATATGCACACTGAGAAAATCCGGAGTAAGGGCAAATACTTTTTATGGCACTGAATCTATTCCTCGGGGGAAGTAGACTGTATGAGCCTTTTAGATGTCCGTCTTAGTTAAAAATAGCTCACTTTGAAGCTTAGTGGTTTTTAGAAAAAAATATCAGATCAGAATTGGATGATATAGGTTTCAGTATCAGTATCAAAGGTTAAAAAAAAGAAAAAAACAGTATTGTAAAAGTGTAGAAGTGTGTTGTATACCTTCTCATCAGGTAGCTGGACTCTGCAGGCCATATCCCAGGTCAGAGAGAACATGACAGGCATGAAGTTAGTGACAAAGGGCTTGTGTCTGCCGCCTTCTTCTTTACTCAGAATGTACACCTGAAATGAGTGTTCGCAATGAACACATCGTTAAGGGCTGTGATGACAGAATGGATCATACTATAAGTTATTAGTATGGCGAGTGATGTGGCATTGGTAGAAATGTGCTTCCATGAGATGGCTGGAACCCAGCTCTCCTACAGAGCTCTCCAACAAATTCAGACAGGATTTTATGTCCATGCAGCCTCAATTAACAGTCTCATCCTTAACACTTGTGAGCACCCAAAGACACTCATCTATACACACACTGCCTAAATATACCTACCTTATATCTACACATTTCCATTTTATCAGGTCCACATGCCATATAAGTGCACTCTGTAGTTCTGCAGTTACAGACTGTAGTCCATCTGTTCCTCAGCATACTTTGTTATCCCCCTTTGACCCTGTCCTTCAGTGGTCAGGACCACCACAGGACCAACACAGAGAAGGTATTATTTGAGTGATGGATCATTTTCAGCACTGCAGTAACACTTAGATATGCCTTCCTTCGTCTAATTTGTAGATGTAAAGTCAAAACACAATGGCTTATCTGTTGCTGCAGTCTGTGTCAGTTATCCTCTAGTCCTTCATCTGTGGTCCCAGGACGCTGCCCACAGGGCTCTGTAGGTTGGCACTACTGTGTCTAAACCACTCATACCAGCCCATGATCCACCACCAAAATACCTGCTCTGTGATAGCCCTGTGGGGGTCCTGATCATTGAAGAACAGGGTGAAAGGGGGCTAACAAAGTATGCAGAGAAACAGATGGACTACAGTCTATTGTACAACTGCAGTTTGCACCTATATGGTAAGTGGGGTTTATAGTATGGACAATGAGTGTGAAAACAATGAGGTGTACTTAATGAAGGGGATAGTTAGTGTATACATATACACACATTCTTACCTGTGCTCTGACTTTCTGGTGGGGTTGGATGGATCCTGGTTTGCACATCACCATCCCCCTCCTCACATCCTCTCTCTTCAGCCCTCTAACCAGAGCGCCCAGATTATCACCTGCTTCAGCACGATCTAAAGACTGGTGGAACATCTCAATACCTGAGACAGAGAGAGAGAGAGAGCGAGAGAGAGGGAGTTTGTTCCTGTGCCTTTAGACTGATACACTATATGGCCAAAATCATGTATACACCTGGCCATTACACCTATATGAGTTTGCTGGACATCCTGTTTCAAAACCATGGGCAAGAATATGGATTGTGTCTGTGGGAATTTGTGCACATTCAGTCAAAAGAGCATTTGAGGTCAGGCTCTGATATCAGATGAGAAGGGATGGTTCGCAATTGACATTCCAATTCATTTCATTGCATTTTATGTCCATATCACATTATGTCCATATTAGTCTCAATTAACTGCCTTATCCTGAACACTTGCCAGTGCCCATTCCACCCAAAGACACACATAGAAGTAGTTTGTGGGCTGCAATCATTATTAAGGTATAGTAAAGCAAGAACATAGCAGTTTATTTATAGTCATAATTAAGGTGCAATAATGCACAGAAAGCAGCAGTTTATATACTAAATATTATTAACATGCAGTATGAAGAAACACTTACCTGTAACGACTGACTTAGCAGAGCGATTGTGTCCCACAAACTCACACTCATCTCCCTTCTTTATCACCCCTCTCTCCAGAGTGCCGGCTACTACTGTACCACGACCTGCACGCAGGAAACACACTCTGTCACACACAAAAACAAACTCCATAACACCGCTATAAAGACATAAAACACATGTGACAGCTGCACCATGACCTGCAAACAGGAAGCATGCTCCACTACATACACACGCACACATGCACGCACACACACATGCACACACACACGCACACACACACGCACACACACACGCACACACACACACGCACGCACACACGCACGCACACACGCACGCACACACGCACGCACACACGCACGCACACGCACACCTGGGATGGAGTAGACGCCCTCTATGGGCAGAAGGAATGGTTTTTCCAGTTCTCTCTTTGGTAGAGGAATATATTCGTCCACCACCTGCAGCAACTTCATAACAGCATCCACTCCCAGTTCCGGCTGTTTATTCTACACATGCATACAAAAGATAATTAGGTCAGGCAGTTTGTATTGTATCAAACTCAGAGGCCTGGGGGGATTTCATAAAGCATGCAGTTAATAATATAACAGACAATCCATTTAGATAATACTTCCATTTCATTTAAATTATAAGTAAAGCTTGCAAGACATCTGTCCATCAAGATTTCTGTCCTCTATCCAGCTAGCCATCCATCCATTTGTCCATCTAGTGCCATCCTGCTATCCATCCATTCATCCAGCTGCCCAATCAGTTCATTCATCTATATAGCTACCTAGCTGTCTACCCATTCTGCTTGCTATCCATCCATTTAGCTGTCCATACATCCATCCATCTATCCAGCTATCCCTCCATCAATCCATTCATCCATCAAGCTTACTTTTATGTATCCAGCCATCGAGCTAACCATACATCTAGCTGCCCATCCACTCTTCCATCCATCCACCTAGCAGAGATCTGTGTGGGACCGTTTTTTAGTCCTGCTCCCACAAGATCTCAACCCGCTTCTGCATAAAATCTGCACCGGTTGTCCCGCTCCCAAACACAGACCTTTATAACCAGTTTCTATCTTCGTCAGTCTGAAAATGACTGCCAGCTTTGTTCTTGAGGATTCACCTTTCTTAAAAGCATTTTTCACAGCTGTGGCTGACTGACTGTCTACAAGAAAGCAATTCATATGACTAGTAGTTTCTATTTACAACTCCTTTAGAATGTCTATTTAGAGTTTATAATTTTTTGTTATTTTGCTACTGTTGTTATTTTACATATTATTCATATTTGCCAATTATTAATTGATTACTATCATTTTATTTTGCCTATTTATTCATTTGCAAGATGCTGCAAGAGGTGGGGTCTCCCATGGGAATGCAGACCTCTACCACCTAGCTATCATCCCATTCATCCACCTTATCCAGCTTGTTATCCATTCCTCTATCCATCCAGCTATCAACCCAGTCATCCATCCAACAAGCTACCCATTCATTAATCCAGCCATCAGTTCAGTAAGGTATCCATCCAGCTAGCTACCCATCTATTCATTCAGTAATCCATTCAATCACTTACCAAGCTAGCTATCCATCCACTCAGCTATCAGTTGATTCCATCCAGCAATCCATCCATACATCCAGTTAGCTAGCTAGCTATCCATGAGTCCAACCATCTGGCTATCCATTTATCAATTTAGCAGTCCGTCTATCCAGTTAGGTATTTAATGATCCATTTGTTCATCTACTCATCCATACAGCAATATATCTTTACATCCAGTTAGCTAGCCAGCTATCCATCCATCTAGCTATCCATCTATCAACTCAGCAGTCCATCTATTCAGTTAGGTAGCTAGCTATCCATCCATTCATCTACTTCTCTAACCAGAAATCCATATATACATTCAGTTAGCTAACTAGCTGGCTATCCATCCATCCATCCAGCAATCTGTCCAGTCAGCGAACTATGCTTCCTTCAATCTAGGGAAATGAATCCATCCAGCTATCTATCCATCCATCCACCTCATCTCTCTCTCTCTGTACCTCCAATGCACAGAGTGCAGACCCGATGACCACTGGTGTTTTCTCTCCATCGTAACCGAACTCTGTGAGCAGCTCCCTGATTTCTAGCTCCACCAGCTCCAGCATCTCCTTATCCTCCACTGCATCTGCTTTATTCACAAACACCACCACATGCTCTACTCCAATCTGCCTGGCCAATAAGAGGTGCTCCCGTGTCTGAGGCATCTGACCATCTGTTGCTGCAACAACCAGGATACAGCCGTCCATCTGAGCTGTTCCTGTAATCATATTCTAGTGAGAGAGAGAGAGAGAGAGAGAGAGAGAGAGAGGGCATTAAGTATTTCAATATTTAGATTATGATTAGTAATTACATTGCCCTTCTTTCCAGAGCTATTTAGAACTGCATGTATTATGTTTCAGTATGTAATGATAAAAGTTAAAAGAAGCGCTAAAACTTTTGACTACATCACCCAGCCATATGAGTTCAGGCATATTAACTTCATTAATGCAATGTCCAGGTACGTAGGTGTGATGTATCAGGCATAAATTGTGCAGTATGTATGTATGAGTGCGTGATTACCTTGACGTAGTCAGCGTGTCCGGGGCAGTCTGTGTGTGCATAGTGCCGATTGGCTGTCGTATATTCTACATGTGAGGCGTTGATAGTGATTCCTCTGGCTTTCTCCTCAGGAGCATTATCAATGTCTTCATACTTCTTGTATCTCGCTCCTCCTGCCTCTGCCAAGACTAAAACACACAGAGGAAAAGAACATAAGAACGAAGAGTTCTGTGATGTCAGTTGCTTTGGCTGCAAAACCCAAAAGGTTTGGATGAGGATCACTCTGTAGACTTCACACAATCAACTACTTGGGCTGCAATTAATTACTTCCGTAGCTTATTGGAAATCATTATTAGATTATTCAATTAATTTTACACCTTTTTTTCAGTCATTCAAAGTTCCATGTGTGCTAGTTGTTTTTTCATGGTGCAAAACTTCATGGTGAAATTACAGACACTGTATCTCCCCCTATGCTTCATGTAGCATATTGCAATCTTTGTCAGAATGGTGGCATGTATTATATGAACATTAGAGAGCATTTCTTAAATACAAATGAGAGAATCAGAAGGAAAATACTTTGACTGTTTCATTTGCATAAAACTGATATTTTTCTTTCGCACTGGCACATAAAATATTACACTGTACACAAAACATTAGAAAAGTGTAAAAAAAAAAAAAAGTATGATTAGCCACTGGAGCAAAGCCACATGGCTGCCTGCTGCTCCTGTGTCACAATCCATACGAATAACCATGTGTATCGCATGAACTTTAGAGAGCATAAGAAATATAAGAAATAAGAAAATGCCTTCGGAATAGTTTGTTATACAGTTTTTGCTCATTTAAAAAAGGCGACAGAACTCCCCATGTTGTGTGTTGTAGAATGAGGTGTAACCAGTGTGCATGCCTTGCAGTGCTTAAAAAGTAAAAATGTTTATTGTTGCAACTACTTATTGAACCTACTTCTTCTTCCTCTACTGTCTTCCTCCAGTGTTCTCAAAGTTAAAAAAAAATGCTTGATGTGAAGGTTCCACTGTGTTAAACACAGTGATGCAAATTAGAGGAGAGCTGTGAGGTAAAATGTAACATGCATGTTTTATGTTGTTAAGCAGGTTCAAGTATAACACCCTTTTAACAATCTTTTCATGTTCCTATAGCAACGTCCTATGGCAACCTGCAAATTATGACAGCAATTAGACAGATAATTCTCCAGATTCGCTTGAAGACTGTTTTAATATAGTTTTTTAATATAATATATTTAATATATATGTACTATAGCACTGTTTTAAAGCACGTAAACAACTCATAGCAAGAACTAGCCAGGCTGAAGTACAGCCTCCGCATGGTGGGGTTAGTTGCAACTGAGCCTCCTAAAATAATGAAAATGCATGTGCAGAAAAGTCCATGTTTTCCCATAGAAATTCAACACATTACATTTTTTATACGTTTTAAGTGGTTTCATCAAACTGTGCTACAGAGATCATATAAATAAAATATATTTAAATTTTATTGCTCTGATAATTCCGCCCAGTGACCGCTGGGATAGACTCCAGCACACCCCATGACCCAGAAGGATAAGCGGCTTAGAAAATGTGTGCGTGCGTGTGTTCTGATAATTTCTCATCTACTACCAAAAAAGGCAGTGTTTAATACAGGCTCTTTTCACAAATTGTATTTTTTTTTCATAAACATATTGCTGCTGTCAAAACAAAACCTCACATTTCTGTTTTTCATTTTTGACCCAATTTGAAAAGACTAGTTGCCCTTTATGTTGTGTCAAAATTTCATGATGAACGAACCGACAGAAATGCTCGACTTCTCCTGTAAAGGTACATTTTTGGAGATATGAGGTTTTGTTCCGACAGCAGCAATTTATTTATGTACTTGGGCTGGAAAACTGATCTGGTTCAAACAACATAGTACTGTACTGAACGATCTGTATTTGCTTCGACATTTTAGTGACTGTCACAACTAGCCCCTAGTTCGTTTTAAATAACACTGCCTATGGGGTTAGCTGTAATGTTTGCACTCCTGCCATTTTTGGCTAGACTGTTCACAAACCATAAGTGCAGGCAAATAAGGAATATGTTTTGCTGCAGAAATGCGTACCCTGCCTATTTTAAATAAAATCCTGCTATACCATAAAATTATTCAGCAAAAAAAACTAATTGTGTTAAGTTGTGCCCAACTTCTCCCTACAATGCCACAATCATGTTTAAATTCTTGCTGCACCTTCCCTACGTTTCCATCAACCAAATCCAAATGCTATGCTAGTATGCCACACCTGTTTGTAGCTGGTAGAAATGTATCCAAAACTCCATTCACTCTGATTCAGCTTATTTTCACTTATTAAGAACATTTTTCTTGCAGTGTGAGACTATGGTAGGGTTCAGTAAGACTGTTTCTATTGAGTTGTAATGTGAGTAGGACAGTGCTGTCACCTTTGGTGATGGCTGCAGTGAGTGTTGTCTTCCCGTGGTCTACATGACCGATAGTGCCGATGTTGACGTGAGGTTTATCACGGGAAAAGACTTTCTTGGCCTCGGCTGCAAAGTTCCTACGACTGAGCGGCACTGCACACTGAGAGAGGGAGAATATGTTCAGTTTTCTTATTTTCGGTTGATCAGTAAAGCTGTAGTGCAGCTGCCACTTACCAGTTTGAAGGAGCTGTGCAGTAAACTGGATGAGGTCAGCTGGAGGGCTGATGGAGAGAGAAGAAACAAATTAACAAGCAAACACTTAAAGTAATCCTCTTTACAAGTCCCAAAGATAAGACAGTGAAGTATTCCCAAAACACTTGGTTTCAGGGTCTGTTATGTGTCTGCGCCTTCAGTTTTAACTTTATGCTAATGCCACTTTGTGGAAAACAGAGATAGATATCCGAGTATCCACAAGAGTTAATGAATTCAATTAACCGCCAGAAGGGAAAGAACAACAAGAAGGGGGGTTAAAAAAAGGACTTTGGCCAAAATTAATGTAGGGCTGATCTGGGAAGCTTACTTTTCTTGGTGATAACATTGGTAACACGATAACATTTAACAAAGCTAAAAATCAGCAGCACAAAATTCCACAGCAAGCAGAGGAATTCATTTGAAAACATGTTTTCTAAATGTTAAAATACCCAAGAGAAACCAGTAATTTTGAGGACTAGTCGCCTTCTACACAAGGTCTTCACTGAGTGCCGTGTCAACAACGTAAGTTTTTCAGAGCAATATATTTTCTGGAGTTTCTAAAGCTAACATAAGCTAGACTAGTTAGCCTAAGCGCTATCTTAGTCAAGTCCTTAACAGCACACTCACGTTCAGGTGTGAGTGGCAAAGTGCGATTTACATACTTGTTTACAAATATTAGCAAAACAGTGACATTTTACAGTCGTGTTGAATCATCAAAAAACTGTGTTTCACTGAATTGTTAGTATATTGTTTCCCACTTCTTATGATGAAATGGAACGACTACTCGTGTACATCCCTAGTGGAAAACAAGAGACCTATAAAAACGTGCCAGATATCTACGACTTGAGATAAAGGCAGTCAAATCTTTGCTCTGCTATAGGTCAGCACGCTTTTAACAGTGTAAAAGATGTCCAGTAATGAGTCATTTGGGACACAGACCACACCTTTCACATCTGTACACTCCAGTGGTTCCCTTCTTGATTTGTACTGCACTACAAAGGGCATGAAACAGTACAACTAATGTACCCTAGGAGACAGAGGACACCCACAATGCACTTTGTAGTTTGATTTAAAGATTCACACACGATTTCTGAGTAGGATTTGAGCCCAGCCACAATGGCAACATTTCCACAGACCTCTCTTCAGACCTGTTACAAATGTGAGTAAGCTCTTCTCATGTGTGTAGTCAAACTCAGAGGTGATAGTGGACCTGCTGGCATGATGTTTATGGTGTTTATGCAACTAAACCTGCTGTTGTACAGTAATGAGCAAACATATGCCGTAGTGTCTGAGACTGTTCACTACCATCACTAATTCTGTCCCCTACAATAGTGTTCTACATAGTGATCCACATTTTACTACACTATATTCTGCAATCTAATAGTGCAGCACATTTAGAGTAAGGGTTCGTTTGGGACGCAGCCCATATCCAAAACCTATAACTTTTAACATAGTAAGAGGGCACCAGATGTCCTGTTAGGAGTCATTTGGGATGCGGTGCACCAAACGTACAGTAAGGACTCGTTTATGATGCAGCCCATGTCTTTAACAGCCTTCACACTCATATTAATAGTCCACTAGATGTCGAGTACGGAGACATTGAGAACGCAGCCAATGTGTTCATCACCTTTACCGCCTTCAATATCCTAAGTGTTCTAACACCTCTGAAGTCTTTAACGTCTCGTTATCTCGTTGCACGGATGGACCGTGACCTTGCTCTCCGTGCAGGAGCATCCACGCGCTCTAGTGACCGCCGTTCCGTTCACTTATTCCCTCCACTACTCTCATTCACACAAGACCACCCCAGTGTTTATAACGAGCACAGTGTTCCGCAGCCCCACACGCGCACACAGAGCCGAGTCCAGCCGAACCGAGACGGTCCCGGTGATTCTTACCGGAGAAACCCGCGCGGAGTCCCACGAGCGCCGCCATTTCCGAGAAAAGAAGTGGCTCTCTGCGCATGCGCCAGAAAATAACGGCAGAGACCTGAACGTAAACATTCTTAAAGACCGGACCAACCTTTGGACGAACGTGTAGAAATGTATTGCTTATTTAATTAATTAGTTTCCTTTAAGATAATAAAAAGATATTACAAATAACTAACTTCCAACTTAAATAAATAAATAAATAAACAATCTGTAGACATACACACCTTACGTCATTCATGTATGAACCGATATGTATTAACCTATGTCAGGAAGCAAAGAGCACCAATAACAGTATTTAATTAAAATGTTTTAGCTTTCTATTTAAAGACCTTAATATGTCTTTATACGTGTGTAAGAACTATAAATCAAAACACAGTAAATTTAGTATTTTGACTAGTGACTGGAGGATCTCATCATTATCAAGGTCAGCAAGAATTGTTTGAGACTGTGAACAAAAATTATCCTGTCAGAAATCAATAATTTGCACTGTGCTGTGAGCTTGTGTCATCCTTTTTACAGAATTATCATGGAGAAGACTTGCTGTCAAAGAATGTAATTAATGCCCTGAAAGACAGTTTTTACAAAGAATAGTGTAGTATGTTCAAGAAATGTTTACATTTTAGTTTGAGGAGTGTTATTCAGGATTTATTCACTAGGTTTATTTTGTGAAGGACTCTTATTGTAGAGGGTGGGGTGAGGAGCGGCCCCTGAGTGTGCGTGAGCGGCGAGACAGGAGACGTGAGCTGGGTAGTGAACGATCCTTTAGTGAAGTAAAACTTTGCTTCTGTACGGTGTGGCTGTGACCAACAACAGCTGGAAAATACAGCACCATGACTTGTGTGAAAGCTGTGTCTTTTTTAATAGCCATGAATGCTACAATATTTAAAAAGTTCCACTAGTTTTACTGGGTACAAGACATCTGTGGGAGGCAAAATCCACATATTATTGGTCTTCCGCAAACCGTTATGCCCTAAACTAAAAGAATTTTAAATTGACAAAGCTGTTGCAACGGAAAAAAGCAGAAAAAAGCAGAAGTGACGGTTTTAAAAGCAGAATGTTCCTGTGTAGGCTCTAGCTATGATCCTTCAAAGATTTGTGGTTCTAGCTTTAAAATTGCAACCTGTGAAAAAGGCGCCAGCATAGGACAAAAACAAAGAACGTAATTAAAGGTGATGTAATATAAAACAGCACTTTTGACAAAGACCCATAACTTCTGTGAGCTTTAAATAAAGTTACTAGACTAGCCGGAATACAGTCCTTTAACCTTAATATAACCTTTAGGCAGGAACATTTACTCTCTAAAGCCCACAACATTATGAAATGAGATGAAAAGTAATCCACTCAGTAGCTGGTAAATACCCTCATTAACCCACTCTATTGAATAATAATCTCTTGCCTGATAATTCGGGTATATGTCGAGCTCTAGACTACAAAGGCGCCAGAGTCTCTGAGTATTACGGTAAAACTGTGGGAACGTCATTACAGAGCGACTGTAAAGCGGCTGTCACGCTGATAAACTGCTAGCGGCGACAAGAAAGTGTGAGAATATTCTGGAGCGCTGGAGCTCAGTTTATATACACACACACACACTCAGTCACACACACTTATCACAGAAACACTGTCCCTAAAAACAGACTGCTGACCACTGGACAGACTAACTTCTAACGGTAAGGTGATTTCGTTATTTGTATGATTCTGAGTGTGTAGTGTGTGTGTGTGTGTTGTGTGTGTGTGTGTGTGTGTGTGTGGAGTTTGGAGGAGCTGGATGGTATTTGACCATTTCTTTGAGAATTAATGAGAGCTGAATGAAGTTCTGAGTCAGAGTTATTTAAGAATGGACGTTTTAAGAATTAGAAATAAAAGAAATATTCTTCATTAAGTATTAAATCATGGACGCATTAACATGAAGTGTAAGGTAGACTGAGTGTATGCGGCTGTTAGTTAACCTAGCTATCACTGTCAGGTTTGTCAGACATGGTAAAGCTATTAAATTCGTGTAATTTCTATTCTTCCTTTTTTGATATGTAATGACATAAGATTTTTATTTTTATTATCCTTCTACTTGGTCTTAAGTTGTGGATTGTTTATTGGTTTCATCTTTGGTGTATCCGTACACTCAAACTCACATGTGGTAGAAGTGTGTGTGAATTTGAACATTAGAGTTTAACCTCAAAAAATGTTTCATTTGAGGTTAACTAACCAAAACTATTACTGATATCATCTATAATACAAATAATAAGAATAAAAATGAGAATAACAATAATGCTAATAGTAGGTTCACATGACAATCCATTACAAAAGTGTATGTTTGCTTATTTTACATACTCATTGGTCGATACAAATGCAGAAACTTTTCCATGTTCCGTTTAAAGACATGATACATTGCGCTTTTGTTTTATATTACTGACACGGCCCAGAAAATAAACAATACAAAGCACAGCTAGTGCAGAATCATCTGAGCTGCAATAATACAGTGTTTAAATATATTATATGTTTAAGTATGTTAAAAATATTTTGTTTATTAAAGTCTAATCAGTAGAGGGAGCAGTGCCTGTGAGAACAGCCATTGGCTTACAGGCTGCTGAATGCTGTTTTATTGGTGAATTAGAGTGTGCTTCATGTAAATGATATGCACTCTTTTTTTTTTTTTAACACACAGTTTTGATGAATAAATGCCACTGCCTTGAGAAAATGCTTTTGCAATCATAACTGTGAGATGAAAAAAGAGAATCTTAAAAATATGACTTGCTTATTGCTGCTGTTGGAAGAAAACCTCATATCTCCATTTTTGACTTTTTCAGTTTTTGACATAATTTGAAAATGCCTTTACCCTTTACATTGTGTGTCAATTTAATGATGAATGAACTAAAAGAAATAACCTAAAATGACTTGAAAAAATGTTTGGTTCCATTGATGTCCTTTTTTCCTTCTCCTGTAAAGTTACCATTTTGGAGATATGATGTTTTCTTCCAACAACATTGTTATAGATAAATAAAGATGGAAGGTCACTACAAATTTCTGCTATAAATAATTCCAATAATGTTGATTTTGAGAAACAAATGAGAAACACAAAAAGCTGACACCGTGCCCTTGTTAATACATAACAATCTAAAATATTTTGGAAGTAGTTAAAGTGGGACAAAATGGCCATAGGAAATTGTTAAAATGGGACAAAATGTACAGAACTGTCTGTCAGTATACTTGGGGTGTTAACCGAAGTATATCCTATGTGTGGGAAACACTAAATTTGATTGCTGATTGCTACAAAGTTTTTTTTGTTTTCCTTTCTCTGTTTAGATGGCAGAAGGAAATAGACGCCACCCTCAGAATTTGCAGGGAGTTTTGCGACTGGCTGTTGAAGCTGGCTCTGCCTCTGATGGCCCCACACCCCATGAGCCACTGTCACAGGAGGTAAACCAGAAGTCTTGACCTTTAGTGCCCTGGAAAGAAGGTCAATAGAACACACTTTAAAATCTAAACACTATAATTGTTTTAGGGAGGGAAATGATCTCGCAGTCTGTTTAATTTTGTAGAGGATTTTCTCAGAACTTTTAGCAGTATTTTGAATATAGACTGTTGGGTGTCTAAATTACATTCTGTATGCATATAAACATCAGTCCTCTTTGGTATCGATAACAAAAATATTTTAACAAGACCCTTATAACTCATTTAGACCAGCTTCACCTTATTAAATTCTCTCTCTCTCTCTCTCTCTCTCTCTCTCTCACTCTCTCTCTCTCTCTTTCTTTCTTTCTATCTCTGTGTTTGTCTGTCTATCTGTCTGTCTGTGTGCAGAGGATGGAGTTCCTGCGGGGGGCACTGGCGGAGGTGTGTAAAGGGCAGATGGATGAGGTGGAGCAGATGAAACAGTGTGTGGCCGTGCTGCTGAGGGATGAGGGCTGCAGGGAGAGAGGGAGCGAGGGAGAGGGACGGGAGGAGGAAGAGGAGGATGAAAGAGAGACTGCATTAGACTTATTGTCTGATCTCTGTGAGAATCTGGACAATGCAAGAGGTGTGTGTGTGTCAGACACTGATGAGGCACATTTAGCATGTGTGTCATGTTCTGTACCGGAAGCTGTGTGTATGATACACAAATAAGTTTCAATATATGATTTATTATATGAATAGCTTCAGTATATGAGTCAGTAACCAAAAAATGTGTACATTTTGAGAAAAGATTTAGCTTAATATCAGAATCAGCCAAGTACATTTGCGTGTTTGAGGAGTGTGTATAGGTAAAATTTTGTTTACATAAGTGGACAATACAGAATACAAATAGGAAACGAATATACATACAGTTGCATGCAAAAGTATGAACTTTTCAGATTACATGTTTTGTTTAGTTTCTACGCGAAAATGAGTTAAAATGTCATCTACAGAGAACAGACTTAAATATGGCAATTTTATAACAAATATTTTTTATAAAAAAGGAAGGAGATGAAAATGCATGTAAATAGAAAATTAAAGTGGTGTATGGTCAAATGCTTTGATAATCATTTGTCCTTCAAATCATTTTTGATGTCTTGTGTTATCATTTAAGTCTGTCAATGTTTATTACTTGCCTCATTCATCATTTAACATTATTTTTCTTTTCTTACTTGTCCGTTTTTTTTTTGTCGTATCTGCTTCCTTTCCACATTGCCCAGTACTAATATATGCTATAAAAGTGCACATACTTTTACATATTTTATATGAATAATGTTTCCATTTTGCCTTTCTAATTTAATACAAAAGTTTTTATGACATAGTTTAATGCAAGGAATAAGCCAAAAAAGGCCTTAACATGGTCAATTTCACAAATTTGCTTCAATCTGAATCTAATTTTTTGTGACCTAAAAATTATGCAGAATTTTGAACGTTCCTTCTTCGTCTTAATTCTCATAACTTTTTTGGTTTTAAATTTGACAAGATTTCAAGACTTTGTTGTTTATTTCCAGGTTATAATGTTTACATGAATATAATATTAATCTAAATATAGTATGTGTGTTTGTGTGTTTCAGACCTGATGAAGATGGGCGGGTTGGATGTTTGTATATCGCGGTGTTTGCGTCACTCTGAGGCTGGCATACGCTGGAGGGCAGCTCAGCTGATTGCCAGCTGTTCCCAGAACATGCCCGAGGTGCAGGAGTACCTGCTCCAGCAGGGGGTGCTACGCACACTGCTGCAGCTAATTGACCACGACACACACAGTACAGTCCGTGTCAAAGCACTCTACGCTGTCTCCTGTGAGTCAAGAGTCTGTGTTTGTATTATAGAACTGCATTAGTAAACTGTCTTTATAACTCAGTTGTAAGCCTACCATAGGATCCGTAGCCTCCCATGCAATCTCACTGCTTTAACATTGAATATTGGGTGATTCCAATATGATATTTTCATTTTTTAATATGCGCATAATGCAACACCTTAAATTGATGCTTTATTTTTCTTTTTTAAATCACTTTATAATGTGTTTATTACTGACCTATGATCCAGTTTTACTGACAGTTAGTCTGCATCAGTAAAATTGCTATTGTTTTGTGGGTTTTAAAGTGCTGTGAATACACTAAGATATAATATTGCTCTATCAGGCACAAAGTCTGACTCATCCCTGGTTGTCAGAATTACTGAATATTTAAATAGTCATGAAAGTTTTAAAAATCAAATAGTAAATTAGGAGTAATGAGCAAATTGGCTTCTCTTTACCATTATGCATTCTCTTATAGAAGAACCATAAGATGTTTGAACTCTGTAATCCACCAGGGGGCAGTTCATAATCTCTGGCATTTGTTTTGGTCAGTTTGGTAGTTTCTTGTCTGTTTAGTCCAAAGAAAGGACCATAGAAACAGTACTGTAGCCATTCAAGCCTCTAGAGTTTGTAACACTGTGTCCACTCACTGTCCACTCTGTTACACGCTCTTACCTTCTTGGTCCACCTAGTAGGTGTAAAGTCAGACAGTAGCTCATCTGATGCTGCACAGTTTTTCTTAATCATCCTCTAGTCCTTCATTAGACCACTGCAGGACACTGCTGGCTGGATATTTTTGGTTGGTGGACTATTCTCAGTCCAGCAGTGACACTGAGGTGTTTAAAAACTTCAGCAGCACTGCTGTCTCTGATCCACTCAGACCAGCACGCCACAGTAACACACCACTACCACATCAGTGTCACTGCAGTGCTGAGAATGATCCACCACCCAAATAATACCTGCTCTGTGCTGGTCCTATGGGGGTCCTGACCATTGAAGAACACAGTGAAAGTGGGCTACAAACATATGCAAAGAAACAGACGGACCACAGTCTGTAATTTAGGCCTACACAGTGCACCTATATGGTAGGTAGAGCTGACAAAATAGACAATCAGTGTAGAAAAAAGGAGGTGGGTGGTCAGTGTGAATTAGAGCTGTCTGTTTTATTGTCTGCATTTCATGTGCGTAATATTAATGTCAACTCAACATTATAGTGGTCAGACCTGTGTGAGAGAGAGAAACATTCCTCTCACTTTCCTCTCTGTTCGCAGGCTTGGTTCGGGAACAGGAGGCGGGTCTGCAGGAATTCCTGTCTTATGATGGTTTCTCTGTGCTGATGAGGGGGATGCAGTCAGAGTGTGAGAAGCTCCGAACAAAGTCAGCCTTTCTGCTGCTCAACCTGCTCACCAGCCACCCTGAACACAAAGGTATGTATGAGAGAGAGTGACTCTTTGTGACTAGCAGTGGTGTGCAGTCCAACTACTTTTCATATTCGAGTGTCCTCCTTCCCTTCTGTTGTGAGTTGCCACTTGTTTAACATACAGTAGGGTCCAAAGGCCTAAGACCACATTTAAAATCTGGAATTTCTTTCATTTAAACTTGGAAATAAACAACAGAGCATTTTAGAATTTTGAAAAAAAATGAAAGCAAATTAAAATGAAGAAATATTCAAGATTCTGCACTATTTCAAAGTCACAATTCAAATGTAAGCATTTGACCTTAAGCTTGTTAAGTCTTTGTACGAAAAAAGGGATTTTTTTAGGCTTATCATTTCCATTGAAGCATGTCTTCAGATGGCTCTCAGGAGCATTTGATCTACTCATCAGAGGCTTTTGCACAAACTTGTGGAGTCCATGCCAGCTTGAGTGCACACTGTCAGTAAAACCATTTCAAAAAGCAATTTCAAAGATTCTGCTTTTCATTCTGTTGTTATGCTGATAGTATAATTTGTAATAAAAAGTTTTTATATTAAATTAGAAAGAAATGCAAAAAAGAACCACTTTTACTAGTGGTCTCAGACTTTTGGACCCCAGTGTAGGATTGATGCACATCCGAGTGGTGAGTGAGGGCATGTTGAAAAAAGTATTGAAATTGTCCCAGGCTTTCTTATATTTTAGACCAAGAAAGGAAAATATAAAGGCTACCGCAGACAAGAAGCGCTGAGCTGATCAGCAGATAATACGCGCAGCTATAAGCGTTAATATACACAAACTCATTATACACTGTACTCTCAAAAATGTAATGCCATAAAACTCATTTAGCAAACTTATATGAAGAGAGAAGTTCAGATTTTTTTTTGTTGTCTGTAAATTTTAGGACGTGTCATCTACTATGGATTTGTGGTTTGTGTCTGGGCTTCATATGGTAATTGTAAGATGCTGGTGCAGTGGTGCAGGTTTTTTATACGCTGTTGGTTGTTTGGTTGTAGACTGCAGCCTTAACCCTTACCCTGTCAAAACAGAATATAATCAAATGTTAAACAAATGTGTGATTCAATGTGTAACTATGAAAATATGTATTTAGATTCAATTAATATGTATATTGAATGTATAGCAAAACAGTGTTTAATCATTAATGCTCCATCCTGCACTCTACTACATTCCTCTCTGTTTCTGTCTCTCTCTCTCTCAGATACAGTGTTGTGTATGGGAATGGTGCAGCAATTAGTTGCAGTGCTTCGTTTGCCTCACTCTTCAGTGCATGAACATGTGCTTGGTGTCCTCTGCTGGTGAGTGGACTGTATTACTCTAAATGGTGCCATGTACTTTATACTCTGCTTAAGTCTGGAACTGAAAATAGTTTCAATTTGTGGTCGATACTGCCTCTTGCTCGGTGCTCCTGGTCATAATATTTCACATTTTGGCATCTTCACAAATATCCACCATTACTAGCAAAACTACTTTATTCACCCTCTCGTATGAGATCCAGACCGTCTTTGGACACAAAACAAACAGCATCGGAAGATTTTATCAGAATTCTCCAACTGTAACGTTAATCTTACCGCTCTGAAAGGTAACATAATGACGAGTCAGCTTCTTTCTAGAACTCTGTGCATTTCTTCACTGCCTGCCACAATTGCTGGGTTATCAAAATATGGCCTTACTGCCGGTGGAGATGCTGACAATAAAAAATAATCAGATGAGAATTAGTAGAAAGAAATCATGTGACTGGAGCATGACTTTCAGATGTTGTATCATCAGTTTCCACATCAGGCAAGACATCACAATTTCTCTCTTTACAACAAGCGCTGTTACAGTGCAATGGTCTTGAGTGATCTCAATAACAAACCTGCAGTGTCCTTTGATAAAGACTGATGAAGATGGAGGTGGGGCAACAGGATCAAATGACAAAAAAAATCTTAAATCTGTCTGACTATATTGTGAAAAACGAGGATCCTTTCAGTGTCCCCGGTTTGACTGACATGATGAAAACAATGGAGAGTGTTTTTGGTGCTGACGCATGCTTCTGAATAAATATGTTTCTGTTATTCTGGCCATAAATTCTTAGTTTCTGGCTACAAGATTTTAATTGATTAACCTATTAATCTGGCTTATTATTCAATTAATTTTCCTAATGTAACTAGCTAATGTACCAAACCTTCCTGTACCAAACCTGAAGTACAAAACCTGGGTGTGGTCTTAATAATAATAATAATAATACATTATACTTATATACAGGACTTGGCAAAGGGCTGGTTTAGGATTGAGAACAGTTATAAGCAATAGAAAAGAGAAGTTTTAAGTTTAGATTTAAAAGTGGAGACAGAGTTGGCCTGTTGAATATGTGAGGGAAGAGAGTTCCAGAGTCGGGGAGCCAGCCTAGAGAAAGCACGATCACCGTACCCATGAAGTTTGGAAGGTGGGACAGTGAGTAAACCAGAAGAGGAAGACCTGAGAGTGTGAGTTGGTTTGTAGGGAATAAGTAGATCAGAGAGGTAAGAAGGAGCAAGGTTGTGCAGAGCTTTGTATGTGAGGAGAAGACTTTTGAATTGTATGCGATATTTTACAGGAAGTGGAGATGTTGCAGGATGGGTGTAATGTGCTGATGTGCACGGGTGCGGGTGAGGAGGCGAGCAACAGAGTTCTGTACCATCTGGAGTTTGCATAAATGGGAGGAGTTAATACCAGCAAGTAGAGAGTTACAATAGTCCAGGCGACTAGAAATGAATGCATGAATAAGGGTTTCTGCAGCAGACTGAGAGAGTGACAGTCGAATTTTTGCAATGTTACGGAGATGGAAAAAAGAGGTTTTAACTACGGAGTTGATGTGTGCACTGAATGAGAGAGTTGAGTCAAAGAGAACGCCCAGATTTCATACCAGAGGGGAAGGGGACAGAGTTACATTGTCGATGGAAAGAGAGAAAGGAGAAGTTTTAGAGAGAGTTGATTTGGATCCTATAAGAATAAGTTCTGTTTTGTCACTATTTAACACGAGAAAGTTGTGCTTCATCTATGTTTTTATTTCTGTTATGCAGTTTTCAAGCTGGGTGAGGGGTGGATTTTTAATAGATTGAGTGCTAATGTAAATCTGTGTGTCATCCGCATAACAGTGAAAGTTCAGCTTGAAACTACGTATTATGTGGCCAAGAGGAAGCATGTACACAATAAACAAAAGAGGTCCAAGGACTGAGCCTTGGGGGACCCTCTTAGACTCTGAGCTCTGTTTCATCCCCCATGTAAACACAGGTAGCTTTTTATCATTTGAGAAATATCGCAAAAGTTCGGCCTTTTCTATCTCAGAGCGATGCAGAGAAACTGGTTCATGCATTTGTTACAAGCAGATTTGACTACTGTAATGCTCTTCTTACTGGACTTCCTAAGAAAACTATACATCCCTTACAACTTGCACAAATTCGGCAGCGCACGTCCTAACAAACACAAAACAGAGAGATCATATTACCCATTTAAAAAAAAACTGCACTGGCTACCTGTATCATTCAGGATGGATTTTAAAGTTCTGCTACTAGTTTTTAAGGCTCTAAATGACCTTAAAGCATCTGCTTACATCACAGAGTGTCTGTTTATCTTCCAACACGTAATCTTAGATCTGCAGATACTGGTCTTCTGCAAATACCCTCTGTAAAATACAGAAAACATGGAGAGGCCTCTTTCAGTTATTATGCTTCTAAACTGTGGAACTCAATTCCACCTTTTATTAGACAGTCAAGTTCAGTGCGCACTTTTAAGAAGCATCTAAAAACGTATCTCTTTAACTTAGCATTTAATTAAAACTCTGCGTCTCGTGGTGTTTATCTTTTAATTTGATCTTTTTCATTTTCTTAAGTGATTCTAAATGAATACTTATACTTTCTTGTGTTACTGTTTAACTTTATCACCCATCTGTAAAGCACTTGGAGCTGCCATTGGCATGAAACGTGCTATATAAATAAACATTATTATTATTTTCATTATTATTAGTATTATGTAAATGATACCTTTTTGCTTCCTTTCACTCCTGCCATCATTACCAGTTCTTTCCATGCAAGTAATGAGTTATTTTAAGGTCTTGTGAAACAAAAGAAGCCATATTGCCTCCTGCAGTTCCTGTAGTACATTGCAGTCATAAAAACCTTATGGTTTTTTGTTTATTGCACAGTTTAGTGGAGGAATCTGAGCGAGGGGTTTCGGACTGCAGAGACCCATCGCTGGGGCTGGAGGATCTGCTTAACCAGAAGGTCCATGAGCTACAGGGACGAGAGGAGAGCCAGGTACACTCATTCTTACACTCATCTGCTCATTTTTCCCTCATCACTCCAGCTCCAGTCCTGTAGTCCACTTGCAATACAGAGTTTAATATAATTAATTCCTGCACTTGAGTTAGCTAAAGATGTTTTTCTAGAGCTGAAACAGGTGTAAGCAAAAACACCAAACTGGCCAAGTGGATTACAACGCTGGAGGTGGGGGGACACTATATGACACTCATTGTTACATCCTTTAATTATTACCACAACCTTAGTTTTGTTGTATTTTGAAATTTGGCCCGAGTGATTAGCAGTAAAGGCTTGAACTTTGAACAGTTGCTACTTTGGCACACTATGTGTGCCATTTACTCTCTAGATGGTGACTGAGAAGATGTCTAGCCATTCACCCACAACATCTCAAACCAGCAAGATACTTAGCAGAGTTAGCTAGTGTTAGCTTTCAGTATTGATATTACAGATCAAAAATGTGAGTTTAAGGCAAATGTCTTGGAACAAGAGGAGACTGAACCAGAAAAAGCCTTCTCAAAAAATTTTACACAAACTATTCTTATTTTATATTCTGACTAGAAAAAAATTGTATATAGCACCAGATTAATCCTTTTTTTTTTCTTTAGGGCTCAAAAGACTAATCGCATTTCCAATTGAGCAAGAAGATAAAATCGTCAGGACAAATGCACATTACCTATTTATAGTTAAGAATAATAATGATATGAAAGAAAAACAAAAAAGATTTTTAGCCATATCGCCCAGTCCTGTGTTGGATGTTTGTTTTTTCCTTGATATTTTGACTATATCTCTCTCTGTCTTATTAAGCTATTGCAAATATTGAAGTCTCTTTTTCTTTCTGAAGGAGGAACTGGAGTTCTGTGAACGATTGCGGGTAGCTTGTTTCCGAGGGCAGCCACAAGAGGATAATGGGATGGACCGCTGAAGTCTTTCAGAAGACCAGTAATGACTCTTTCTGTGCTGTGATTGGCCAGGATGAAGGAGGGATAGAATACCTTTTCTCCCTTCAGACAAACTGAAAAGAGATCTCAAGGCTCAACTGGAAAGAGATGGAGAGAGAGAGAGACAAACCTGTTTCTTAGTTTTCTGAATGCACACAGATCTGTTTACAGCAAGATACATGTTTTATGTACATATGTATACAATAAAAGTCCATTGATACTTATTTCTGTGTAAAAATGTTTATGATCTTGACAGTTATGTCATCTTGTGGACATAAAGTAAAGCACACAGTGTATAAATCAGCATATAAAGCTTTACCGTTACTTAAAATAAAGATTTCCTTTCATGATTTTCAAATGGGTTTGGTCATGTGGATGTTTTTACAGAGTGCTTCACTGTGCAGATTTGCTTATATTTGAATAAATCCAGGGTTGGAGGCGATTGGTTTGAATGTGTGTGCAGGTGGATCAGTGCGAGTTGTGCATAACTAATTTGCTCTTTTATTCTACCGACAACAGAATAACACATTACGCCAGTATCTTGGCGATCTTACAGTAGATGCACATGAACCGAAGACATGGCCTAATAACAGTCAGTCATGTGAGAGAGGTGCTGAAAGATCACGCCTTTAGATTTTTAGCAAGAACAGGCCCCATAATGCATTGCTCTCGATCACTTATATCCTGTGTCACTCATTTATCTGCTTTATTAACAGCAGCATGTTCTTTATTAACATTATTATTTCCTTACAGGTATTTAATCTCTCTCTCTCTCTCTCTCTCTCTCTCTCTCTCTCTCTCTCTCTCTTTGTGTGTCTCTTTCTGCATCTCTCTCTCTCTCTCTCTCTCTCTCTCTCTCTCTCTTTGTCACTCCTTTTCTCTGTCCATCTCTAAATTTTTGTCTCATTCTTTTTCTCTCTCTGTTTTTCTTTCACTCCTTTTCTGTCTATCCCTCTCTCTGTCTTTCTCTCACTCCTGTCTTTTCCTCTGTTTTTCTCTCCTTCTCTGTTTTTCTCTCACTCCTTTTCTCTGTCTGTCCCTCTGTCTCTCTCTCTCTCTCTCTCTCTCTCTCTCTGTCACTACTTTTCTGTCTCTCACTGTTTCTTTGTCTCACTCCTTTTCTCTCTTTCACTCCTTTTCTGTCTATCCCTGTCTGTCTTTCTTGCACTCCTTTTCTGTCTGTTTATCCCTCTCTGTCTTTCTCTCTTTCCTTGTTTCTGTCTTTGCCTCTCTGTGTCTTTCTCTCACTTGTTTTCTGTGTCTGTCCCTGTCTTTCTCACTTTCATTCTTTTTCTCTTGCTCTCTCTGTTTTTCTGTCACTACTTTTCTCTATCTCGATTTTTTTCTCTGGCGCACTCCTTTTCTCTTTCTCTCACTCCTGTCTCTCCATCTTTGTCTTACTCTCACTCCTTCTCTCTCTCTCTCTCTCTCTCTCTCTCTCTCTCTCTCTCTCTCTCTCTCTCCCTCTCTCTTTGGTATTATCAAACCATTCACTTAACTAAAGAGTGTAATGTCTGTGTAAAACACTTCAGAACCTTTTTTCAGAAATGTCTGTCATCAAATTGCATTAATCCATTGACAACAGCCTCTTTAGTGAGGTTTTAGAAAGATTTTAACTTCTGTATGAATAAAAGAAAATGTTGCAAAAGTAAAGAATAGAGCTCAGAAGATGATAAACAAATTCTCACCTTAACTTTAATAATCTTTAATAACTTTATAGTTACACATTAATAATACATGCAAAAACAATGTAACTACTGCTGATTTCACCATTACAGATGATTACAGTACTACAGCTCATGTAAATGCAAATGTATTAATTTCACATTTTACTACAGAAGTGCATCTTGATAATAACTTGGACATCTTTTTATACTGTCTCATTACAGAACGGTTTAACGCTAGAACTTTGGTTATCATGTGTCAACACTATTGCGCTACCACAGTGAGCTAAATTGTTAGGAAAGTTGACATTTCCTGTGCAGATACAGTGTATGCTTGTTGGAGAATTAGCATTTACCCTTGTACGAAAAATATATTGTTACAATCAATATGCATTTGTGTAATAACAACAGTAAAAACTGTCAGCGTTTGTGGTTTGGCATTGACTTGCTGAAATAACAAGGCCTTCTCTGAAAAAGACGTCATCTGGATGGCAGCATATGTTGCTCCAAAACCTGTATATTATTCAGCATTAATGGTGCCTTCACAGATGTGCAAGTCACCCATGCCATGAGCACTAATGCACCCTCATACCATCACGGATGCTGGCTTTTGAAATGTGCACCGATAACAAGCCAGATGGTCCCTCTGTTCTTTAGCCCGGAGGACACGGCACTATTCGTTGTAGCGGTCTTGCGGTTGGAGGCGGTGCAATTCCCAAACCAGGTGACGATGCAGCTGCTCAAGATGCTCTCCACAGTCCCCATGTAGAACATGGTAAGGATGGGAGGGGGAGATGAGCTTTCTTCAGTCTCTGAAGGAAGTAGAGGTGCTGCTGGGCTCTCTTGGCTATGGAATTGGTGTTGAGGGACCAGGAGAGGTTCTCTGTCATGTGGACACAGAGGAACTTGGCGCTTTCCACGACGATTTCCACAGCATAGCCACTGATGTCCAGTGGGAGGTGGTCACCTCACACTCTTTGGAAGTCAACAACCATCTCCTTAGTTTTGTCCACCTGTTCATTTGGAGGAGGTGTTGTTTTCCTCGCCATCGTGCCGTTCTGTGCTTCAAACCGAGCACAGAAGTTATTCAGTGCATCTGGAAGGGAGGCATCACTATCACATGCAGGTGGAGGTGTCTTGTAGTTGGTGATGGCCTGGAAGCCCTGCCACATCTGCCGTGTGTCAGCAGTGTCTTGAAAATGTTCATAGATTTTCTTTGCGTAGGCACGCTTTGCCTCTCTGATGGCCTGGGAAAGCTTGGCTCTTGCTGTTCTGAGGCCTGCCTTATCCCCTGACTCGAAAGCCTTGTCACGGAATCTCAGCAGCATGCGCACCTCTGCAGTCATCAATGGCTTCTGGTTGGGGTGTGTTGTGATGAGTTTGGAGACAGTAATGTCATCAATGCACTTGCTGATGTAGCCAGTCACTGATTCTGTATACTCCTCCAGGTTGATGGAGTCACTGGAAGTTGCTGCTTCTCTGAACATCTCCCAATCAGTGTGCTCAAAACAGTCCTGAAGAGCAGAGATAGCTCCTGGGGCCAGGTTCTCACTTGCTTCTGGTCTGGTTTGGCATGTCTGATGAGTGACCAATGCTAACTACCGCCATGCATGAGACCAAACGCTACTCGACTCCAATCACGCGAGACTATAAGTGCCCTAATGGCACCGCAGTTGAATTGCCGCTGTCAAAATAAAAGTCCTCTAAACAGCTGCCGGCTACGAAAATGGAAAATTCTAAGTAAGTGCAGTTTTACATGCATTGTAATTTTCATGCAAATTACTATTTATATATTTATAATTTACATGGTCATCTTTTTCCAATCTCTGTTTATGAATTCTATTCAAATTAAACTTACTGTTTTTGTTACTGTGCCTTTTAGCCTGATATATCTAAATGAGCTCTGTTCTGATTGGCTGTCCTACATTATGCCATTGTGTCAAAAAAGAGCCCAGGCTGCAATGTGGAGCAAACTGTTTCCAGATGCTGGAAAGGAAAAACTTCAGCTGCCTCTTTCGACTGTGTGGATCTTTAGAAAGTTTGCAGTGATCAAGCTTCCTGACAGCCAGGAACAGTACAACATTTAATCATTTTCTATCAAGCTCCACAGGGTGGCTGGTAGGTGCGCCAGCAACAGCAGTCACAGGCTCAAATCCCAGGACTGACTAGGTATTCCTGGTAGTGCCCTTGGGCAATACATGGAACCCTCCACCCAGCAGCACTGCTCTGCTGGCAACACTGTGCTGCTCCTAGACTGGGCATGATTAGACAGCAAAATGCCAAATTTCTTTTGTAGTATCAACAATGTGCATGTCAATAACTCTGCTACAGACAGAAACTAAATTACTCAATGCTTCAGCAGAAATGGGCAGGGATAAACTGCTTCAGGCTGAATGGGAGATCAATGTGATGTTTATGTCTTCATGGTTGTGACATCACAACCATGGGCTGTTTTTGCAGCTTAGTTTCTATATTGAAACTGCACAGGCTTTAACAGTGTTCAAACACAATCTTATATTGCAAACAAGCAAGGAAAATTCGTTGTTTACCTAAGGTTGAGAGTACAGGCGTGTCTTGAGAACTGTATTTCCCAAGAACTGAATGCACCTTTCTTCAGAACAGCTCTTATTTTTTAACTCCACAATAATAATAAAATATATATAAATGTATATATATATAATGACACATTGTCTGGTTGTTTCCTTCATTTGAGTGGCAGAACACACAGATACAGAATTATACATATTTCTTTATCAATGAGAGAGAGAAAGGAAGAGAAAGAGAGAAAGTGCAGCATGTCTCTGGAGCTGCTCCACCGCAAACGTGTATCTCTTTTACATACCTTTGAATAGATGACAGCGCTGAGAGTGTTTATTTACTGTACGTTTCCAGGCAAAACATACAGAAAGGGCTTGCAGCTATTAGCTAAATCCCTTCTGTTCAGGAGAAAAAAACACAAATCCATGCTGTTTTTTCATGTGGAAGATGCTCTTATCTCAGACTGATATGCAAAATGTGCAAACAACAAAAACCAAAGTGATTTACAATGATCTGGCTCTGAATCTGCAAGGATCTATGACCCAAAAAGAGGCCTGTTGTAACTTGATCTAACTAGTTACATACAAATGTAATACGTGTGGACCCGAGTGAGCGTTTCAGCTTTTTCTTTAAGGACTAACATTAATCACAAATGAAGCATGTAGACATGTGTTGATGTTAAATGCACTGGAGGGCTGTAAACCTTTGTTACTTCTTAGCTAATTTAGCCCCATAAGAAAAAAAAACAATGGCAGACACAACATGTCGTGGCTGGTTGACCACATTCTGGCTAAGAGTGAAACCAGGTTTTGCTATTATTTTAAAGGAGAAGGAAATGAAACGCAAATGCAAAAAAACAGCAAATTATGTTGACTTTTAAAGATGCCTAGCCAAAGCTAGTGCTGGAGATCTTTTGGCTTAATACCTTGTCCCAGAATACCTGATTCAAATGGGTGTCATCTACCCATATTCTACACTTTGCAAATCAAGGCTATAATTACAAAATAGGGTGGGGGGAGGGT